TCTGCTTTCCTCCAGCTGAGTATGCTGCATCATCTGCATTGTTAGACTGCTTCTGCTTTGTGGCACAGCAGTCATACTTGTCTTGGACTGCATCCATGAGAGCTGCAGTTGTTAGGGTAGTGGAGGTGGAAACATTTGTGAGTGCAGACATTGCTCCAACAACAGAGTCATAAGAGCTTGGGAGAGATGTCATGACCATAGCCACTTCAGGTAACCATTTTTCAAAGCATTTAGGCTGAATAGTTTCTCCAAACTATCTAGCCTAATAGCCTCCCAGACCAAGGTCTGCCCAGGGACATCTGGTCATGTCCCAGGGCTATGCAGATTTTTAGGCCCTGGGACAGATGGGATTTCCCACATAGCCATCCATTCAAATGCAATTATTTGGGATGTCCCAAGACTGCCTTGGGTGACTGGGGTCCCTACTCCTGAAAGTGCAGCTTATATTAGCATTGAAATAGCTGCAGAAATCCTAGCCCCCTTGCTCCTCTGACAGATTTAATCCACAAAGTGTCCTTTGACCTATACATCCCCTTCCATCCCACCATGCATAGTAGTATACAATAGTACTTTTCATGTACATCTTTGCAATGTGATTCTGCTGTATTGGGACATCTCACTGGTTGCCAGGGAGATGACCCACCTGGGCCTCCACATTTGCCTTGAAAATTGCAATAATAAATTCAATCAATTTGTGTCTATACCTCATGCAATTTGTACTGTATGAAGGAAGAAGTGAATGGCTTTTGAACACTTGTGTGACAAGCCAATATCTCAAAGTCCCCCACATAGAACATGGGGTTGGTCACCTTTGCAACACCATCTGCAGAGGGCAGAATGTCCCAGATGAGCCTCTGAGGTTGTCATGGGGCATTGTGCTGGTCTGCAAAGGTAACTTAGAAGGATGTGCCATCATAGCCCTCTGAGGCTGGGATGGGACATCCCACTGTTCCCTCTGCCAAGCAGTGGGATGTCCCACAACAGCCTCCAAGCCTACATTGGGACATCCCACCCTCCCCACTGCCAACCAGTGGGATGTCCCCCAACAGCCTCTAAGGCTACATTGGGACATCCCACCCTCCCCTTTGCCAACCAGTGGGATGTCCTACAACAGCCTCTAAGGCTATATTGGGACATCCTACCCTCCCCTCTGGCAACCAGAGGGATGTCCCAACACAGCCTCTAAGGTGTTGAAGTAGTAATCTGCACTAATCCTACAAGCACCATAGAGAATCCAATGCAAGGTAGCTCCATGGTCAGAGCAGCTGCTTAACACTGAGAGGGTCCTGGCTCAATGCCAGCTCTGGTCACATTTTCATCAGGTTATCAGCTGCAGCTGGAACCCATGCATGCTCATTACAATGGGTCATGCAGCATCCTTAGTAAGTCCAGATCATGTGAGTTACATGGACACAAGGTGGCTGATAGTAAGGCCTCCTGGAAACACAGCAGTAAATCCTGATCCATCACATGACACAAAGTCAAAAGGCAATCAGACCATTTAGATGACCCTAGGGGGTGTGCACTGTTTTTACACTCCAAAAGTGGCCAGATGAAGGGACCACATTGGAGATGGTGCATTCTGTGCATTAACTCCATGGAGATATGTTCCCACAGTGCTAGTCTAAGCCCCAAGCTACTGACACTAGTACCCAGACCATATGGCTCAGTGGTTGCAGCACCTGGTAAACACCTAGGAGGTCACTGGTTCAATCTTAGGACTGGTCACATTTTCCTCATAAGACTACATTGGGACATCCCTCCCCCCCCCTCTGGAAAGTGGTTGGATGTCCCACAACAGCCTCTAAGGCTACATTGGAATATCCTTCTCCCCCTCTGGCAACCAGTGGGATGTCCCACAATAGCCTCTAAGGCTGCATTGGGGCATCCCACCCTCCCCTTTGCCAACCAGTGGGATGTCCCACAACAGCCCCTACACCTACATTGGGACATCCCTCCCCACCATCTGGCCAGCAGTGGGATGTCCCACAGCAGCCTCTAAGGCTAAGTTGGGACATCCCACCCCCCTGTCTGGCCAGATGTCCCACACCACTCTCCACATAATACAAGGCCAAAATGCTATCAGACCATTTGCATGATCATAGGATGCATGCACCCTTGTTGCACTCCAAAAATTTCCAGATTGAAGGACCATGTTGGAAATGGTGTATTCTGTGCATTGCACTCCACATAGTTTTGTTCCCACATCACTGGTCCATGCCCCATCCTACTGATGCTATCACCTAGACAATATACACAGCTGAGGAGTCAGAGCACCTGGTTAACACCTAAGAGGTTGCTTCAATCCCAGCTCTGGTCACATTTCCATCATAAGGCTACATTGTGACATCCCACCCCCCCCCCCCTCCAGCAGCCAGTGGGATGTCCCACAACAGCCTCTCAGGCTATGTTGAAACATCCCATCCCCCTTCCATAAACCAGTGGGATGTCCCACAACAGCCTTTCAGGCTATGTTGGGACATCCCAACCCCCTTTCCAGAAACCAGTGGGATGTCCCACAACAGCCTTTCAGGCTATGTTGGAACATCCCATCCCCCCTTCCAGAAACCAGTGGGATGTCCCACAGCAGCCTCTCAGGCTATGTTGAGACATCCCATCTCCCCCTCTGGACACCAGTGAGATGTTATACAAATGCCACAGAGGCAAATGTTGGACATCCTACCCTGTATCTCTGACATCCACATTGCCCTCTGCCCACAATTGGGATATATATTGTCACATTGTAACAGGCTCAATCAATGGCACCAATCAGTTCAAGTCTGATCACCATGATTTTTGGAGATTCAGAATCAGGGCAATGAGACACAGGTCTGCCTTGCAGATGTCCATTTCACATATAACCAAGATTGTGAGCCCATTATTGCATAATTCTTCACACAAGATTCATATCCTTTGAGCCCTGTGTAATTTCTAGAGAACAGTACCAAAAAATATGTGCAGAGATGAAAAGTCAGTGACCAGATGAGCAGTGAGCAGTGAATAACTGCATTTGAGTGGGTGTAGCCATATGCATGAGTAGTTGCTGACATGATCAGGTTCACTCAATGCTGTGCTCCAAATGTCCTATACATATCATTGCTTGAAATAGTCATGGCACCCAAAGAATGCTATTCAAATTGTATCCAGCAATCATACTCTGCAGGTCTCAAGTGTTGTATTATTTCTCAATCTCATGTCCTTCTACTATGATTTTATTTGAAGCAAGTCTTGAGATGTGAGGCAAGGGGACACAGGTAGGGGGTAGCACATGATTGGTAAGCAGCCACCAAGTGTAGATAAGACAATACTAGGTGTAGAACTTCAGATCACAACAACACACTGCATAATTGCATAAATTTTTGGTACTGTTCTCTAGATGATACACAGGGCTCCAAGGATATGAATCTTGTGTGAAGAAATATGCAATAATAGGCTTCCAATCTTACTTATATGTGCAATGAACATCTGGAAGCAGAGGGCTCTCTACTGCCCAAAAAGCATTGAAAGCCTGCTGGACAATTGATGTATAGAAGACCACTATTGGTTTGCTAAGGTGTACAGATGCCTAGATCACTTGCAATTTTGATTGTATATGTGAAATCAGCCTATGCTTTTTCATGCTTATACCGTGCTAGAACTAGTCTAATTTTTACACCAGGACCTACATCTAATTTCCCTGATTCTGAATCTGCAAAAATTGCGGTGATCCAACTTGAATTGATTGAGATATCAAAGTTATAATACTTAGCTACTACATGTGTGTGATTTTGGTTATTTGGCCTTGCTCTCAGTTTTGAAAATAGCTGTAACACAAGGAGCAACAAGGCACAAACACAGTAGCTAGGACTGCAGGAATTGTATATACAGATTGAGGCATCATGTACAGTGCCTAACAGCAATGGACATGTGATGGACATTGGTACCATATGTGATTTGACCCTGAACCACCCCTAACAAAGAGTTGATAAGTGGCCAGTACTGAAATGTAACAGTAACAGCTGGGGAAACTGACACGAAACTATGGGATGCAGTAGAGGACTCCCAGGCAATCAGGGAGAAAGAGGGAAAATGCCAATTGGATCACCCAATCCTGGTGTATACACTAAACCACCTCAAAACCCTTCAAACACAAAAGTGGGAATATCTCAACAATGAGCAAGCAGAATTGGGTGAACAAGGGCACCCCAGAAATGGGTCAGTGAGAGGGATTTGTGGCTCAAAAAGCGAGAGAAGCAGTGTGGATATGCATGAGGTATGATGAGAGGACCTCAAGGGGTGGGCCTTGCCACAAAAATGTGAACATCTCCATAACTACTGCACCAATCACAACAATCTAGACATCTCTGGGGAGTCATCATCTAGTAGTGCAGGTCTGCAAAAGAGTGAGAGATGTGTCAGAGAAACCACTGAGATACAGCCCCAAGATGATAGGGGTAACTCCAGGCAAGCGAACAAGCAGGTGACAACCTCAGGACAACAGCTGGGGTGATCAACATGGGCCTCAGGAAGGCAGTCAGGTACTTGTAGATAAACATGGAAAAAAAGGAGCCACCATGATCAGACCATTGGATCCTGAGCTATGCATGAAACTGTCTCACTGCCATCCAAACATGAAAACAGTGATATCTCAATAGCAGCTCCATGGAATTAGACAAAAGAGGCCCCCCAGAGAGGTCTCAGTGAGGGGAATGAGTGGTGTGAAAAGCGATAGGAAAGGCACAGGACTGAGTGGAGAGCCACAGACTTGTCCCCCAAATCTGATGGTAACATCATCACTGACACCAGTGACATCAATATACAAGTGGCACATGACAAATATGTTGTAGGGGAAGCAAAAACTACACTAGTAGTAATCTTCATTTATATACTCCTCAGTGAAGTCATCCCCATATTGTGCAGCATTACTCCTGTTAACCCAATGAGGTTCATCTGACTGGGTTGGAGGGTAGTAGTCATCAGTATATGGACTGTTGTAGTAAGGATGGTTGGTTTGAGACAGATCATGATGGAATCCTTGGTGAGACAGAGGAAATTGATTGTGGTGGCCAGAAGGTAATGCCTAGAGAGAATGCAAGTTGACAGTAAAACCTCTGCAAAATTGAATTACTCACATGATATGGGATATTAGATGGGCCAGGATCACGATAGTTTGTACAGTCACCCCAAGAATCCTACATAATTTTTCCTTAGTCTTGTTACCAAAAGTCAGAGACCTGGATACTCACTTGTTGTCTGGGAAAAGACTGCTGGGCTGGGCCAGCCTCCCACACGTGAGGACAGCTTGGAAGATTATCCTGATGTAGATCCTATATGATGCTTCATTAGTCTTGTTATCAGACCATAGGAACCAAACCCTACCCCATATTGTGGAGCCAGCATGGGAGGCTTGGATGGGCCAGGCTCTCAAGTGTGCACATTGCTTGGAATTGTGGATGGGTCACAACGCGAATCTTGTGCAATGGGGCACACATCCTGGCATTGATTGCATGGCACAGTTCAACAGTCAGACTGTAAAGCCTTGCAAACATCAGCAGATACCAGATATTGAGTAAAGAGCAGAATTCACCTGGGGACCAATAGTATCATGATTTGATGCCTCCATGCAGGGTTGCTTCTGAGAGGGAAAAGGGAGTTGTTGCTGTTGAAGGACCTCCGTGCCTTGCTGCTGGTGATCCATTTCCTTGAGGGACTTCTGCCACTCTGGATCATCTGAGATCTGCCACAAAACAGTACCATCAGTAGCTTTGACAAGTGTGATCTCACCCTTCAAAGGGTCAGCATCCAAAATATTGATCACCTCTACACAGAACTTCAGCATCCAACTGGATGACTAAAATGGGGAATACCTTTGTTCCAGCACTTAATCTCAATTTCCAGCACATCATCCAGACTATCTTGTTCTTCCTCATCATCAGTTTGCCTGTCATACAAAAGACCCAGTTTTCTCTGAAGGTAAGGTACTACAAGTTGATGAAGAGGGCCAGCCTTAAGTTTCTTGTACTCAAAACCAGGGCCCAGTGGAGATACACCATGGGACCAGTTGATGATAGTGAGGTGGCTCTTCTGCAAAAACTCAAGAAGTTGGTGCCAGGAAACTTTCTGGGGATCACCAACTTCAATGCCACATGTGACTGAGCAAAGGATTGAGATAAATGCATGTACAGCACAAGAATAACTCACCATGAAGATCTCTCAATGCAGCCAACATCTTCTCCTTCATCATGCTTCTGAATACTCTGTGGTTGCAGTCTCTTGGAGTCTCCTTTGTATGGCAACATAGTTCCAGTGCAGAATCCACATCTCCAATGGAACTGGTGTTGGCCACCCTGGCATCCACACCATCACTGTTCCTGAGACACCTACAACAATCCAATGAGGTTGAATGAAACATGCAAGAAATAAACTTACTTGAAAATCACAGTATACTTATCCATGAGTCACCAGACATTGATGCCACTTTCATTGATGAAGTTTCTTATCATCTTAGAGCCTCCAAATATGCCAGAAGTTTGACATCCTGCAGGGTCCTGTCCAACATACATTACTGCTCCAACTATCTCAATATCCTCAAGATTGGCCCACACCTCCACCTGTGGAACAATCAGAATCAATGGCTGCACAGTTGCAACCACATACCAATCCAGAAAATTGTGTCTTTGCATTGTCCACTCTAGCTGCAATAGATTTGACAGATTGGTTAGTTGGTACAGTGGAGGAGCTCTCACTCCACTCATAGACAGCTTTTAACTTTTCCCTCCTTGCTGCAAAGTCATCCTTTGGGATGCCTATCATGAGGGTGTTGTACTCCTTTGTAATCAAATTGTTGATTGAATTTTGATCAGCTGGTCAGGATGTTAGAATGGTAGATGTGAGAGGGAGGAAAGCCATACCACCATCTGGTTTGGGCTGTGTGGCCCAATACCACAAGTGGAAGAGGTTGGCCTCATTAATTTTGGTATGACAAGTTTTAACACTAAATCCCACAGCAATGAGTATGTCACATGTAGACCACCCATGCTGTCAGCCAAGTTCTTCTGCCATCATCTTGACGTCCTTTGCAAAAGCATGTATTTCATCTAATGCTGCTGTGGACAGATTCCCTGGCTTCTGGAGGTTTGGGAGTTGGGTGTCATGGTCACTGTGGTTTGCAGCATCAATGTCCTCAGCATCTATAGCCCTACCTTTGTCCTTCTTCTGAAGTCTAGTATAGATTGGGCCACCTTCTTGCTGAGGATGGACAATGTCCCCTACAGGATGGGCAGAGTCATGAGACTTGTATGCAGGTAGCAAGGATGGGGGAAGTGGGGACTGGGCACAAGAAATGGTCTGAGCATTGCAAGCATGTGCATCATCATCATCTAGGAGTCAACATGTCAACATGAGGCAGATGCATATATAGATGGTAACAGAACAGGATCACAACAATTTTTTATCTATTTAACAACCGAGGGAATGATGGGTGGCAGGAAACAGTCACAAGTATCCAAAGCACCAAGCTTTGAAACACAAGTGGGCACCAAGCCCACCATTGCATGACCAGAGAGGCACCAAACTCCAAAATCAAAAGAAATGAGAATTATCTGAAAAAAACATGAGAGAACAAGGGATACGAAATGGAATAACCTACCATGGGAGTTGCTTGAGCTCTCTGTCTCCTTGTCATCATTGCTACCAGGCAACCAGTCATCCTCTTTCTTGCTACTGGATGGAGGGTCATCCTTGTTCTTGCTACCAGATGGCTGATCATCCTCATTGTTGTTACTGGAAGGCTGGTCATCCTCATTTTCATTGTTGTCAGGATTCTCCTCCACCTCCTCCATTGCAGAGTCCTCATCATGGATTTGGTTGTCCAGGTGCAGGGAAGGGGAAGGGAGCATTGGGGTGTTCATGATGGAAGGATGAGGTGTCAAGGAGTGTCTTCTATCTCTCAGGCCAAACATGTGCTCTTCCCAGCCTTTGGGAGGCTGGACTGCATGCCATGATTTTGGTTTTCCAATCATATCCTCCAGAGTAGATTGCCATGAGTGGAAAACAACATTAGAGTAATGGATGAGAAATATACTACAAGATGTACCTCTGAGTGTTGCACTCCATTGTTAGAGACAACAGCACCACCTTTTTTTACTCATTTGGAAACTGGGGCATTTTGTGAGGATGGAATCCTTCAGTTGTGAAGAATGCGAGTGTTCAAGTCAGCAACAGAGTCCCTTGAAGGCTCCAGGATATCAGCAGAGCAGGGCATGGTTGTATGGGGGTGTTGAGAAAAGGGGGGAGGCAAGGTGAGTATTTAAGGTCAGAGCATGTCAAGCCAAGATGAACCACATGGGAAAAAAAATCCATCTAGAACATGTTGTCTCAGCATGCAAAGTTCTGGGTATAGCATCAGCAAGGACATATGTAACAATGAAAAGAGGACATGACATAAGGGGGATGAAGGAAAAGCATGCAGGAAAGAAGTGGTTGTAATGCATAGCAAGGATGACACACCTATTAAAATGGAAACATACAGGTGGAATTCCAATTGAAATCCAGAATGGCAGTATTCCATCTGTGTGACCCAGAAAGTGGGTTTCCTCAGGACTGAAAAACCACAAGAGTTCATCAGTATCCAGCAATAGAGAAAGGAATGGGCTTACTAGACAGAAAATGAATTGTTCAAGCCCCTAAGGGTGGTCACTGATGAGAGCAGGGTTGATGCAGTCTGATAGATGCAGTCCCTTTGATGTGATCAATAGCCAAATTGAGCATATAATGTAGACCAAATGTCAGAGGTACAATGACCTTTGGGCAAAGTTGTTGCTGAAATGAATCTCTGGTACTGAGTGATGAGGGTCATTGTTGTCTGTGCAATTGATCACCAGATCAACACCAAGACCACCCTTGAAGGCTCCAAGCCTTCAGGGGCTGTCAAGGGCACCAAGCCCATGACATTTAGCAGAGAGACACTCCAAGCATTCTGCTGCTAAGTGGTAGAGATTGAATGGTAGAAATTTATGAAGGATGGAAAGTGCTGAGTTGTGACTTGCTTCACAATCAGGCTGCCATACACAATACATGGCCTGGGGATTTATACTTTGTAGTAATTAATTGGAGACTACCATGAGAAATATTTGCCAACAGATAATACAATAGCTGTTAGTCTTTACATGGATATGGTAAAAAAAATTCTGGTGGGAGTATGCATGCAGTCATCTGCTAGATATGGAACCCTTGCTTCATGATCTGGGTGGCTGCAGACAAGAATAGTGGAGGGATCAGTTGAGTTAGGTGGTGTTAGATGTATCAATACTGGCAGTGCAGGAAATACCATGTAAATGGGGATTGAGGGGGATAAGGTGGCAGGTGTACACTCTGCAGGACAACAATCCTGAAACCCCCAGACTCGATGGGCATAATGCTGCTGTGGAGTATTTGGGTTGCAAGCTGGATGACCCTATGAAGGCTGCAATATGATCAGTCCAGAAATGTCACTTAAGAACATACTCACCTTCAGTGCAAGATCTTAGTAACAAAGCACTTGCTAGCATTTCAGTGTCTGCTGCATTCAATTCAAGGTTTCTGATCAGAGTAATTAGAGTGCCTGTGCCAAAATGTGTTAGTTGTCAGGAGTTAGTTAGAAAAACATGTACTAAGGTTGCTAGAGCTTATATCCAATCCAGTACTGGGCGAAGGTATTTTGGACATGGTGGGTCAGGGAATGGGAAGGAAAGGCTGGAGAGTGAATGCACAGAGAATTGTTAGTATGATGGCAGATCTCCAGCAGCAGGCTACCTTGATCCCTTTCCCCATTTGTTGGAAGCCATTGCAGGAAAACCAGAAGTTTGACCATGATGAATCATGCACTTAGATGTGACACATTAGAACCTTGCATGGTTGATCATGAGGAAACCTGGAGAAAATTTGTAGTAGAAAGGAGAACTTGAGATCAACAATCAGAATCACTGCCCTTGAAGGTAACATTGCACCAAGTCTCCAATACTGTAGAGGACCATGCCACATATTTGATTGGCAGGGATGGATATGAACAGATGTGTTGCTAACTCAAATCTTTGGGACTAAAAGGCAAGGGGAGAACTGCACTATTATCTATGCAATTGATCACTGAATCTGTACCAAGGGTAGATGAGTGGGGAGACAAGGGTGTCACTATAGAAGGCATATACTGGCCAGGCAGAATGATGGAGTGCAGCTGGAGGTGGGGAGAACAATGGACCTAGTACATGTAGTATGTGCTGGTAAATGGGTCAGTAGACTGCAAAGCATAATAACACATAACTTAAGTTGAAAGCACTGACCTACAAAACCTTCATTAATGTCACTGAAAGATGGGGGTCAGTCTTGACTGTCATTGTGTGATTGATTGTTGGATCCACTGGACACCAAGGCCACCCTTGAAGGCTCCAAGCCTTCAAGGCTGTCAAGGGCACCAAGCCCCTGACATATGGTAGAGGAATGCACTGAGCATTCCCCCAATGCCATGTGGAGAGCATACAAAAGATGAGAGTGTTGCTAAGTACTAGCTGCAGGTGGTGCAAATGTTTGTTTTGGCTGTGATGATGTAACAATTGTGCAATTGTGAAATGACATGTTAAAATTCTGTCATTCATCAAAACTTTAGTCACATTGGTAAAAGTGGCCAAATCTATTAACAAAGTAGCAACGGTGCACTAGTACTTGTAACTAGGACTTGCTATAAGTAGCTTATCAACATGTCATTACTGTAATGCATGAATGCATCTCCTGTGAATATTACAATAGGCAGTCCAGAACATTGAGGAATGAAATATGGAACACAAAACTTATATCTAATCACTCAATTATTTGACAATTTAGAGCCTAGACTCAATGTCTTCCTCAAGCACGCTGTAAGTCAGGTGTTGCATTCATTTGTGGTGCAGGTCATGTGCACAGCAGTACCCATAATATTTCTCACTACTACTAGTAAGTGCTACCTACTACTTCAAGTTGTTGACACCCCTCTGTATAAACCAATTCAGTGCAAGGTAAGTTTCCCTCTATCTTTTCCATCTTACTTTTCCAGATGGCCTGGTCACTCTTTCCATGAATGTTTGGAGTGTCTGTCTGTCAGGTCTTGGGGGTTTGGTGCCTGCAAGTTCTTGATAGGCTTGGGGCCTATCAAGATTTATCCTTGCAGTTTCTTGGGCATTTCTTCATTGAAATTCAGGTGTTAACATAGTCTATACATGTGCAGAGTCAATACACCAATCATCATCACCTCTTTGTCAAGAAGACATTTTTTGAAAGTAAGTTTTTATTCTCTTTCATTCATACTTTTCTTTCAAACATCCAGTCAACTTATGCTGTACTCAGAGCCAAACATTTGGAGCATTTGTCTGCCAAGTGCTCTGGGGTTTGGTGCCTCGCAAGTTCTCAACAGGCTTTGGGCCTATTGAGGGCAACATTCTCATTTCATTTCAGTTACACTGACCTTAATGCTACATGATTCATTTTTTTCTCCCCTCATCATCATCTCTGTCAATTTAAGTAAGTACTGACTGACTTCTTTTGTTTCCAGGATGAATGTAGCTAGCATTTGCCCTTATGAATTGTCATTGTGCAACTGCCCTGGTGATGGTGCATTCTTGCTGTCCCTAACTCAGCTCAAATTGATTATCATTATTTTCAGGGAGATGGGGTGCACTCAATGCATGTGTCCTAGCAAAGTGTGATGACCACTGGATCACATCACCAAACACTGACTATGTCCCCAACCCTTCATCTTCGATGGAGAAACAATCACACCCCTACATGATGGATGGTTCAGCCATATAGACTGTTTTCAATGGCCACAGTTGTTCACAGAATGCTACACATGGAATCCATGTGTCCCCTGGAAAGTGGCCATGGAGACAACCCAATGTGGAAGTGGCTGTGGTGGAACATTACCCAGTCAGTAGAGGATTTTGTGCTGGAAAGAGGGTCTGCCTTCAAAGTTGGCAGCATTCATGCTGACAAGTGGAAGTCAATGGAGACTGTTTATAATCAACTAGACAAACATTTGCAAGATTGGCTAAAGATGCACCCCCACTACAAAGGTCCTCTGAGACCTGATTCATGGCTGGGGTCATGTTGGTGATGTCTCCTGCAGCTGAAGGTATGATTTTTTTCTGGTTCAGATTTCATTAATTAAAATTTTCTCTAGCAAATCCCATTCACATTTTGAGACACAGTCATATTGGTCACTTTTTGTCAATGCCTCCTCCTAGATGTCTTTGGCATGCTAGAATATCTGGACACAGACCTCGACCCTGCTATGGGCACTTTCATCAATTCATTTGACTGCTGGATCTGGGCATTCATGACAGACCCCAACATTTGCCAGCACCTTTTGAAATACATGTGCCTGTCTGGATGGTCTGGAAACCCAATCATGTACCCCCAGACATGCAAGTGTTGAAGACCATCAAGATTATGTGCCCTCATGACATAGTCATGGATCCAGAGGTTTTTGAGGTTGGGCAGATGCTGAAATGGCACAGTGCCTGATACCACCCTGGTGAATTGCACCACAGGCACACTCAACAAGGCCCAGCGATTGGGCTCAAGCAATTTGTGGCTCCCTGGCCAGAACCACCACACACCAGCAGTGGTGTGGCCTTGACTCCCACAAGCACAGGTCCCATGGCTTCCAATGCTGCAAGTTCCAGTGGTGAAAGTTCAAGTATGGGAGCTGTTAGGACAGGCAGGGCTTGACAATGTAATCAGCCATGTACATATCCTATTCATTTTGTCTCAGTGTGTTTAACATTTTGCTCAGATCCCCCTGTGGGCTTGAGAGGAGCCAAGCCATTGGTCATTCTGAATCCCAAACTGTGGGAAGACCTTGGTGATCCAGCTGCTCCCCCTGCTATGTCCACATGGCACACTGCCCTGAAGGACATGAATAAGGATGCAAAAAGGGTTAGTCCCAACACACCCAAGGTAGCTTACTTCTTTCCCAGCCTGAGTCTGTTTGTGAGGGGTGAGTCCTCCAATCACTAGCAGAGGTGCCTGAGGAATTGGCTAGTCTCTCGAGCAGGTTGGATCACTCATCTTTCTGCCTCAGATGCATCTCCTGTTATCCCTCAGTCCTGGTGGGATTTCCTGAACACAATTCCCAAGCAGATTTCATCCACATTTTCTGGCAACTGACTATGCGAATCTGCCACCCTCTTCAGTCCCAAGCTTGTCAGCCTCCAACATGACATACCTAGCCATGTACAATTCCAGGATATTTCAATTTCCCTCACAGACCTCACTACCATCAATCAGATGATAAAAAGCAAGATTTTATGGGATTTATATGAACACAACTTCCAGTTCAAGTTGGTCACTCTTGACTGTGTGATGATGCCTAGCTTGTGGTCAAATTGGGATTCAGAGTGGGTCAATCATGTCTGGCAGGTATGTACAATTTTACCTCACCAGGAATGTGCTGTTTCTGAACTCTATGCAGATTTTCCCTGGTGATTTGGAACTCACCATGTGTGCTGAGCCTTTCCCTCAGAAAAATCAAGGCCTCAGATCATCCAACTTTCAATCAAAATGGGAGTACATAGAGAAGCTCTGGGCATTACTTGCTGTATGGCCAGGATGCCCCTTGGACTTGGCAGAGCCAATTATGCCATTAGTGGCATTGTCACATGTCTGGGCAATGGAAAAGAAGTTGGCTATATTTTATGTATAGTCATTCTTTGATACTTTTGGTTATCTGCCCCTTCTTCCCCACCTCATTCCAACTGCACTGTGTGGCTATGGTTCAAATAGTCAGTAACCTGCTTCATCATTCCCTGATACTATTTTTACTCTGTACATTTCCTGAATGATATTCATAGCATGCCACAATTGCAATCTCATTTTGTTCATCACACACTTGCTCTGTCTCTTTCCTCATTGCCCTTGCTAGTCATGTGCAAAGGTCAGTCCACTTTTCTACACTGGAGGCTAACTATTGGAGATGTGCTGGTGGCATCTTGGGGTTTCCTTCCAGCAACCAGGATTCAGTGTCCTGGTCACAGTCCTGTAACTTGGTGTTGCAGAATCATCATCTACCACCAACTCACCCAGACAGTTTATGCATCTGACCAAATTTCATAGATGTCTTTTTGTCAACCAAAACAGCTTACTAGGCATGGTCCCTCTGTACAAGTTACTGCCCCAATGAACCAGATTCCTGACTCACTCCATGTGGATGATCTTGCAGTCCTTGTTGACCATCAGACTGCTGAACCTTTGTGCTGTGTTCCCAGATCTGTGGGGCTTTACCTTCCTGTTGAGCACTTGCTCACCTCACCTGGCTGTAGCACTTTCACACAACACCCCAGTGATTCCTCTGACCCACACATCTGATGCCACTCTGCTTCAAGCACTGCTTGCCTGTTAGAGCCTTCTGTGGGTAATGAACATGACCTCTCCCATGATGCCACTTTTGACTGCTTAACTGATGGGCTACATATTAGCCAAGACCCACTCTTGTCACTGTCTAGGAATGCCTGAAAAAAAATGAAGCAGTGCAGTGGTGGTCACACACTGTCATCCCTTCCCTCCTTCAGCCATACCTTGCATATCAACAACTATCCAACCACTTCTGGAATCCTGTTGACTATGAACTGCCAACATATGGTTGTCACCAGACTCAAAAACTGAGAGTCATTTGCATTGATTTCAATGGTGAGATTTCTGTGTTCATTGTCATTTTCCTCTGCTTAGATGCATTCATGGCAGCTCTGCAATCAGTTGATCTGGCTGTCTGTCCTTGTGCACCTGCAGCCCTCCAACTCCTTTGGATGGGCTACTTCCCCTGTGCCCCACTGGGGCCAACACTTGCTGTTAGCCTGCAGCTTCTCAGCTTTGTCCAACAACTCTTCATGCACATACCTCCAAACACTTCAGCATGGTGTGAGTCCCTTGAGGCATACCTTGCAGTTATGGGTTATGAGGTGGACACAAAGGTATGGAATTGTCATGTTTTGTATCATTACCCCATTTTTTCCACTTTGTAAAACATACATTACTGCCATAGTGACTGTAGTACAGATGACTCTGCTATGTAGGTAGTATATCTTAATCTGATGCATGACTATTTCATGGTTATAAGTGCATGCATGTGTGACATGTTCTGTTTCTTGGGACTGCTGTAGTGTTATGTTGATAGGGTAGGATGTTTGTTGGTATTGTGTGTGGTGATGTTGCTATATTATTAATGCATACTTTGGTTGTTCTTCTCAGTCATGGATCATTGCTGATGATACTTGCAGGAGGGTATACACTGGAGGTTCAGTAATGCATATCACTGGTATTGTATTCTGGAAACATCCCTTGATGAATATGTCCAACAATAACTGCAAGAATCTGCTAGTCCACCATCAAACATCCCCTCTGCAATCCCATTGCCAAGTTCCCCAGACAATGATGTCCTCAGTTCAAAGATGAGGCCATCAGAATACCTATGACAGTGTTGTCCTCTATGCTTTGGTGGCCAGAGCTGGCAGAGCAATAATAGTGAACATGGGTATGTCACTTGGTGGATATAGTTTTGTCAACTGCTAAAATTTCCTTTGCTCTAGCTTTTCTGATGTTGATGCAATTGTTTGCATTGATGCTTGTTTTACTCAGAAGTGCAGAAGTGGGCATCCAGATGATCCAGTAAACCCTACAGCTACAGTCTTTCTTTCACAAGAAGATATTTGTGCTATGGAGCATGAGGTTAATGAGTTGTCAAAGTCAAAGTCTTCAACCCAAGGAGGAGTGGACAGGCTTTGAAAAAGAATTACCTTGGTGATGGGGAGGATGAGTTTGAAGAGGGAATGAAGATAACAATGTCAGTGCTGAAGGGTTGTAATGAGTCCTTTACTGCAGCTGATGAGAGGTGCCAGAAAGTGAGTCTTAATCATTTATTCTGACTCCATTGGTCTGATGACAGTGTGGGCAAGTACCAAGTTCTTTTCAGATACTGGTGGAGGCAACATTATGCACTTGCCCTCATCAAATCTCTTTTTGGCCATCTCCCAGATAATTTTCATATTGGGCTGTTATGTGACATAGGTTGTCAACTGGAACAGAGCTGCAGGAAGTGGGGTTTTCTCAAATCATTTCTGCCACATATTTCTTTTGCCATCTCAGTATTTCATGCCTTTGGTCATCAATGGGTGTGTCGGCTTATCTATCACCCCTGAAAATGTGAAGGATTTGGGCTATCTGATGGAGAGGGATGTGAGCATTTTTGGAGTTCAATCAAAGGGCTGATACCATCTCTTCATGTTTCTGGGGTATGTGTGCAGTATGCCACATCTGTTTCAAGCTAACATATTATTCAGTATCACCAATGCCTCTTTGTTATTGACTCCCAGGTGTGCCACCTGGACATGAAGAGTCTCACTGGTTTGGGCCAGTGGCTTTTGTGTCACTGGAATCATTTCCAGGAAAAGAAGGCTGCTGCAAACAGAGGCCTAAGGAGATGTGGAGTTGATATCCCAACTCTTCAAGCTGAATGGGTTGCTCAAGTCTCTGCACAGACAAAGCCAGCTCCTTGTAAGCTGCTGATATAAATAATGACTCCTGCTCACCATCAAATTAGGTCACAGCTCTAAAGCTGCTGAGAATATGATATTGCAAATCATAGCAACTCAGAAATCATTGGCAAATTATGAGGCCAAGCTAGAAGTGCTGGAGAAAGATCTTCTCCATGGGGTTTCTGACATGACAAGCTTGAATATCCAAATGGCAGAGTGTCATCAAAAGGTTAAGTGTTTTAAAGAAGCTTTGCAGAAGCAGAGGGCAACCCTAGGCATAAATGGGCATTCAAATCTTGCTAGTATCCAAAAGAGTGCTTATCTTCAAGTTAGTGGCAGTGTATTTTCTACATGGTTTCATCTAATTGAGACCATGTTCCATAGCTTTGCATGCATGCATTAGCAATCAAGAAACATATCAGAGATCATCTGCACCAATGAAAGTTTGAGTTAGAATGACTGGAACACTCATATTGGCAGACTCTCAGTGGTAAGAGGTCATCATTCATGAATACCCTTGTATTTGACTTGCCTTGAAGAACAAAGACTTCAAAACCACACAGAAGCATCTGTGAAGTGACAAGAACCAGGAATAGCCAAGCTTGCCAGTAGCTACAATAATCTGTGTCTGCAAATTGTAGGCCTCATACACAAGGGAAAAGCTCCTCAGGGGTCAATAGCCCCACTCCTGATCCCAAGGGACTCTTTGTTTGAACTGGATGTGGATGATGATATTTGGCAGGATATTGGCCTTGGGGATGATTCAGATGGGTTACTACCCCCATGGTTAGCTGATGAAAAAGTGCACTCAGGGATCAGATCACTCCTTGAGCTGAGGTGTTGTGAAGAAGAGGAAAGGTGCCTATTGCAGGAAAGAAGAGCTTTGACAGAGTGGTTTTCTGAAGAGTGGGGTCATGTGCAGAAAACCAGACAGAGTGCTGGTAAGAGACATGTGTAATTGCATTACCATGACTAACACACATTGCAGATGTTGATCTTGCATATGAACTTGACTGCAGAGCATTGAAATTAGCAGGTCTGTGCATCTTGTGGAAGAGGCAACTTAGAGGCTATCCTGCAACACCTAATAAGAAGTGGGGTGCAAGTGATGAAGAACTGCACAGCATGGTGCAGGGTGATCATGTTATATATCTTGATAGTGATAATGAGGAGAGGTTTGATGGATTGGAGTCAGAGGGTGAAGAGGATGAGGATGAAGTGATGAATGATGAGTTGCTATGTGTTGCTGAAGAATTTGCCCTGGCAGATGAATATCACCAACAAAGTGATATGCCACTGGAAGAATTCTGTTGGGGAGAAGAATGGGAGAATGACCTACTGGATATGGATCCACCATCATCTCCAAGTAAAAGAGTTCAATACAGATAAGGGTGATAGAGACATATTATAATCTATTTGGTGTGTTTAAATAGAATTTTTTTTGAGCATCATGTTTGCAAGACACATGCTGGGTAAAATGTAGAATATCCCACTGGTTGGCAGAGGGGTAGGTGGGATGTCCCAATGTAGTCTTAGAGGCTGTTGTGGGACATCCCACTGCTTGCCAAAGGGGAGGGTGGGACATCCCAATGTGGCCTTAGAGGCTGCTGTGGGACATCCCACTGCTTGCCAGAAGGGGGGAGGGATGTCCCAATGTAGCCTTAGAGGCTGTTGTGGGACACCCCACTGGTTGGCAAAGGGGAGGGTGGGATGTCCCAATATAGCCTTAGAGGCTGTTGTGGGACATCCCACTGGTTGGCAAAGGGGAGGGTGGGATGTCCCAATTTAGCCTTAGAGGCTGTTGTGGGACATCCCACTGGTTGGCAGTGGGGAGGGTGGGATGTCCCAATGTAGGCTTGGAGGCTATTGTGGTACATCCCACTGCTTGGCAAAGGGGAGGGTGGGACATCCCAACATAGCCTTAGAGGCTGTTGTGGGACATCCCACTGCTTGGCAGAGGGAACAGTGGGATGTCCCAATGTAGCCTTAGAGGCTGTTGTGGGACATCCCACTGGTTGGCAAAGAGGAGGGTGGGATGTCCCAAGGCAGCCTTAGAGGCTGCTGTGGGACATCCCAAGTCCCCTTATGAAAGTCAGTGGGATGTCCCATCCCAGCCTCAGAGAGCTATGATGGCACATCCTTCTAAGTTACCTTTGCAGACCAGCACAATGCCCCATGACAACCTCAGAGGCTCATCTGGGACATTCTGCCCTCTGCAGATGGTGTTGCAAAGGTGACCAACCCCATGTTCTATGTGGGGGACTTTGAGATATTGGCTTGTCACACAAGTGTTCAAAAGCCATTCACTTCTTCCTTCATACAGTACAAATTGCATGAGGTATAGACACAAATTGATTGAATTTATTATTGCAATTTTCAAGGCAAATGTGGAGGCCCAGGTGGGTCATCTCCCTGGCAACCAGTGAGATGTCCCAATACAGCAGAATCACATTGCAAAGATGTACATGAAAAGTACTATTGTATACTACTATGCATGGTGGGATGGAAGGGGATGTATAGGTCAAAGGACACTTTGTGGATTAAATCTGTCAGAGGAGCAAGGGGGCTAGGATTTCTGCAGCTATTTCAATGCTAATATAAGCTGCACTTTCAGGAGTAGGGACCCCAGTCACCCAAGGCAGTCTTGGGACATCCCAAATAATTGCATTTGAATGGATGGCTATGTGGGAAATCCCATCTGTCCCAGGGCCTAAAAATCTGCATAGCCCTGGGACATGACCAGATGTCCCTGGGCAGACCTTGGTCTGGGAGGCTATTAGGCTGGATGGTTTGGAGAAACTATTCAGCCTAAATGTTTATGAAAAATGGTTACCTGAAGTGCCATAGCCATGTAGCTTTCATCTGTCAGGGCTTGGCCCATTGAGGCAAGTTGTTCATGTATTTGCTGCATTTTGTCAAAGTGTTCCCTGTTGTTTCCTTTCTCCATGCATTTTATAGTTTGGAGCTTCTTCAGCAGTTCAACTGATACAACATGAGAGCACTTCTCACAGAGGTTGGATAGGTATGTCCAGATGTTTAGTGCAGTAGCAGGACTCTTTATTTGGATGAACAGTGTGTCAGGGATCATGCTGGCAATTTGTTGCTTGACAATGGCTTGGCCAAGCCTCCATTCTTTTAGGGCACCTTGGTAGTTTATCACTTCCTTTTTTTCCTCTGCAGAGATAGGTATCCAGTTCTCACTCCAGTTTGCTAGTGTCTTGGGGTTGACTGGCATTGTCTCAGTACCATCTATGTACCTGAGCAGCCCATGAGCATCCAAAGACCACATTAGCCTGTCCTTGTATGTTACCCAGTTCTCTCCATCTGCTGAGAGCTTTGGTACCTTAAGGAAATCATCTCCAAGCTTGGATGTGAATGACATGTTGCTACAAGCTCCCAGTTAGTGAGCACCAGGGCTCATAAGCTGTAGAATATATACTACAGGACTATTAGCAGTGTGTAAAGACAGAATGTGGAAAGTGCTCACCTCAGTTGGGTTATGTAGCCAACTGAGGTGTGACTATGCTACTTGAGTGCAAAAATGAACATGATTATGTAATATGGCTAAATGCATACTATAATACTAAGTGGATGAAAGCATAATGTGAGAAACAGAATATACAACAGACATCTACCAGCCTGGATCTAATCCCAAGTGAGTGGTGGTTGGTCAGCATTGATGCTGAGCAAATTCCAATTTGCCAGGATGGATCACACCCTCCAGGCTATTTCCATTGGTTCAGAAGGCACACCAGTGGGATTCTATTGGGCTGGTATGAATTCTGGCCAATTCCAGTTAGCTGGGTCAGATTCCTGGTTAATGCCAGTGAGCTGGGACACCTACTGGCCTGAATCTAGGGGACCAGTACAGATGCCAAACTAATGGTGGTTGGTTGGCATCAATGCTGAGCTAATTCCAGTTGGCTGGGATGGATCACACCCTCCAGGCTATTTCCATTGGTTCAGAAGGCACACCAGTGGGATTCTATTGGGCTGGTATAAGTTCCAGCCCAATCCAGTCAGCTGGGCCAAATGCCTGGTTGATGGCCATGAGCTGGGACAGATGCCAAGCCTATGGTGGTTGATTGGCATGGCAGCAAGCTATTGTCTGTTGGGCTTATATATCAGTGTCCCATGTAATATGGCTCAGCTGGACCTGCAGTGTTCTGTTTGGAACAGTGGGAGCATATTGCAGTGTATCATGCAGATTGGACTCATCCCAAATAGGAGTGCTGATGTACTATGTAGGGCCCATATTTCATTGTACCATGTCCTTGGGGTGGGCCCAGATATTATGATCCTGTTGGACAGGCTGGACAAATATTGCAGTGTTTCATGGTGTATGGTAGGCCCATGATGTGGTGTCCCATATGTTTTGAGTCAGCCTGTGTATCATAATCACTGACCATGTGGTCTGGCACATATGCAATGGTCTCATGCATAATAAGGAAGCCAATATCCCAGTGTGCCATCTGACTGAGGTTGGCTCAAGTTGAAGTGTTCCAACAATTACTGGCCAAGCCATAGTCAACATGTGGGAGAGGTAGATGGAAAATAACTTGGTGTGGGGCAAAGTCCAAGGTCTGGATGCCACCTGAGAGACATACTCCTGAGGTAATGAAACCATACCATATGCCCCTGTTGATGCCTGGCTGAGGAAAACTCCAGGCACCCCAGTGACCATGAAGTTTGATTGAAATATTTGGCATTTTTATGCCAAGAGCCACTTGTCATACTCTTCAACAGTGCATGGTGAAGGGGGTCCAGAGTGGCAAGCATATGTGTCTGCAGGGAAGCCTGAATGATATAGAGTGTAAATGAAATGCTCAAACTGACCTGCAAATCATTGGTGATGGCACCAGGAAGGTACCACAATGCAATGGTATCACTGGCACTGTCAAGTCCATGATGTCTGGGTTTGAGACCAGACTGGAGACCAAAGAGAGTGTGAGGCCAAGGGGTCAGGGAACAGAGGGTAGCAGGGAGTGGAGGGTGGACTGATTGGACTTAGCAACTGAGAGTGCAGTGCTATTCCCTTGCATCGGATGCAGTCCAAGACAGAGACAGAGGCAGAGGTTCAGGGTGAGACTTAGTTGATTTCAGACTGAGACTACAGGCTAAGTAGATACAAATTTATATACTAATGATGAAGTGTAGTACAGAGACCAGTAATGCTGGTCTTGTAAGGGTTAGTAACATGACTGAATAGTGGGCTGTACCAGGGAACATGACAAAGACCAAGGGACCAGGACAGAGGAGAAGGTGGGTTGGGGATGAGGCTGGAGCAGGCTTGACTGAGTTAGCACCTTGAGTGTACACTGCTTTGCAGTGATGTCCAAGCTAAACCAACTAGAGGTTAGGCCAGGTGAGTCTAAGACCAGGATGAGTAGCTGTGAGGCCAAGTCCAGTTGGGGTTAAGACACAGTTATGACAGTATCCCCCTCTTGGGGGTCAAACCCATGAGACCCTTGTGAGAACAATGGGCTGAGTCCAAAATGTGGCTGAGTTTGAAACACCTGGTACTAGTGGCTCACTAAGCCCTTTGTGACTTTCTTTCACATTCTAACCATCACGTCTGACCTGCAACTGACCACCACAACTGACAACAACAATGAAGGCCAGGTCATCATTGACTGGACCCAGGAGTTGGACACTGCTATCAAGTATGACACTGATGATGAGGAGGGAACAATGCAGGTGAAGGTGAAGGAGAGAAAAAGACAAAAGGTGGCTGAGCAAGCTTGACAAGAGGAGCAGGCTCAACTAGAGGCCAAGCAACAGGAGAGGGAGTGAGCTGAGGCCAAGAGGGCAGAGTGGGAGGCTGAGGAAAAGAAGGTGCATGAGGAAGAAGAGAAATGTGAGGCTGATGTAGGGAGTGGTATACTCCCTGAGGCCAAAATAGGGATGCCAACACCAAAATTCTGCTGTTACCAAAGTCAACCCCTATCAGAGTTCCATGTCTGTTGTCTTCAGAATTATTGCATCAGCCTTGTGCACCACCTCACCTGTTGAAACTTTGGAGCTCCCCTGTCCATCAATAACACACACCAGTCATTGTCCCAGAATTCCATGTCAACATCAACCTGAAATATGGCTATCCAGAATTCCACAGTCATGTTTCCTCATCCTTCACCTCACCATGTAGCCAGAAAATCACACAGATCATCAGTAATAAACTCTGGTTACCTCTCTCATTCCATTCCTACAAATCTTTCTCCACAATGCAAGAACCCCTTTGCATCTATGGCCTCTATCCTTCACATATGTTACTCTATGGTATGTGGTATGGTTCTGTTGAAAGATACCCATCTTTCCCTTTTGTTTCTCTCAGTTACTGCTTTTCAGTTTGTTTTCACATGATTCTGTAGTGTGTTGACATCTGTCATGTCTCCCTTTATTTTTTGGAATTTTTACTTCACCTGCCCCACATTATCCTGATCAGTACCTTACTCTCCATGTACTATATAATTCTGCCTCAGCAATGGAAAAATACCACCCATCTTTTGGAGTCACTATCTGAGTCGTCTGTGTGTCTAAGTGTTCAAAGTGTCTGCTGTGTCATCTGCATCTACTGTGTCTTTTGTATCCCTTGCATATCTGTGTCTTGCCTTCATGTCTCATGAGTCTCAAATTACTTCCTCATGCCAAGATTGTCACTTGGAATTTTGTAAACAAGTCTATTCAGACCCAAATTGTCTACAACACTGCAGAATTAAATTCCACACCCTACATTCAACTTCCTGATCGACTCTACCATTGTATTCTACATCTCCTTCCTACTCAGCACCCCTTGGGTCAAGCCTAGGGATTACCCTACAGCTTTCCCCCTAATTGCATACTACCCAGAGGTAGTGTCCCACACCAAGCATAAACACCAGGCTGAGGCTGAGAAGGGTGATGAGGCTGGGGCTGAGGCTGGCAGTAGTGAGGCTGGTGGTGAAGTGGGAAAGGTGGTGATGGACCCTGGGTAAGTACCTTAACAAACTAGCACACATTCCCTTAACCTCTTTTCTTTCTTCTTTTTACAGTTGTACTTGCTGTGCCTGGGCCAAGGCTGTCTGTAAGTTTCTCATGGATGGCAACAAGAAATGGGTTGCCTGCATCCAGTGCAACCTGTCAAAAGGCAAGTGCTGGTGGCCTGGGGATGGGAAAGATGTCAGGTACTCAGGCTTGGAAGACAAGCTCAAGCACCTGATCAAAGCCATGGGGCTGATCACCAACAACCTGGCCAGCCTCTTCAATGTTCAAGAAAATGTGGTTGCAAACTCAGGCTGGATCACCAATGCCCTGGAGACAATCATTGACAAATCGTATGGGTATGGGTTGCTGGCCACCCCCTCAGACTTGGGTCTGTCTGAGCTCAATGCCAACAAGTTGCATGAGGAGGTGGAGTGACTGCAGGCTGGGGGTGAGGACAAAGAGGCCAAGGGAGAATACAAGGCCATGGCCAAGACTGAGTAGCCTAGACCATAGTAACTTGTCCATTTTTTCCCTCCACTGATGCCAGTGTCCAGTCCTGGCTTCATAATAGAGTGAGAAAAAACAAGAAAGGAAAGAAAGGAAAATACAGTAAGTATGAGATCAGGAGAAAACTAGATATAGAGAGAAAAGAAACTGAGGCCAGTTGAGGCCAGTCCTCACTTGAATGGGCTGGGTTTGTTTGGATAGTGGTTGTGGTACTCTTGTACAAGCTCTGATGCATTGTCTAACTCAGTGGCTAGTACCCACATGGTTTCTTCATCTGTTCCTTCATAGCCAGACCACCAGACTAGATACTGTAACCAGCACTTGCAATGCCAGTTGACCTTAGTGTCAAGGATTTCTGCTACCTCAAACTCTAGTTTGCCATCAACATCAACTGGTGGGGGCAGTGGTTGAGTCCAGTTTGGGATGATGTTAGTTATGGCCAGCTTGAGCTGAGAAACATGGAAGACTGGGTGTACTGCATGCATGGAGTTTGGTAGGTGCAGGGTGAACAAGTGGGTACTGGCTTGAGCTATGACTGGGTATGGTCCAAGGTTCCTCTTCAAGAGCTTCTTGGAAGGCTGGGTTGACCAGAAGTATTTGGCCTTGACATATACTTGGTCACTGACCTTGAAGTCCAGAGCTGGCATGCATTTGGCATCAGCCAGTCCTTGGTAACACTGTTGTGCAAGGGTCATCTCCTCACAAAGGTACTGGTGCAGTGAATTGAAGTTGACTGCATATTCATGAGCCCAAGCAGAAGTGAGGTCATGCTCTGGGTACACTGAGATGTTAGGATGATAACCCTTATTGGCAAAGAAAGGTGAAACACCAGTAGTAGTGCTAGGGGCATTATTGTAAGAGAACTTGGAAAGGGGTAAAAGGTTGGCCCAATTGTCCTGCTGGTAGTTGCAGTAGATTCAGAGGTATTGTTCAAGGGTCTGGTTGATTCTCTTGGTCTGGCCATCCCCCTCTGGGTGATAGCTGGAGGTAAAGTGAAGGTGCATGTCCAATGCCTTACCAAGAGACTGGAAGAAATGGGAGATGAACTCTGAGCCTTGGTCTGAAGTTACATGGGCTGGGACTCCATGCTTAGAGAAGATGTGGAGTAGGAAGAGTTTTGCAAGTTCAGGGGCTGTGATAGTATCATGGGTGGGGATGAATATGGCCTGCTTCAAAAGCTGGTCAACTGTTGGAGCATAAAGTGCCCCTGTGGTACTTGACCACTGTGCGATGTTTTGGCTGCTTACATAAGCTGAAATAGTGCACACACTCATAGTATTTTCTACTAGTATTCCCTCAGTAGTTTGTTCACTACTGAGGGTAAATCTGTTCATATTACAAGTATTCTACTATACTGACATCCTGTAGTAGCCTACAGGTACAGTAATACACTCAGTAGTTCATTCACTACTGAGGTAGCCTACAGATATTTCTACAGGTCAACAATGACAAGAATGGAGGTGAAGCCAGTTGAAGCCAGGAGTTGTTCTATGAAGTCCATGGATATGGAGTTCCAAGGTGTCTTGGGAATGGGTAGTTGTTTAAGGGGGCCATAAGGCTGATGCCAAGGGACCTTAACCTGAGCACAGGCAGTGCAGGACTGGACATAGTCCTTGACAAATGTCCTAAGGCCAGGCCAGGTATACTCATGCCAGATGAGTTCTAGAGTATGAGTTTGGCTGAAGTGGCCAGACAAGGGATGGTCATGTTCAAGGCACAAGACTGTGAGGCAGAGGTCATTTGAGTCTGGTACATAGATCCTTCCATCAAGCTGAAGGAAGCCAGTGTCATCTAAACTGACCACTGGGAATTGGGGGTACATCAGTAAATCACTTTTGCTGTCCAGAGCTGTCCAGCACTGGACAGATTCCCTAGGACTGCCAGCACACAAAGTGGTTTACTGATGTACCAGACAGGTGGGTGTGTGCAACTGGGTCATCAGGCAGCACCACTAGAATATTGTTGTGAAGCTTTTCAACATCCATTAGGGCTACTGCTCATAAGACTGGGTACTCAAGGTAGGTTGTGCAGAGTGAGACTGCAAGTTGCTCCTGGGTGAAGACTGGTCTGAAGTTCTTCAGGTTTGCTTGGACATAACCACCATCCCCCTCCTTGGGGTAGACATCCCACCATCTAGTTAGGGTGTCAGGCTTAGCCCTGAGCTTACCAGGCTGGAAATGGATGATCATATTGAACTGGGAGAGAAACTCAGACCAGTGAGCTTGGTGGCAGGTGAGCACCTTAGAGGTGGAGAAATACTCCAAGTTTTTGTGGTTGGTCACAATGTCAACTGGAGAAGCCAAGCCCTCAAGGTAATGGCACCAGGTCCAGAAAGCTTCAAAGATTGCAAGAAACTCCTTATTGTGGGTGTCATAGTTCAACTCTGGGGTGGTCAAGGTACAGGAGTAAAAGGCAACCAGATGTATCTGGCCATCACTGCAGGTAATAGATAGGATACCAGTGACAGCATAGTCAGATGCATCAGTCTCAACTGTAATAGGCGCCTCTGGAGTGAAGTGAGTCAAGACTGGTGCAGTAGTAAAAGCAGCTTTGAGATTATTGAATGACTGGTGGCACTCCTCAGAGAAGTTCCAAGGAGCACCTTTGCAGGTGAGCCAGGTTAGGGGTAAAATGATGTCTGAGTAGTTAAAGATGAACCAGCAGTAGAAATTAGCAAAGCTGAGGAAAGACTGTATGTCCTTAACCTTGTGGGGTTCAGGCCAATTGCAGATGTACTGGACCATTTCCTGTGACATTGTGAGGTCAGCTGGAGAGAGACAGTACCCAAGGTACTCTACCAAGTCTGAGTGGAACTCACATTTCACTGGCTTGGCATACAGACCATGTTGCCAAATCCAGTGGAGTACCTCCCAGACTTGCTGTCTATGGGACTCCTTATCTCCAGAGTAGATCAGGATGTCATCTAGAGAGACAACCACTGTAGGAAGATGATTTAAATGAGGAGAGAAGTTTAGTAGGGATATCTGAGGGGAATGAGTAGGCCAAAAGGGGCTTCTATAGCCTGGGAGTGGATCCTGGTAGTTGTCCAAAGGCTTCTATGGCTGTCTTGATGCAGGGAACAACCTGCTCAAACTCATCTCTTGTTTGTGGTAACTCATCTCTTTTTTCTAAAGGAAAAAAACCATACACAAGTAGCACTACTGCTGACTAAGCAACCAGAAATGCAAAATCTAAGTGCAACTCATAGAAAAAAGTATCTAGAATGAAAATGAAGTAAAACAAGCAAAATAAGGCAATTCCCCTGGTAGGGAAATTACATTTCCTACATCCCAGGGGTACTCGAGATCTTGACTGTCTCCAGTCAACCCAAAGGTGGCTCGACTACACAGGAACCCAAGGTCATGAGGGAGGGGGCGAAACAACAACTCATCGACGAAAAACGGGTGGTCGGAATGCCGCGATACGAGACATGACAACAGAAGGGAATGCAGTGAGCACCTTGCAAAATGAGTGGAGGGAATCCGCGTGCCTGATCCTGGGATATCCACAAATCTGCCCAAGGGTACCCTCATTCACCAAAAACCAAATGTGGCCACGAGTTCTGCAGCGACGACGGAAAAGGTACCATTCTGAAGCTGTCGAACAGTAGCATCGGGATCCCGAAAAGCGGGAGATCCGGTCGAGAAACGGGCGAGATAATCAAAGAGTCGTCCGAAAGTATCTCCAACCACAAAAATGGGCAGATCTCGACAATAGCTGCGCGGAATTTGACAGAAGAGGTGTCCCCAGAAAGGGATGCGCAAGGGGAATGGACTGCCGGGAAAGCGAGAGGAGCAGCGCTCAGATGCGCGAGATACGGCGAGAGGACCGCAAGGGCAGGGAGAAGGGGTCGACTCGCACAACAACGGCTGGAACGATCAACACGAAGTTCCGTGAGATGGTAAAGGACTCGTAGTCGAATAGAGAGAACGAGGAAACACGCCGATTGGATCAGCCGATCCTGAGTTATATGTGAAACTGTCTCGAAGCCCTCTGGATACGAAAACGCGGATATCTCGATAACGGTTGCGCGGAATTTTACAAAGTAGGCATCCCCAGGAAGGGTTCAGCGAGCGGGATGAACGACCCGAAAAGCGAGAGGAGCGACGTAGAACTGCGCGAGCGACTATGGCAAGACCTCGAGGATGGGCCTTCGCACAAAAACGCAAATATCTCCGGAGCTACTGGACCTATCAGAACAATCCTGATATCAACATGGAGCATTCGTCGTGGAATACAATCCTCCCCAAAAGCGAGAGGCGCGACGCGGGAACGAGCGAGATACGACCACAGGACCCTGAGAATGGACCTATCCACAAAAACGCGAATATCTCCTGAACGGCTGGGCGCATGTAAACGAGCTTGGTACCGACAGAGAGCTGACGTCGAGTAGTACGAGCCTTCCAAAAAGCGAGAGGCACGGCGCGATAACGAGCGAGATACGCGCTCGGTACGAGGGAGGTAGTATCCACCTTGACGAGCGACAAGCAGTGTTGATGGTGGCCTCGTCGACAGCGTGCCTTGCCGGAACTGTATCTGCGGATGGGAGGAATCATGTAGAGTGTGGGAAGGCGCCGGGTGCGATGCTAAACGGCGTTCCGTGGGGAACTCGAGCCTGGGGGGGGGGGGTAAAAGATGAAGGGCGAAACAAGAAAATTCGAACATATCTAATGTACCAAAAATTCCGCGTTACGATGTAGGTAGATCCATACTAGATACTGTAAGATCCATAAGCAAAAGAAGTAAAAAACAACATAATGGAATTCGTGCGACATGCAGCGTTAACGCGCTCTTCGAGAGCGCCGGGGCATGCGACTGCGGCTGCGCGACCGCTTCGGTTTGGAATGGATGTATGAATACGCCTTCCTCGAACGTGAACGAGAGCGCCAGTGCAAGGACGACGACGACGATGACGAGGAAGAAGGGAGTGAGCTATTGGTCGAATATGAATATGAGCGCCTTCGAGTGTGATAACGCATCGAGCTGCGGGCATATGACTGGACTGGTATGAAATCATCTTTCGAATGTGTGTACGAGCCTGTTCGAGTCTGCGAGCGCGAGCGTGAACGAGGATGCGAGGGCGACCGGCCTCGGCCACGTGGCGACCTCGACTGTGGCTGCGCGTGCGGTGAGCTACGAGAGTGCTCGGCTGACGAGCAACAAGACTGAACAGGTGGTGGGTCGGGTACTGCTGGCTCGAGCTGGAGAGTAGGTAGGGACTGAGTAGACACGATGCTCGTCTGAGCGGGTATGTGCGATGGTGCGTTGAACACGCATCGAGAGGGTGCGGCTGTGAGTGAAAGCGAGCGAGCGGGCGATGAGCCCATACAAGCCTCGAACTGGCTTGTCAATGAAGACCAGTTGGCGAGACGGTCTCGTAGAGTCCGTCCGGCAACTTCTCGCGGGATTTCCAGTCCTGTAGGTAGAACAACGCGACCGTTTACAAGTAGACACTTTCCCGAAGCTAAATATGACTTGAATGAATGGCAACCTGCCCGAATATGTCCCGAAAGTCCGCAGAAGAAGCAGAACGAGTACGATCGGCGGGGGGAATGATTGTCTGAGGCGCGCGATGGCTGCGCGCGTGAACTGTTGGCCTCGCTGCACTTCCAGACGCCATTTCCGAGTGCGAGAACCTGTTTAACTGAAGCCATAAGGCTAGACACAGTAACCCTTCGACTTGGCGAGTCAAGATACTTGAGTACCTCGCGTCTGAACTTGGGCGGGAACCCACTAAAAAAGCCGAAGCTACATAGGATGATGGCTTCTTCTGCTTTTCGAGCGACACCAAATAATGACAATAATTGCGAAAATACTCGCCCAGAGAAGATATCGAGACGATGTCCGAGCCTTCGAACGCACTTCTGAGTCTGAAAAACCGGTCCCTGCAGGATTCCTCCAGCTCCGGGTACAGCTGGACTACGGCCGAGGTAAAATGAGCCCAATCTCCATCATTACTATCCACAAAATGTGACCAGAGGTCAGCTGACTCGAACGACGCGTATTTGAGAACAAACTTGATTCGCGTGGGCCCATCTGCATCTGCAAAACTACGCGAGCAAGTGAGCAGGTTATACCACTCCCCATTTAGAATTTCTCCATTTAGCTCGCTTGTGAATTATGAGAAGTGTACGGCTTATTTACCACGGCCGTATCGAGATCCTAGCGCCGATGTCATCTTATCAGTGTTGTCATTGGAGACAAGAACACTGATTATCATGTGTAGTACTAGTCATCATAGATCATTACGAGCTTATGTACACTGGGAGTAGTGTTCTATGAGTTCCCTTCCACGCACCAAAATGCTGGCAGTAAATTCCGAGAAACGGTCTAGTGTAGTAATAGGTCCCTCGCTCCTAAGGTCCTGAATATGTCGAAGGGCATTGTTGTAGTGAGGTTCATATACATCTGCCTCGAACTTGGCCTCACGGCCCCTGACAAGGTTTGTGAGCCCCCACTGAATGATGGTGATGGTGAAGGTGATAAGATGATCGAGATTTTCTGTGTTGGGGGGGATGATGGAGGACAGTTTGCAACAAGGTGAGAATACAGCTTCATGAATGATGGTGCTCATGGTGCAGCAGTTGAAGAAGCCAGTCACCATTTGTCCTGTTGGAAGCTACCAAAAATGTTAATCTGCCATAAAGTTGCACATGGGGAAAGACATACCAGAACCTCTTCATCAACAAAATCCCATCTGACGAGGAGGGGTTCCACACTGGTTCTCCATGTCTCAGTGATCTGAGTCATATGTGGTGCATTAATGGGAATGTGCAAGTTATATGAATCCTTGAGAGTTAATTGAGTGACAGTCTTGAACATACTGGTGACCTCATGAAGTGTGTGTTTTGCATTATTGTGGAATGTCTTCATATTTTTCTTTGAATCCAACCAAGTTTCTACTCTGTGTCAGTAATGAGTCGTTCCTGGTATCTGGTACTCACTGCCTGAGGACCTGAATATGCCTTCCGCAAGATGAATTGCTAAGTCTTTGATATACTTGGAATCGGCAGTCATCCATATCAGTCACTCCATCATGAAGTATTGACGAAGTTCTTTCTTGGCTTTGTCCTTGAAGTGCTTCACAACATAGTCAGGGATATGCATAGTTGTGGTTGGCTGGAGATCAATGGGGACTAATGCCAGGGCATTGGCTGCAGGGGGATTTCTGGTAGGGAGGATGGGTAAATGGACATGCTTGGTCAGCTGGGTTGAGTTTTGAACTGGTCATTCCCTATCCAGAATGATGTGAATATGGTCAAATTCCTCACCTCTGGCAACTTCCCCCTGCCAGTTTGGCCTGTCCCCTGCCATTGCAACATTGTTATGCCTGAGTGCAGTGACTTCTTCAAATGGAATAGGCACGAAGCACGTGAGGGGGAGTCTACAGGCCGAACTTATCGTAACCCCTATGGCTCAGTTATCTCTGAGGTCTGACAAAGGTTCTGTCTTCTGGTGGTCCCTAAGGTTGTCACATGGAGAGAGAACAAGGATGAAAGAGAAGGAAGTTAGCTGAGTTGCAAGCTATCGAAAAACTGAGGATACATGGTGTAGTACTCAAGTTTATATACCTCTAAAGGAGAGTACTGTACCAGTTGCAATGCATATCTGCAGTAATCAACAATACAATCAGTCAAATAAATAAGAGGGGAGGAGTCATACGGTGTCATATGATGGGGGTAGGGAGGCAATGAAGGCTACACCAGCTGCGCAATCAATGCGCAGCAAGGAGCCTGACACTGGATCTATAGTACAACATATGAGCAATGAAACTGAGTCATTCAGAACAAGAAAGAAACAAGTCATCCATCAGAGAGGGCAGTGGGACACCAGATCACGAGGCCATGACATTGACAGGTATTGGAAATACCTTGACAGCAGGGGATCCAAAGGAGCCCTCCAGCATATGAACCCCTAGGACAGTGATGGTTATGAGGGATGCAATGAGGCACGTGATGCACATGACCATGAGGAGTTGAAAAAGGAAAGACCCCTGACAAAGGCGTAACAAACATGAGCAGACAATACTCTGTCATGTGGCATCCATGACTGTGTGTTGTGGGTGGAAATCACCAGTTCCAGGTGACGTGGGTTTTTGGTAAGTTGTTTGATCTCACGAGGTGCAAAGATTGATGATGGATCAAACAGAGATGCGGGAGGATAGCTGATATCCATAGATGGTGGGTGATAGACATTCACTGATGGGGGATGATATGTGGTATTTATTGTGCTAACATTGTAACAATTGATTTGAGTGTCAAGCTCTGGGGGAACATGGTGGCTGATGTCAAGACCATTGTGACTTCCTTTGCCTTGGCCAGTCAATTCCAAGTATCCCTGTGATAGAATGTTCATTAGTTAGTGAATCGGTGGGTCTATCAAAGCTTACCTTGTCTCTGAAAATTTGCCAATCCATGGTGGTGGGAGCGATGGAAGAGGGAAGAAACCAGATTGAGGCACACAAGATATCATTTGATCATCATATATCAAATGGAGGGTAAATAGTACATTTGAGGCACTACATAGCCACATTTTTGAATGTGTGAATGGCAGAGCTACTGCAAGGCAATTGGCTAATGTTCATAAATAAAATGTGCAGGCCTCACCTTTCGTTTCCAAGTCATCAGTTATGTGCTATCTACTGGACCCATAAGGCCATCCTTGCTGTCATTTACACCTGACTCCACATATCTGTCACTGGCATTGCAATCCAATGAGCCATCAAATTTGCTTGACAAGTCGTGAACACAGCATTGCACTTCCTCTTCAAGTTGATCAAGCCAGGTGTTCATAGTCTGAAACATCATAATATCCTTGTTGTACACCTCACAGCCAAAGGCTAGGAAGTTCTCTGCATTGTCTATTTCCACTGCATGATCCAGATCCACATCACCTTGTCCATCCCCCAGATACTTCCCATACTTCTTACAGTTGGCTTGATAGATATATTTCATAAAATTGCTGTAGTGCTCAGCTTCCCTGAGCTCCCAGGCTGATGACAGCACTCAATAGTGCCTAGTCTTGCAACCTGCATGTTTCATCAAGACTGCCTCTTTTATCACCATGTCTAGAAGGTCCTTGATACTGTTGCAAAAAAGGAATTTCCCCTGTGATGCAATGAATTAGGATTCCATGATGTTAGAAAGAGCAAGGGAGTAATACATCTCTAGCATCATTTGGGTGAATAACTCCTGCTCCCCCTCTCAGAGACTTCCTCCCAAAGCAGAGCTCCAAAGCCTCCCCAATGTCCAGCTTGGGATAAGGTGAAAACTTTATGCGAGCAATCTTTGCAGTCTGTGGACCCCTCCCTGTGGTTCTCTCTGGAGCCATAGTGGTGTTGGGAGTGTCCTCAGGGCTGCCAGGTGATGATGGAGCAATGCTTGAGGGTGGGGGGGAGGAAAGCTGACTGCTGAGTGGGGCTGGATAAGCACTGCATGAAAGAGGTGATGAGGGCTGAGTGCTACATGGGGAGGACCCAAGGGGTTTGTGAAAACTGGATCACATTGATACAGGAGTCATGGGGGGTTCAGCTTGAATCATAAGAGGCAGTACTTCCTCAATCTGCAGCTGGCTCTGGTGGGCAATTGCAGAGGTGCAAGTTGGTCAGAGTTTGAAGGACTTGGCAAAATTTCTACACTCATGAGCCACAGACTGGTCACAGAGTCTGTCTGTCTTCGAGTTACAATGGCAGAGACAGGATACATACTGCCAGAACTGGCTCATATCTTGGAAGTTCCAAATCCTGGAAGGTTTGTATCGATGATATTGACTCAGTTTCTACTTACAAGAGTTCTAGATATTGGTGTCCAAAGGTAGCTTGCAAAGTGTTCTTTGAGACCCATGATATGTTGATCCAGCATATCAGGACATGTTATCCACTCATTCCATTTCATTCCTTGATAGCACAAGATGCTCGTCTAGCTTCATTTGGTTGATTTTCACACTCAAGGGCTAGGTACCATGAATGATCAGGGTATACTTTCAGGAACAAACCAAATACATTTGAGCAGTTTCACAATGGTCCTTTAAAGCAAGAGCAAGAGATCAATGTGTACTATCCATTTCAGTCTCGGGCAGAATGGTCTTTAGCCAAGTTTCTTGTGGAGAACCTCACACAAACTCAGATCAAGAGATTCCTCACTTTGCCCTGGGTACTACCGGTTTTACCTCAATAAAACCATATCTCACTTATTTTCCTTAGTTCCATGATAATCCCCGGCCATCCTTTACTTCAGTAGAAGAATTGCTCAGGTGGATGGATACCCTTCCCTCAGGGCCAAAGTGGTGGAGTACTGTTCTAGAAGTCGAAGGTTGCAAAACAACTGATTCTATACAGCTGATTTGGCATGATGCAGAGGAGGTAGCAAGGTCCTTGTTTGGAAACCCTATCTTTGGTGCCAATATGATGTTTGACCCTATTCTGATCACCAATGCTCTTGGATGGGAGTACAGTGAATGGTTCTTGGTGCATGAAGCCCATTGCATCCAAGTATGTTCATAGAGCAATACAACTTCACTATGGAAACTAACAATGGTCTTCTGTTAGGATTCCCTTCCAGAGGGTGCCATAATCGTACCTATTCTCACTGCATCTGACAAGACTCCTGTGACAAGGATGACTGGAGGACTAGAAATGCATCCCCTCTTAATCAGTATCAGCAATATTCCAGGGAACATCCACATGGCAGCCACCTCACATTCATGCTGATACCAAAGTTTGATGTCCCTAAGGGAATCCAAATGATCCTGCAAATGCATGTCTGGCACAAATGTGTTGATATCATCACCACAGGCCTGAAACATGTTGCAGAGATTGGAACCATGATGCCAGGCCCCCATAGATACTGATGCTATTGTTTCATGCCACTAGTGACATGGACTGCTGGCCTCCCTGAACAGCTAATGATCACATGCATCTCCAAAAGCACTTCCCCTGTCACAGAAGCAACCCATAAGCAGTTCAGTGACAGTCACTCCCATTCATCTTGTACAGGCGATCTCACTCTCCAGCGCATCAAACAAGTTGCTTGGGGTACTCACCCATGGAATAATCTGAGCTGCTTTCAAAGAGAGGCAAAGACAATACAGCTTAGCAGTGTCCACCTTCCATTTTGGAGAAACTGGCCATTTGCAGACCCCTCCATCTTCCTTCTGCCTGAAATCCTTCATACATGCCACAAGTTTCTTCGACCATGTCCTCTCATGGTGTAGAGAGTTACTTGAGGATGACCTCAATGTGCGATTCAAGTGTCACCACAAACATGTTGCAGTGAGGCACTTTGTAGGTGGTGTTCCACACACCAAGCAAATAATGGGCAGAGAACACCACAACATCCAGCATACCATTGTTCCCATGATCACTGGTTGTGTACCTCCACAGTTCCTCCATGCCATGTGTGCTATTATCAGTTTCATATACCAGGCACAGAGTCCCATACACACAGATCTTTCTGTGAAGGAAATGGAATCATCGCTGCAGGAGTTCCATGTGCACAAGGATGCCATTATCGAGGTGAACACCAGAAAGACAAGATCAGCTGGTACCAAAAATGACTTCCACATTCCAAAGTTGGAGCTTTTTCACAGCTTTGCAGTGGCAATTTGTAATAATGGTGGACTAATACAATATACTGCAGACATCAGCAAATGCCTTCTTATCACCCACTGCAAGCATCCATTCAAACATACTAATAAGAATAAAGACTTCACAGAACAAGTCATCTGATTACTCGATTGTGAAGAATCTATGCAGCAGTTTGATGTATACTTGTTGATATGCTTGAGTAACATACCCCTCATCAATGCTGTTTCCATGGAAGAGGAAGAAATCACTGCAACAGATCCAACATTTGCATGGGTAGGGCATCTGCTTGTTCAAACTGCAGATGTGAGAGCCCAAATCCATCACAGAAGTTAATTATGTCATCGAAATTGTAAGTCCTTGGGGCGCCCAGAGAAGCTTGGTGCTTCGGCCAAGCCTCGACACGGAATTTTGAGGCCAAGCATGATGTCAGGGGAGGAATGCGAGTGCGAGTACTTGATAAGTGAGTGCGCATGAGTGGGAAAACACAAAAATGCAAGCAAAGTGACTGCAAAAATGAGACTGACAGGTGAAATCTGCTAAACTGAGCCTGAAAATTGCAAAAAGAAAGCTGGAGACTGCAAAACTAAATCTGGGAAGGTTGGGATGAGTGCCAGGCTAAGACTGAAGCCCCTCATGGTGGGCTCCAGATGTAGGAAAAGGAATTTATGTTAGATTTGGCAAGTCGCACATAGCCCATTCCGAATGCATCTGCTCTGGGTCGTGAGAACTAATTTCCGCTTTAGACCCTTTTCTTACTCAACACTATTACTGAATGCGCAAACTAACTCTCTGCGTCCTTATGTTTATTGTATTTACAGTGTCTTGCACTTATGTGCAAGTCCTCTTGTTATCCACAAAGACCATAGCGCATCTCAGAACAAGACAATACTTATTGTAAATGGGTTCAACACCTGGTGTTTCACTTCTATTGTTACATTACAGTATTTAGTTCTGCACTGTAGACCCCATCACCTCAGATGTTGTTGCTGTCTGCATGTGACTGAGGTGAGTACGATATCCTTCTGCTTACTTTACTATGCTTACCGCGCACCTAGTTACTTGTATAGGTAAATATATACAGACGTTGTTGCTGTCTGCGCATGACTGAGTTACTTGTATAGATACTTCTGTGAGGTTATGAGCCCCAAGCTCTAATAGCCTACAAACGTCTCACCATCGTTTCGATATTCTCGCTGTTAAATCGACCCTCATCTCCCTGCAATGACCACTGCTATCCCCATCACCACCGATACACTCCTGGGCAACGTTCCGAAGCTCGATATCAAAGGCACGAACTGTGCGATCTTCTCCCTTCGCTTCCAGACCGCTGTCGAAGCTAAGGAGCTATGGTCCCACTTCGATGGAACCTCTCTTTGCCCTGCCGGTATGACCTCCACTGATCAGGATGGATTCGTGACAGTAGTCCCTCCTGACACTGATGAACTCACTAAGTGGCAGAAAAGCAAAAATATGGCGAAACATTTACTTACTCAATGGATCCCCAATTCCACTGCCCTTCGGGTGCATAGCCTTAGCAGCATCACTGCCATGTGGAATGAGATTGTTTGCAAGTACACTGAGAAGGGAGCTTATGCTCAAACAGATCTGCAAACAAAGTTTTTAGGCATGCAATGCCCTGCCGACAGCGACATCCACCAATTCCTGGATGATCTGTGTATGAAGAGAGATGAGTTGGCAGCCATTGGCGTACAGATCGAAGAAAAGGACTATCGATCGACCATCATCCAATCCTTACCCAAATACCTCGCCAGCTTCGCATCTGGTCAGCTCGCAACTGCTCGTTTGTACAGCCCAATGCAAACTGTCAACCCCAATATTCTCATCTCCCTTATTATCGAAGAATCAGAAAGACGAAGCTGCAAGGAGATGCAGCACTCATGTCCTAAGCAAAGAACCTGTGAAGGCGATGTAGCCTTGGCCATGACCCCTGGAAACTCCTCTAATCGAGGACGAGGGAGTTGGAGAGGTCGAGGAGGAAGCTCCAGAGGGCACACTCGCCAGTGTGGACCCTGCTGGAACTGTGGGTTGAGGGAGCACTACAAGTCTCAATGTCCTGATCCTGATAAAAAGAAAGAAGCTACATCCACTGCTACAAATGGATCTGCTCACGCTGTGACGCTTGACTCTGATGAAGAGGGCGCCTTCTCGGCCCACGCCTTGGACGAGCTGGATGATGAGGTGATGCTCCCTGATCTATTGAGCATATCCTCAGACAACGATGATGAATGTTGGCAACACTTCACCACCTGCAACAAGGACTGGTTCAGTGAGGTGGAGGAAGTGGATGGTGAGGACTCACCTTGCAGAAACAGCTCGAGTCCTGATGAGCCCACTGAAACCTCCCCAGAGTTCACAAACCTTGTAAACGACAGCCCTATTAATGCGCGTGTCATCGAACTCTATGATTCTGGATCCACTCGTCACATCTCCCCCTACAAGGAGAGATTTGAGGCCCTAACGAGCATACCACCTAGGTCATTCTCAGCAGCAAACAAACAACTCTTTGATGCCACAGCTATGGGGGAGATGGTCATAGAAGTACCAAATGGGTATGATGTGACTAAATTGAGACTTACAGAGGTGCTATATTTGCCCAAGGTAGGATACACCCTCATATCCATCGGCCGCCTTGATCAGCTAGGGTACTCCACCACCTTCGCTGAAGGCACCTGCATCATCAGGAACCCCACCGATGACATTGTTGGACATGTCCCCAAGTCCAAAGCTGGTCTCTATCACGTCATTCACAACAACAATCGCAACCAAGCAAACTCCATGACTGAAACAGTTACTGTCATGGAGCTTCACCGAAGGATGGGTCACATATCTCTGACTGCTGCCTGCCACTTAGCTGAAAAGGGACTCGTGTCAGGACTGAAATTTGACTTGTCAAAGGACAAACTGACCTTCTGCGAAGCTTGCATATATGTGAAGGCGACCAGAAAGCCTGTCGCAAAGGAACACGTCAGAGACTGAGCTACTGAATTCACAGAAGAAGTGCATACCGACCTCTGGGGACCTGCACCTGTTGAAACTCTCGGAGGACGGCGTTACTACATCTCGTTCACCGACGACAAGACATGACTCACCTATATCCATCTCCTCCATCAGAAATGTGAAGCTTTCTTGGCCTATAAAGATTTCAAGGCCTGGTGTTGCACCCAACATAATGCCTGCATGAAGACTCTTCATTCCGATCAAGGCAGCGAGTACCTAGGAAAAGAATTTGTGATGTACCTCAGGGCAGCTGGTACAAAGCAAAAACTCACCGTACACAATACCCTGCAGCACAATGGCATTGCTGAGTGCCTTAACCACATGTTGCTGGAGAAAGTACATGCCATGCTACATGAGAGTGGATTACCTTGTGCCCTTTGGGGCAAGGCAGTATGTCATGCTGTCTGGTTGAAGAACAGAACCCCCACTAAAGCACTTGATGGAGGAACACCTCTCAAAGCTGCGACTGGGAAGAAACCTGACCTTAGTTGAGCCCGCACATGGGGCTCAAATGTCTGGGTACAAATTGAGGGTGGAAGCAAGCTGGGAGGACGCATTGCTGAAGGTCGATGGGTTGGAATAGACGATAACAGCCCCAATGGATGTCATGTATACTGGCCTGAAAAGAAGTCAGTCACTGTCGAAAGCAACGTGTACTGGGACCCCTCCTCAGCTGAGCCATTACCTCGCGAGGGGGAGGAAGAAGATGTGTACTTACCAAACGCGATGCTAATGTCTACAGCACCCATCACAGAGATTGCTGCAGCTCCATCACCTCCACCAGTCACTCCAGCTCAACCTGTGCCTCCACTGCTTCCAGCTGATCCACCTGTCACGAAACGAATCTGAAAACCCAGCCAGTGCCTCGCAGAGATTCTCACTGGAAAAGGTAGTACCAACCATCGTGGTACACCTGAAGTACCAAAAGGAGTTCAGTTACCTACCATTGTCAAGGAACATTCAAACCCTGTCAGGCTCGAGGGGGAGCAAGAGACTGCTGCAGCCCTACTCGCATCTATCATTGAAGACTCAGATGACGACCTATGTCGGATTGACCTTGCTATGGCTATGGACGAGATTACTGCCGAAACAGAAGCTCTCGAGCCCAGCTCGCTAGCTGAAGCTTGTCGCTGTCCTGATTGGCTGCAATGGGAAAATGGAATAAGAGAGGAGTTAGTGACATTACGGGATGCAGGAACTTGGGAACTTGTCAACTTACCCCCCAGTGCAAATGTCATAGGTTCAAAATGGGTGTTCCAGGCCAAGAAGGATGCCACAGGAAACATCATGTGGCACAAGGCCAGACTTGTCGCCCAGGGGTACTCACAGGTCGAAGGTGTCGATTACTTTGATATGTTTGCACCAGTAGCAATGCTCGCATCCATCCATGTTGTACTTGTGATGGCTGCTCACTCTGATCTACAACTCCATCAGATAGATATCAAAGGAGCGTACCTAAATGGCACACTCACCAACAACGAAGTCATTTACATGTGCCAGCCTCCCAGATTCAAATCTGCCAATCACCCACACAAGGTCTGCCACCTTCGCAAAACTTTGTATGGCCTAAAGCAAAGTGGTTGTCGCTGGTACCAGAGGCTAGTCAAGATATTAGTAGACGAGCTCAGGTTCACCCAGTGTTCTGTCGACCAAGCCATGTACTTCTGACGTCGCAACACTGGCGAGCTCATAATCATTGTTGTACACATCGATGACTGCACTATCGCCGCCACACTTTCAAGTGAGATTGATGAGTTCAAAAGGGACATCAGAAAGTACATCGAGATAACTGACCTTGGCGAGCTCCATTGGTTGCTCGGGATAGAGGTCACCAGAAACCGAGATGAATGCACTATCTCACTGTGCCAGCATCCCTACATCGAATCGATCGTCCAACACTTTGGCTTTGATGAGTTAAAACCTGTATCAAACCCCATGGAACCTAGCACAAAGCTGCACTCTGGTCAGTCACCCTCCACCAGCACTGAATACACTGCAATGAAACACATACCATATCACAAAGCCATTGGCTCACTGATGTATGCCTCCCTGGGTACCTGTCCCGACCCCCATGGAACCTAGCACAAAGCTGCACTCTGGTCAGTCACCCTCCACCAGCACTGAATACACTGCAATGAAACACATACCATATCACAAAGCCATTGGCTCACTGATGTATGCCTCCCTGGGTACCTGTCCCGACATCTCATATGCCGTGACCACCATCTCCCGTTTCTCTGGAAATCCTGGGATTCCCCACTGGGAAGCAGTTAGAAGAATATATTGTTACCTTCTTGGAACCAAGAATTTGAAGTTGACATACAGTGGGACACCCAACGCACTTGTAGGATACACAGATGCAGACGGAAGTATGGCGGAAGACTGCAGAGTGGTCTCAGGGTACACTTTCTTGATAAACAGTGGCACTGTGTCATGGTCCTCAAAATGACAGGAAATCATCTCACTGTCAATGACTGAAAGTGAGTATGTGGCAGCCACCCATGTGGCCAAGGAAGCCTTATGGCTTTGGTCGCTCATCGGAGAGCAGTTTGGGCCACTCACTGAACTGACCACGTTGTTCTCAGATAATCAATCAGCTATCATGCTCACCAAAGATCATCAATATCACGCACGCACCAAACATATCAATATCCGTTTCCACTTCATCTGCTAGGTTGTTGAAAACAGCAAGATCTGCTTAATCTACTGCCCCACCACCTATATGGTCGCCAACACCCTGACTAAAGCTTTACCGTCGCCCAAGGTGAAGCACTTTGCCATCAAACTCGGTCTACGTCCTACTTGAGGGGGAGTGTTAGATTTGGCAAGTCACATGTAGCCTGTTCCGAACGCATCTGCTCTGGGTCGTGAGAACTAATTTCCGCTTTAGACCCTTTTCTTACTCAACACTATTACTGAACGTGCAAACTAACTCTCCATGTCCTTATGTTTATTGTATTTACAGTGTCTTGCACTTATGTGCAAGTCCTCTTGTTATCCACAAAGACCATAGTGTGTCTCACAACAAGACAATACTTATTGTAAATGGGTTCAACACCCGGTGTTTCACTTCTATTGTTACATTACAGTATTTAGTTCTGCACTGTAGACCCCATCACCTCAGATGTTGTCGCTGTCTGCACGCGACTGAGGTGAGTACAATATCCTTCCGCTTACTTTACTATGCTTACCACACACCTAGTTACTTGTATAGGTAAATATATACAGACGTTGTCACTGTCTGTGCATGACTGAGTTACTTGTATAGATACTTCTGTGAATTTAAGAGTGTGAAGACTGGGTGATGGATTATCTGAGGGGATGAGTAAGCCAAAGGGGCTTCCATAACCTGTGACTGGATCCTGGTAGTCATCTGAAGGCTTCTATGGCTGTCTTGGTGCAGGGAATGACCTGCTTGAGCTCGTCTCTCATCTTAGGGTAACTCGTCTATTTTTATTAAAGGAAAAACCTATACACAAGTAGCACTACTGCTGACTAAGCAACCAAAAATGCGAAATCTAATTATATTCACCATTGCTTGCCGAGCTCGCAAAGAATTCAAAAACTGTCTAATGTGCATGCTGTAATTTGGCTGAATTTACTGATGAAGTACATCTGCAAATCGCTTAGTGCTCTAAGAGCAACGTTAGAGCGCTTAGCATCGGTAACAGTGCGTGCCGAGCTCTCAAACAATTCAAAAACTGTCTGAAGCGCATGCTGTAATTCGACCGTCTTGCAGATGCTACCCTGGAGACGAAGTCGAGAGATCAATCCTTCTCATTCCCAGACCGCATGGACGCCCTCGACAATCCTACTCAGGACGACCTCTCTGAGCAGGATTCTGCTATCCTGGAACGCGTTGTCTGGAGGAAGCTTGATAGATGTGTTCTCTTTATGTGCGCCATGTTCTACTTGATGTCTTCCCTCGTAAGTCGTGCTTATGCGTGTCGTACATTCGAAGGCCTGCTCAGTTTAGCTTCCCGGACATTCAGGACAGGAATAACATTGGGAATGCGCGTATTGCCGGTATGCAGACAGCACTGAAAATGTCAAACTACCAAGTAAGCTTTGACGTTGAATGATGTCTTTGTGGACTGTCTGATCCTGTCCACAGTATACCCTGGCTTTAACAGTCACTTATATGTAAGCACGTTCAAGGGAAGTTGCGGAATTTCTATTTGAACCACGTAGCCCCTACATTGCTATGGAGTTACCTTCAAACTTGATCTTGAAAGTTAGTCCTTAATTCTGATTGTATATTGTTCTGATCTTTATAATTCGTAGCGTGTCGGACCGAATCTCATGTTACCTGCTATGGTTACCCTGTGGGGCATAGTTTCTGCAATGCAAGGTACGCGACTTTCGGGTGATCAACATCTTACTCTTAATTGTGATTCTATCTAGGACTTGTTACTAGTTACACTGGACTCCTTTTATGTCGGTTTTTTCTGGGCTTGACCGAAGGTAAAATTAGAAATGTATAAGATACCAAATCTCTCATGAACTGTCATGTCCCCGTAATAGGCGGCCTCTTTCCCGGGCTTGTCCTTCACCTTTCTTCTTTCTACCCCAGAGAAAGATTGCAGATCAGGTTAGTCTAGGGATTTTACTACGCCAATGATAGTGCCCATGAGCTCATGATGTTTCCCTTCCAGGATCACGGCTTTCTTTGCCTCAGTGTCATTAACAGGCGCTTTCTCTGGCTTACTAGCCGCTGCTATACTGCAGATGGACGGAATAGGTGGAAAGCCAGGATGGGCATGGATATTCATTCTCGTATGTCTTCCTTTCAATATGGCCGGGTATGATATCCATGGGGCTTCCAGGAGGGATTGTTCACCTTCGTATTCGGTATCTTGTCATTTTTCGTTTTGCCTCGGTCCCCAGAGACCGTGCGCTTTTTATCTTTAAAGGAAAGATCGTATGTTGTCTCGAGACTCAAGAGCAGCAGGGCCATCTCCGATGATGATAGGCACGGCGACTTCAGCTGGATGGAAGTGCTAAGAGCAATTCGTTCACCGCAAGTTTTAATGCTCTGTGTTCTCGTATTCTTTGGAGGGATACTGTTTGGCGGGCTTTCATTGTCAGTCTCCGTATTTAATGGTATCCTTCTGCCTGACATTATATGCGCAGCTTTGAGCCAACAATCGTTGCTGGCTTGGGGTACACAGGCAATCAGGCACAGCTAATGAGTGTTCCCCCTTTCGCCGCTGCATTTTTAGGTAAGCATAAACCAGCGCTGTGAGTTGCTAATTACCAATGCATTGCCAACATGCAGCCTCCATGATTTCCGCATTCGTTTCTGATCGGTACGGATGCCGTGGCTTTACGGTGATATTTTTCGCAATCTGGTCCGTAATCGGGTTTTCCATGTTCTATGGTATAGTTAAATGTTCTGTATTCCCCCCAATATACTGACTCGACAACTCAGCGGCCACTTCTCAGCGTGTTCAATATGCCTCACTCTTCTTCTCTGTGACTGGTGCATATGCTAGTGCTCCAGCTGGCGTCACATGGCTCGCCAATAACAGCGCACCTCACATCCGTCGAGCAAGTAGCATTGCCTTCGCAACTGTTTCAGGTAATTTAGGTGGCGTTCTCGCCATCTGGTTGCTTGGTTTCCTGTCACCTGCTCCAAAATATACGGCAGCCACGATCATATTCATTGCCATGTCCATTGGCCAGGCTGTGGTCTCATCTCTCAATTTGTTTTACCTTTCACGGGAGAACCGTGCGAAGGCAGAGATGAGGCTTTCTATGGCGAAAGATGATGAATCCGACCATTTGGGAGATCGCAGCGCATGGTTCGTGTACGCTTTGTAGGTCAGGTTCACGCACCGCGCGTATATTCACAGTAATAGTGTACAGCTATATGGCTTGTCCTAGTGGTGCATTGTCATCTTTGTTGTCGTACATTCAATTGCGGGGTGAACATAGTTGAACCAATGTCTAGCGTAATGCCCAGCATCTGGTTCTTCCTAGGCGCGTATACGTATAGGTGACGGATCCGAATAATATCGGAATGATAACAAAACTATATTGGTTAGCCAAGGTTAGTCTCACGAAGAGTTTGCACAACGGCTAGGGTTGTCGAGCGGCTGGAATATAATAAGGCCAGACGCAGAAGTTCTTCTCTAGATCCAGTCCTTTGTTCCCCGGTGTTCCCCTATGGGCCCATATGACCAGATTCTAGGTAAGTTATCCTGTTGGGCTTGTCGAACTGATCAAGTTGACACAATCAGGTCCTCTTCTAATAGGCATTCTTTGTGCGTACCATGTTTCTGTTTGTAGTGCCCACTGCAACGCTGACCGCTCACCACTGAAGTCAATACATATTTGTATGGAATCGTCACATACCAATTCGCGTCATATTACCGAGCTGGTGAGTATGATTCCTGTTACAGGCGTTCCTATCACCCATATCTTTCCCATAGATTTCAACGATCGACTTGCCGTGAAGTCTCTGTCATTCCCCGCTGCTATGCTGCTCTTGCTCACGTCCTATTCGCAGATGTGCGGTGGCATTCTTGCTCGTCCTTGACACAGTTCATAGTATAGCGTGAGTCTCATGTCGTAGGGGCTGTGTCGGTAAGCATCCTCACAGTGTTCGGCAGGTTAATCTATATGGTTTGGGTATACATGTGTGTCTGGGTCCTCTTATGCTTCAAGGGGTACTAAATCTCCTGTTAGGGTCACGAACTACACAAATCCAACCGCGTTGCAGTGTCAGGAGTTGTCATTCTTCCATTGCGCTGCGACTGACCAATTTCTTAAGACTTTGCATGGCCATATCCCTTCACGCCCATCGGCACCGCGCTTGCCGCACTTGTAACACAAATATTTCTCGGTGACCGGTATGTGTCCACAACAGCATTGCCAAGCTGCTTATAGTCGTTGGCACAGGATATACCGCCTTACCCACAACAAAGTAATTTACGGTATTGTCATCATGATGGCTCTCCCCGCATTTGGTCTTGGAATTGCTTGCGGTATCGAAGCATGGTTCATCCATGTGTAGGGTGTTCTTGTTCCGATTGCCGTGCAGAATGATATTGACACGGTTATTTTTCCAAAGGCTTGCTGATGTGCCACGTGTCAATGGCCTTGCGACAGCCTGGGTTGTGATGCAAGTGATCGTGGACACATTCTTAACCGGTCAGCATCTGTGTCCCGTCCCATGACTTTGCCATCAATTTTCATCGCACCTCCTAGTTACATTATCTATTATTCTCGCTCGTGCGAAGACGGGTTTGCCCATTACGGACGGCGTTCTCAGGCGTTTGATACGCGGGGCTATCCAAACTGGCGTGTTTGCAATTATATTCTGCTTGGGCGAGTTGATCACTTTCCTGCTGCTTCCAAATGCAAGCTTCTATGGCATGTTCGGCGTTCCAGTTGGTCGAATCTACTCCAACGTGAGTTTCTTTTTCAGGCCTGTATCATCATACCAATAATGAACATGGACAGACTTTACTGGACACGCTTCTGGTGCGTGAGAAGCTTAAAAAGGAACTGTCGAGTACTGCATTCCAGAGGGCATCACAGGTATGTCGGCGTTATATCGGAGCAGCATCGACCGTCATCTCAATGGGGACCGACCAATAGGTGATGGGCTGGATACCGATGACAAGAGTGACGCCGGGACCTGCGGCCACTAGCCTTCACCTTGAAGTCCACCGCAGCTTGCATGATACAACAGACGTTACAAGTACATACGATGAGGGACAGAAGAACACCAGCATAGATCAGCAACATTAATCGTAGTTCGTACGGTACATACATATTTTAGGTAATTTTAGCTATTGACTCATGTAGTTGAGATGATTATAAATACGGAGTCCAGAAAGTGATGATGCTGCTTTGAAGAGAACAATCATGTTGCTGTTGGTCTGTCTAGATCTGTTTCGCGTCTCGGCGACGATTTCACTAAAATAATGGTAACCGACCGTGTCTGTTGCCTCTTTTCTAGCGCTCGTCGGCTGGGAAAACTGGAAATGCTTCTTTCCAGTGGTCACTGAGCGCTGATCTCCCACGTTCCGACAGATGAACCTCTTCAAGGTCTATGAAGACTGGACCGAAGGCCGCCATCCCACAATTGGAGGTTGGAAAACTTAGGCGTAACTTTATAGGAAGAGTTTCGCTCCGTCACGGGCATTTTGTGCCTTAGACCGGTATGTCTCATCCATTTACAGTCGTCTAGGCATTAGGTGAAGATATTAATCGGCATCCTCAGTTTCGCCGATCTGCACAGCTCACCTACAATATGATACATCCATACGCCCTTCTGGTAACATTTTCACTTGACGCGTATCAGGGACCAGGACAGGTTTCCCCAGCAAATTTGCGTGTTGAGTCCATGGCAAGTTTGTTTGATATCACATCATTGATGCCACGCATGCAACTCGTTTCATTATCCATCCTATGAAATCGAAAGCGGAATGAAGAAGTCAAGAACGTCCAATAGGAAAGAGTCGAAAACTAGTACGAAGGCGCTCGTGGAGGATACCTTCTGCTCCAGTCTAAGCTGGACAATCGGGCCTGTACCCCTCCGCTTTTTCAGGAAAGAATTGGGCCATGGGACGCGGAAGGCAGTCCTTGCAAAAGTCAAAAGTGCGATAAATGGTAGATCTATGGTATGGTCTTGCAGAGGGTATGGGTGACGGTGGTAAGTGGCTCTTTTCCTTTTTGCTGGAGCCTCGCATACTACATATGACTTTTCTCGTTATCACCGTGGTGCGATGTGCCAAGCTAACGCCAACGGCTTCGTCTATCTTCACACCCTTGAACATTGTCGTCGACCCAACTGACGGTACCAGTTCGAAAGTCAACGGTGCGTGTGCCATCACGGCTAGCGTCTGGTTCTTATGTACGTATCTTCTTTTCCCGCAATCTGTTACAGTCCATTGCTACGTTAGACACATTAAACTGGAATTTTCTGTCTGTCCTTATTCTTTCAGTCAATATCACCTGATAAATTGACGTATCCAGAGTAAGTTACTAGAAACACGGTAGGTCGCGCGATCGCGCATATAAAGAAACCCAAGTGACGAAGATGAAGGAGAGGGAGACAAAGAAAGGACGGAAGTGAGGCGACAAGTTGAAGGACGGCGTCCCAAAGCTCCGAGCCATCGCCATGATCAGAGCGACAACCTGCCAATCACGAGAACCAAGCTTCCACGCCTATCGCGCCTCTCCGTTGAGGGCTGTCGTCGGCAGTACCAGTGATGTCACTCGCTGAGGAACAACATCTGCAGTTTCGAACAAGCGGGCCGCTTGGATTACCGGCGCCTAATCATTTACGATACTTACGTTCCATGTGAGAAACACATCTGATTGGTCAAAAGTCTGCCTGGAGGATGGAGATCGTCTACCTAACATGATAATGGTACTAGTGATAATGATTACTATGATTATGACAGTGATCTTATCCAGATGCAGTCAAACTGATCATGGTTTGTAGGATTCTAATACATCATAGTGTACCTACTATGCTACCCCATCAGAATTACTAGCAAAATGAGCCCCCCCTGTGGAATGTGTTGAGTATCTCTTTGTCTGCAAAGTGATTGAGGAAAAAACAGTGGTAAAGCTCTTGTGATGCAGCAGATGATATGCTAGGTGGCACCTTTTCAGAACCAAAAATGGGGACAAGCTCTAGTGCATGTGAGATCCAAGTAATGGGCATGACCAGTCCCTCTTGTGTCTCTCCACCTTCCTCCATATGGGAGAAGCACCTTTCCAGGGTCCACATCTGCAGCTCAGGTTGCTGCTGCAGGGTGGCAATAACACAGAAGGGCTGTAGATAAATGAGGGGATGGTTGAGATACAGAGGGGTTTCAACCTTGGAGTGTGGACATGCACAAGGCTGGAAAATAGTGTGAACTTGTGCAACATAACTGGCAGCTGTATGCAGTACACGTATTAATACAGATCAATGCACATGTGAAAGCTACACACTGTCATTTGAGGGGCTGATTAAAACAACATCATAGCATCCATATGGGAAATCCTGAGAGGGGCACAATGCCCAAACAACTTGACTCAGAAGAATCATAGAATTGTGGAATGTGGAGTGCAGCTGAACACAGAGCTTATGCCACACAGCAATATGATTGAAAGTACAAATATCAAACTGGAGGTCAAGGGAATGCAATTGAAGAAATTCTAAATAATGGTCTTGAAAGTAGGGGAGCTGATATTGTTCAGCAATGTTGTTCAGTGACAGATTAGTTTCATCCAAATGTGACATGACATGGAGGGCAGTTTGAGTATGATTGGCGAGAATGCCATCAGCAAAGTAATTGCAGACTGGGCAGGGACCATGGAGTTGCCATTGCTCCTCAAGTAGGACATGCCCTACCCATGTGAATGTTGGATCTGTTGCAGTGATTTCTTCCTCTTCCATGGAAACAGCATTGATGAGGGGTATGTTACTCAAGCATATCAACAAGTATACATCAAACTGCTGCATAGATTCTTCACAATCGAGTAATCAGATGACTTGTTCTGTGAAGTCTTTATTCTTATTAGTATGTTTGAATGGATGCTTGCAGTGGGTGATAAGAAGGCATTTGCTGATGTCTGCAGTATATTGTATTAGTCCACCATTATTACAAATTGCCACTGCAAAGCTGTGAAAAAGCTCCAACTTTGGAATGTGGAAGTCATTTTTGGTACCAGCTGATCTTGTCTTTCTGGTGTTCACCTCGATAATGGCATCCTTGTGCACATGGAACTCCTGCAGCGATGATTCCATTTCCTTCACAGAAAGATCTGTGTGTATGGGACTCTGTGCCTGGTATATGAAACTGATAATAGCACACATGGCATGGAGGAACTGTGGAGGTACACAACCAGTGATCATGGGAACAATGGTATGCTGGATGTTGTGGTGTTCTCTGCCCATTATTTGCTTGGTGTGTGGAACACCACCTACAAAGTGCCTCACTGCAACATGTTTGTGGTGACACTTGAATCGCACATTGAGGTCATCCTCAAGTAACTCTCTACACCATGAGAGGACATGGTCGAAGAAACTTGTGGCATGTATGAAGGATTTCAGGCAGAAGGAAGATGGAGGGGTCTGCAAATGGCCAGTTTCTCCAAAATGGAAGGTGGACACTGCTAAGCTGTATTGTCTTTGCCTCTCTTTGAAAGCAGCTCAGATTATTCCATGGGTGAGTACCCCAAGCAACTTGTTTGATGCGCTGGAGAGTGAGATCGCCTGTACAAGATGAATGGGAGTGACTGTCACTGAACTGCTTATGGGTTGCTTCTGTGACAGGGGAAGTGCTTTTGGAGATGCATGTGATCATTAGCTGTTCAGGGAGGCCAGCAGTCCATGTCACTAGTGGCATGAAACAATAGCATCAGTATCTATGGGGGCCTGGCATCATGGTTCCAATCTCTGCAACATGTTTCAGGCCTGTGGTGATGATATCAACACATTTGTGCCAGACATGCATTTGCAGGATCATTTGGATTCCCTTAGGGACATCAAACTTTGGTATCAGCATGAATGTGAGGTGGCTGCCATGTGGATGTTCCCTGGAATATTGCTGATACTGATTAAGAGGGGATGCATTTCTAGTCCTCCAGTCATCCTTGTCACAGGAGTCTTGTCAGATGCAGTGAGAATAGGTACGATTATGGCACCCTCTGGAAGGGAATCCTAACAGAAGACCATTGTTAGTTTCCATAGTGAAGTTGTATTGCTCTATGAACATACTTGGATGCAATGGGCTTCATGCACCAAGAACCATTCACTGTACTCCCATCCAAGAGCATTGGTGATCAGAATAGGGTCAAACATCATATTGGCACCAAAGATAGGGTTTCCAAACAAGGACCTTGCTACCTCCTCTGCATCATGCCAAATCAGCTGTATAGAATCAGTTGTTTTGCAACCTTCGACTTCTAGAACAGTACTCCACCACTTTGGCCCTGAGGGAAGGGTATCCATCCACCTGAGCAATTCTTCTACTGAAGTAAAGGATGGCCGGGGATTATCATGGAACTAAGGAAAATAAGTGAGATATGGTTTTATTGAGGTAAAACCGGTAGTACCCAGGGCAAAGTGAGGAATCTCTTGATCTGAGTTTGTGTGAGGTTCTCCACAAGAAACTTGGCTAAAGACCATTCTGCCCGAGACTGAAATGGATAGTACACATTGATCTCTTGCTCTTGCTTTAAAGGACCATTGTGAAACTGCTCAAATGTATTTGGTTTGTTCCTGAAAGTATACCCTGATCATTCATGGTACCTAGCCCTTGAGTGTGAAAATCAACCAAATGAAGCTAGACGAGCATCTTGTGCTATCAAGGAATGAAATGGAATGAGTGGATAACATGTCCTGATATGCTGGATCAACATATCATGGGTCTCAAAGAACACTTTGCAAGCTACCTTTGGACACCAATATCTAGAACTCTTGTAAGTAGAAACTGAGTCAATATCATCGATACAAACCTTCCAGGATTTGGAACTTCCAAGATATGAGCCAGTTCTGGCAGTATGTATCCTGTCTCTGCCATTGTAACTCGAAGACAGACAGACTCTGTGACCAGTCTGTGGCTCATGAGTGTAGAAATTTTGCCAAGTCCTTCAAACTCTGACCAACTTGCACCTCTGCAATTGCCCACCAGAGCCAGCTGCAGATTGAGGAAGTACTGCCTCTTATGATTCAAGCTGAACCCCCCATGACTCCTGTATCAATGTGATCCAGTTTTCACAAACCCCTTGGGTCCTCCCCATGTAGCACTCAGCCCTCATCACCTCTTTCATGCAGTGCTTATCCAGCCCCACTCAGCAGTCAGCTTTCCTCCCCCCCACCCTCAAGCATTGCTCCATCATCACCTGGCAGCCCTGAGGACACTCCCAACACCACTATGGCTCCAGAGAGAACCACAGGGAGGGGTCCACAGACTGCAAAGATTGCTCGCATAAAGTTTTCACCTTATCCCAAGCTGGACATTGGGGAGGCTTTGGAGCTCTGCTTTGGGAGGAAGTCTCTGAGAGGGGGAGCAGGAGTTATTCACCCAAATGATGCTAGAGATGTATTACTCCCTTGCTCTTTCTAACATCATGGAATCCTAATTCATTGCATCACAGGGGAAATTCCTTTTTTGCAACAGTATCAAGGACCTTCTAGACATGGTGATAAAAGAGGCAGTCTTGATGAAACATGCAGGTTGCAAGACTAGGCACTATTGAGTGCTGTCATCAGCCTGGGAGCTCAGGGAAGCTGAGCACTACAGCAATTTTATGAAATATATCTATCAAGCCAACTGTAAGAAGTATGGGAAGTATCTGGGGGATGGACAAGGTGATGTGGATCTGGATCATGCAGTGGAAATAGACAATGCAGAGAACTTCCTAGCCTTTGGCTGTGAGGTGTACAACAAGGATATTATGATGTTTCAGACTATGAACACCTGGCTTGATCAACTTGAAGAGGAAGTGCAATGCTGTGTTCACGACTTGTCAAGCAAATTTGATGGCTCATTGGATTGCAATGCCAGTGACAGATATGTGGAGTCAGGTGTAAATGACAGCAAGGATGGCCTTATGGGTCCAGTAGATAGCACATAACTGATGACTTGGAAACGAAAGGTGAGGCCTGCACATTTTATTTATGAACATTAGCCAATTGCCTTGCAGTAGCTCTGCCATTCACACATTCAAAAATGTGGCTATGTAGTGCCTCAAATGTACTATTTACCCTCCATTTGATATATGATGATCAAATGATATCTTGTGTGCCTCAATCTGGTTTCTTCCCTCTTCCATCGCTCCCACCACCATGGATTGGCAAATTTTCAGAGACAAGGTAAGCTTTGATAGACCCACCGATTCACTAACTAATGAACATTCTATCACAGGGATACTTGGAATTGACTGGCCAAGGCAAAGGAAGTCACAATGGTCTTGACATCAGCCACCATGTTCCCCCAGAGCTTGACACTCAAATCAATTGTTACAATGTTAGCACAATAAATACCACATATCATCCCCCATCAGTGAATGTCTATCACCCACCATCTATGGATATCAGCTATCCTCCTGCATCTCTGTTTGATCCATCATCAATCTTTGCACCTCATGAGATCAAACAACTTACCGAAAACCCACATCACCTGGAACTGGTGATTTCCACCCACAGCACACAGTCATGGATGCCATGTGACAGAGTATTTTCTGTTCACATTGTGATGGCAGGGGACAGGCCAAACTGGCAGGGGGAAGTTGCCAGAGGTGAGGAATTTGACTGTATTCACATTGTTCTGGATAGGGAATGACCAGTTCAAAACTCAACCCAGCTGACCAAGCATGTCTGTTTACCCATCCTCCCTACTGGTGATCCCCCTGCAGCCAATGCCCTGGCATTAGTCCCTGTCAATCTCCAGCCAACTGCAACTATGCATATCCCTGACTATGTTGTGAAGCACTTCAAGGACAAAGCCAAGAAAGAACTTCATCGATACTTCATGATGGAGTGACTGATACAGACAACTGCTGATTCCAAGTATATTGAAGACTTAGTGATTCATCTTGTGGAAGGCATATTCAGGTCCTCAGGCAGTGAGTACCAAATACCAGGAACGACTCATTACTGACATGGAGTAGAAACTTGGTTGGATTCAAAGAAAAATATGAAGACATTCTGCAATAATGCAAAACACACACTTCACGAGGTCACCAGTATGTTCAAGACTGTCACTCAATTAACTCTCAAGGATTCATATAACTTGCACATGCCCATTAATGCACCACATATGACTCAGATCACTGAGACATGGAGAACCAGTGTGGAACCCCTCCTTGTCAGATGGGATTTTGTTGATGAAGAGGTTCTGGTATGTCTTTCCCCATGTGCAACTTTATGGCAGATTAACATTTTTGGTAGCTTCCAACAGGACAAATGGTGACTGGCTTCTTCAACTGCTGCACCATGAGCACCGTCATTCATGAAGCTGTATTCTCACCTTGTTGCAAACTGTCCTCCATCATTCCCCCCCAACACAGAAAATCTCGATCATCTTATCACCTTCACCATCACCATCATTCAGTGGGGGCTCACAAACCTTGTCAGGGGCCTGTGAGGCCAAGTTCGAGGCAGATGTATATGAACCTCACTACAATAATGCCCTTCGATGTATTCAGGACCTTAGGAGCGAAGGGACCTATTACTACACTAGACCGTTTCTTGGAATTTACTGCTAGCATTTTGGCATGTGGAAGGGAACTTGTAGAACACTACTCCCAGTGTACATAAGCTTGTAACTGATCTATGATGACTAGTACTACACATGATAATCAGTGTTCTTGTCTCCAATGACAACACTGATAAGATGACATCAGCACTAGGATCTCGATAAGGCCATGGTAAATAAGCCATACACTTCTCATAATTCACAAGCAAGCTAAATGGAGAAATTCTAAATGGGGAGTGGTATAACCTGCTCACTTGCTCGTGCATAGTTTTGCAGATGAACATCAGTAAATTCAGCCAAATTATAGCATGCACATTAGACAGTTTTTGAATGCTCAGGCAAACACTGGCAAACATTAAGCACTTGAAAACCCAGGTTTTTGAACACTTAGCTTTACTGATGAAGAAGGGAGGGAAACCTCTGGTGGGAGATGGACTTTCCCCTCACTAGACCTTGACTGAGGTCCAGAGGCTTGGTGTGGTGGCTGCCCCACTGCCTATGAAGTGAGTTATATGGGTGAAATCCCCATCAGGTGTTCAAAGTGAAACTAGTCCACCCCCTCCATCCAGAAGGATGGGCATCAAGCCTCCCTGAGCCAATGCTAAAAACAATCAGCAAGCCTTTAGAGGTATGTACAGCTGGGGGTACAACCCCATGGGCACTGGAGGGAGCTGTTTGGTCTAGGCCCTTCTGCAGGAGGTTTCCATTGGCACAGATATTTGGCCAGCCACCTCACTTAATCCTGACACCTTCATATACAAATCAGAGGTAATCCCCCAAAGAGGGTGGCAATGGCACACCAGGAAGCGTGGTGTCTGGCTGTTTTGACCCCTCTGGATTGGCTCCCTGTGTGGTCAGCAGTCCCCTTGTCAGGGTCTGTGTTATTGACCAGGGAGGTTTTTAGTCAGTCAGGGCCCCTTCAACACCTTGAGGCACAATGCTGTTTCTAGCATGGGTAGCCCAACCTGACATCACATGGGGTTGACAACCGGTACTCACTTATGAGTTTTCCTCCTACCTAAACAAAAAAAAAAAAGAAGGGAGGGAAAAATTCTACCGAGTTACCCTGACTCTATGATATGCGAAGTACAGTCGCGAACACACTACCAAGCATGGAACAAATTAGGTATCAAAACGTGCAGACCGTACACTGCGACACAGTCGGTAGAGCAACATTACTATAGTAAACCCCGTTCAAGGAACGGCGAACCTCAGTTGAACCATACTGCGGGATAAAAAGATCCGACAGTATTAGAGTGTGGGTACTTTCTAGGTTCTCGGGTATAAGACTGACGAACAATGTCAACCCAGCGGCCTAAGCGAGCCATTCCTGGATCGCTTTGAGTACATCAAAGCGCCCAGGATGCCAAGTGAAAATGAAATAATCATGGATCGCATCCGTCCCTTCGTAATATCCCACCTGGCTTGCTTCCATATCCTTGGCCATCTTATCTCTCAGCGTACGTATCTGATCGACGAGCCTTTCGGCGCCACCAGCAATAATAAACGTACGCGGGAATCCCTTTAAACCGTGCCTGGACAAACGGGCTCATGGACGCGGGAGAAATATAGCGATTATAAAATGCCATTCCCAGACCGAACGGGCCAAGATAGGCAAGCGCGCTGTACGGCGGATATCCCCCTACCCGTGTAAAAACTGCCGATAACGTCTGCGTTGTTAGTGAAGGCCGCTGAGCCTGGAGTCGCATGTGAGTTACTCAAGTCTGCCCAGGGCGAGACGAGTAGGAGATGCCCGGGAGGTGAGGGTAAAGGCACGTCCGCAGTGCCCTTGTTCTCGACGAGATATCGCGCTAGGGCGAGGGCGAGGTTTCCTCCAGCGGAAGTCACCTGCTACGATGACATTGCGCGGGTCGTATCCAATGGTACTGACGAGGTAGTTGTATCCTGCGAGCGCAGTCAAGCAATGCGGCTGGGAAGGGATGTTGATCGGGTAAAGGAGAAATGGACGAACGACGGTACTCTACTGAAAGAGCGTGTGTCGCATTGTCTGATAGTTCTACGAGACTCTGTGGGAGGGTGGATGTCATACACTTAGGGTGCGCAGAGAGTTGCGTGAACGCTCCCCCGTGTATGAGTAAGAATACTCTTTGGTTGGGTTCGACTGGGGAGGCAGGTTTCCGGGGGAAACCTTTCTTGGCATACCAGTACCCTGGAATGCGGACTGGCGCAACGTTGGCGACTGCTGAGAAGACCTTGAGCTCTGCGGTGATGAGATCGGGTACACCGTCTATCCAGGCTCCTTCTGCGTTCGACGTGGGTTCAATCGCACGATAGTCCGGGAAAGGCAAGAACGCTCCGACGCTGGGGGTGAGATCGTTGTTGTTAGTTACTCTTGTGTGACGACGTTAGTGACCACTTACGCGTTCGGCATGTCGGCGAGGCGTCGCACGACTGCTACGAGCATGGACTGGGTCCACGACCATGTTGGCCGCGGGCGCGTGAATAGAAAAGTAACTGCCCATACTGGCAACAAAGTAATGATAAGGAGCACTTCGGAAGTAATGTAAATGGTCTTCCATGGCTGCCTGGCGTATGGGGCGACCGCGGCCATCAGGGGGAGTGACTGAACCCACACCTTCGAGGTGGTATTAGTATGCGCTCGGGACTTGTGCCTAATACCCAGGGGATCGGCCGGGGAACTTGAACTTGCCCAAATCAGGCATTATAGCATCACATGACCGTGGCGCGATGACGCGCGACAGCACGTCCAGCGTCTGTCAGAACTCGGCCGAGAGGAGTTACCGGAAGGTTAAATCGCTGGCTAAGCGCGTCCTCAGCGCTCAGCGCCCAGCTGCAATCGGCTCCGATGCGAATACAAATGAACTCCACGTCGCGGCAGCCCTAGCAAGGCTGATAGGCTCACCAAATTTAAATGATACATGCTTCTGGAACCTTGGAGTACGGGTATCGAGTGACATTGTCAGATGCCTAAGGCACGAGAGACGTAGAGCAGACTATTATGACGGTGAGGGATTTAATCGTGGCTCACCATCTTCGAAACATGATAGTTATTTCACCGTTCTTTTCATACAGGTCGCATTCTCCGTAAAACCATCGAACGCGAATGCCTAGCGGAAAATGTTCTGTCCTCTTGTGATGGCCCGGGTTCCTTGGGTCCGGATATCAGGCATTCGAGCTTATGGAGTCTCGCATTACAGCGGCCGAAGCTTTGTCAGAGAAGCTGAAGCACTTGTCGAATGCTTGTTGACACCAGGAAAAGTGCTCAGCGAGTCTCCGCTTAGGTGTCCCACCGAGTTCATCTTCCTCACCGACTGAACGTGAGCATCTCAGTTAAATCTCCTCTCCTTTCTCGCCAAGAAGCCGGCCGAGGCACGCGTATGGGCGCGGCCTTCGGTATACTTCATTGGTGCCATCCACCATACTCTCAAGTGTGTTGGTCAACGGACGACGGTGCGAGCTTCTTTATACGACTACTTACCTTCAGACGCTCATAGACAGAGCCGTTACTTGCTTAACTATTTTTTATGGTTCTTCTGTGGTTGGTGGTACTAGGAATCGGTTGCTCTATGCACATCCTATTGCAGCTGATCACCCCAGTTGACACGTTCCGTCGTGAAGCTCGCCGGGCGCCTACTTGAGGACACAATATTCCACATCGCAACATCATCTCAGCTGGTTTTCATTTCGCCGAGAAGGTTTGGAACGTCAACAAAGCAAAGAATCCTCAGACGTCGCAATGCGAGACACGAAGGAAAGAGATTAGCCAGTGACTTGCATACTGATCATCTCACAAGGGTTTCTGACACGTCGAGATAGTTTATTTCTACAAAATATTTTGAGGAAAACCATGCTCTCTAGAGTAGCATCGAGCCGCCCTTGCCTGGACGGGATCCTGTCTTGCCTGGCTTCGCAGGGGCCATTGGATCGCATGTTCATAATGCTTGATTAAAGATCTTCGAACGAGGCGGACGAGTAGTAGAAGATCTACGAAGAAGACCCGTTCTCGGTAGGAGCATGCAGTTCTAATCCCACCGCTCAACAGAATGTTCCAGATCGTCCCAAATCATGCCTCATGTTATAATTCCCAACGAATCGTCTAATTTCACAACACGAAGTGGTTTGGAGGCGCTGACGTCTTGTGATGTACTTTCCAGAGTGCTCTCCACAATGGAGGTCGGCCAACGGAAAGATAACCACCACTTGCATGCGAAACTCGTGACAAATGCGCAGTCCATTTATCGTCGAGGATAAGTCAATCATAAATTGGGCGTGTACACGGGCGGAAGACCAGAATTGATCATACCTCATACCTCTCTGATCATGCATTTCACAGCCCGAGCCTGAATGGCAGCAGAACGCTTATTGGAAGACCTGTTCGGATAGAGAAAAAAATTGCAGCTGAAGTTGTACCAGGGACTGATCGCAATGACTACCGACTCGGATCCAAGGACATAGCATTTCAAGGATAATGTTGTGGAGTTATAGGCGCCAAGACTGACCAATACATTAAAAAAGCGTCCTGACAGCTGTTGTCTCATCCTGACATCAGCCACTGCTGGATTGCTTTGAGAGTCGTAGGACGATCGGGGTGCCAGGGGAAGATGATATAGTCGTGTACCGCATCGGCCGGTTCATAATATGTTACCTGCGCTTCCCCCATATCCCTCACCATCTTATCTCTCAACGAGCATATCTGGTCGCGGAGCACCTCCATTCCGCCTGCGATGATAAAGGTACGCGGAAATCCAATGAATCGGCATTGCATCAATGGGCTCAAAGATGCGGGAGAGACATAGCGGTTGCACGATGCGATGCCGGCTCCAAATGGGCCGACGTAGGCAAGAACTTGGTAAGGAGTGTCATGGTAAGGAGTACCATGTGAGTTTCTGTAGAAATTACTGATAATATCCTTGTTGTTCGCGACCGCCGAAGAACCGGGTGTTACATGCGAATTGCTCATGTCTGTCACAGGTGAACTGACTAAAAGATGTCCAGGTGGTCCAGGAAGAGAGACTTCGGTACTACCCTTGTTCTCTACGAGGTACCGAGTCAGAGCGAGGGCAATGTTTCCGCCAGCGGAGTCACCAGCAACGACGATATCTGAGGGATCGTATCCCATGGTATTGACCAGAAAGTTGTATCCTGTGAGTGCGTCGAGGAGAGCAGCCGGGAATGGATGTTGCTCGGCATATGGATATGTCGATGAGAGGCGGTACTCGACTGCTAGTGCATATGGAGCGTCATCAGTCAACTCCACTAGACTACGGGGAATAATGGATATCGGGGACCTAGGATGCGCGGACAGGTGGGTAAACCCTCCCCCATGTATGAATAGAAAAACCTTTCGACCCGCTTCAATAGGTGTGGGAGGTCTCGGATTCAGACCTCTTTTCGCATACCAGTACCCTGGGATGCGTATCGATGTAACGTTGGCCACCGATGACCAGATCTTGAGTTCTGAATTTATGAGGTGGGGTACTCCGTCCATCCAGACCCCTTCCACACCAGGCCCAGACTCCATGGTGCGGTAATCTGGATCGAAGGGTACCTTCGGTAAGCTAACAATTTTTAGCATATTATCGTGAAGGATCAGTAAGTTTCGCAGTCTCCAAAACAGCGAACAAGAAGTGTGCTACTTACAATGCACCGACGGAACTCAGCCTCCGTGTGAGGGCTACTCTCATCGCATGCCTCCATGACCAAGTCGGTTTCGGGCGTGTGAACGAGAATTTTACTGCGTGTATCGGGAAGAAAACGAAGACAATAGTGACCACATGGAAAGTAAGATAGAATGTTTTCCACGGTTGCTTGATCCACAATGCCAACGGCATAGCGACGGCCTGGAGACGAAGTGGCTACCAACTGGCTAGGCGAGGACACAGAAGTTGCTAAGGACGTTGATATTTGAGACGGATACCTCATCATTTATGATGACCAAGGGGATCATGGATGCTGTGCAGCTTTGATTTGTTGCGACCGTGTAATTAGTGCTGGCAAAAACTATTATTCCCATGGTTATAAACTCACCCTAATTTCAAGGAAAACGGCGTTAGTACACCCAGGGCATGCCACATGCATTCCGGGAAATCTCACTCCTCAGATGTTGGCCATCTTCGGGGGATAGTGATCCCGGAGCCGCACAAGGCGGACTCTGCATGGCCTAGGCTGCCTGTTACCCTTTTATATTATCCAGGACCACTAGGTTGGGTTCCATCGACTAGGGTAAACACTGGCTCGGGCGAGTACACCGAGTGCCAAGGTTTCTGTCGCGGTCCGTTGGATTTACATGGCATCCGCTAGCTCCACGACTCTCAAACGGAAGTACTTGCCGCTTTTCGGGCTATTAGTTCTTCTCGGCGTCGTCGCAAACAATGCCACACCAGGATACTACAGTAGTGAGTGATTTAGTCGTGGCTGATCATCGATCATCCTCGGAAACTTGACACCTACTCCACCGCTCTGCTCAGGAGCACATCCTCCAGGAAAACATAGAGCGGTTCGCGCAAAATGGTCTGTCTTGTGATGGCCCTAGTCCAGGTATCTGGCATTTGGGCTTATAGTCTCGTGTTATTGTGGAAGCTCTGTCAGAGAAGCTGAAGCACTCGTCTAATTAGGGAAAAGCGCTCAGCGAGTCTCCGCTTAGGTGCTCCACCGGGCCATCAGAGTTCACCACCCCTCACCGAAACGTGAACGTATCTCAGGTAACTTCCCATAACTTTTCTGATTCTTCTCCCGTCGAGAAGCCAGTCGAGGCATGTATATGGGAGCTGCCTTCGGTGTACTTCATTGACGTCAACCACCTTACTCTCGAATGTGTTGGTCAGCGGACGACGGTGCGAGCTTCTTTATACGACTACTTGCCTTCGTCTGTCGCGAAGTTCGTCGGCACCTAAGTCGCGTGACTGATCAGCAACTAGACCGTATCACGTGATGCACGCGCATCGATTCCTTCCCCTTTTTCTCTTTCTCTCCTCACCGCGTTATTGCACGTCACCCCTGCCCAGGTTTTTTTTTGTCTCATTAATGCCATCCAAGATCTGGTTTCTTTATCATAATAATACACAGTTGAAATGTACGTTCATCCCGAATGACGAACAGGTTCAATCTGCCAGTTGTTTGGAGGAGCTCTCGGTCTTAATTGCTGCCCGCCTGTCGACATTACTCGCCAGATCAATCGCGCCAGGTAGCATCAACTTTTGGAAGGTTAGCTTAGTCTCAGATACTGGTCCGCGAAGGCTCACGCATTCACATGCAGCTTCACGAACCTCGACCACGCACGATTTTGCCCCCCAGTGTTCACCTGGAGGATATCGCTGAAATGGTGTTAGACACCGGCGAATCAGCTGACTCATATATTTCTCTTGGTGAGAACTTGGTCAAGTTAGCCATAGAATGGACTTCTCCTGTGCCCAAAGGTCAGCTTCACTCTTTCTCTGCTAACACCCTCTTCCTCGACTGATGACTTGAAAGGGGAAAAACGTACTCATGCTGAAGATAACATAGTGGATGCCGTGAAGCGCGCCAAAATCACGCAGGTGTCACCACCGCAGCTGGCAGACCCAAAATATTACAGATCCTTGAACAAAGACCCGGAGGAATGCGTCATCGAACACCGTCGTGTCTATAACTCCAAGGAACCTCTTGATCGCGAGCTTTCTCACTTCATGGATGACTTCCCTCCGATCTCACTTCAGTATGAAGGATTTGGTTGCTTCCTTGACATCTTCCGTGGGTACAAGGGTGTTCTGGGCACGGAGAACGTGTCATCCCAACAGTTACGATCGGCTGTCGACAAATTCGCGGAATTCATGTCGCTTGTCTACGAGGATGAACAAGCCAGAATGGAGGAAGGCTTACTTGCTTTGAATAAGATATTTTCTGCGCGTACCGATGGCCTCTCTTTTACGTTAATGGCCACCAACATTGACAAGAACAGCCACTCAGGTGCGTGTGTCCTCGGACCACACGGAGCAGGGTACTGCATCACCGAGTTCAAAAATGAGGCCAGTGTCTCAGCTATCCCGCACGTAGAAATGGTTGGCTATTTCGCTCAGACAATCAAGACAGCAGTGGAGAATGGTCTTTCTCCTTTAGTGATGAGTGGTTGGAGCTTACCATGTCTTGGGCTAACCATTATCGGTATGTCGTATCTTATCTTTGCATTTCATCCACAGCTGAAATCATGCATTGCACCAGGTTACACTGTCACGTTTTATGCTATGATTTTTCTCGGTCGATGGCGGGTGGTTAACCTGACGCCGGGACTGTCGTGCCTTTGGGCTTCGGGTGACGGTGACGACCGGATCGCACTCTACAACGCCTTCACAGCGGCCTCTGTCCTCCTTGCTCGCATCAGCCAAGAGGCCATGCAGGTGATTGACAATCCCCCCCCTGCGATTGAAGAAAGCCGCCGCAAACTACCTCCTATTACTAGCCTGCGCAGTCCTGACTCCGGCTCCCAAATCGAGTTCAAAATTGTCGATTTTTTTTACGACCGAGCTCCTGACCGCCACCTGTACGTCGCAGAGACAACTGAGGGCCAGCAAATCTTGGTCAAATTTACACGCCGTTACTCGTATGAATTGCACAAGTTTTGTGCGGATCGTAAACATGCGCCCGCTCTTTTGGGCTTCCAGAGGCTCCCCGGAGGCTATTTCGGCATTGCAATGGAGTATCTGAAGACCGCTACACCGATTTCGTTATTTCGACATGTCGAAAAACACAGTGAATGGGCTAAAGAGCTGTGGGAGCTTGTTAATTCTTTCCATGCCGAAAACCTTGTTCATGGGGACTTGCGGTGCCCGAACATCGTCGTCTGCGATGGAAATAGGGCAATGTTGGTCGACTTTGACTTTGGTGGAAAACAGGGGGAGGTATTTTACCCAGAAGGTCCGCTTAACATTGACCTAACTGCTGGACGGGGCAGCACAGATCTGAAGATTACCAAGGATGATGATCGTCGGGTCTTGACAAACACATTGAAGTGTGTGCGGATGAAATGAAGTTGCAAACTTATTGACGCGAGGAGGTGTACATGTGTGCCAGAGCAGCGGCCCCGAGACGTACTTACAAATTGAAACGAGACTTCAGACACAGATCAAACAACGGCATGTATATGTAAATTTATTCTCGTCTCCTACCGTATGATGTAGCCACGGTTAACGAGTGATTAATCTAATCGATACTGATTGGCTTTGAATAGTCCAGTTTTTGTAGTACTCTATAATGTCGGATAGGAATTACGGTCGACTCCCTCCCAACAGACCTCTGGTATAACCCATACTTCCTCACAGCTCACACATTTTCCATCTCCCGGATTGGTATGCAGGGATTTCTTATTTCTAACAAGGCAGCATGGGGTCACAATATTCTAGTAGACGGCCAGTTTTCTTTTCCTCGAGAAGATTATGAAACAATAATAGACCAAGAAGCCCTCAGGCGTCGTAATGCTAAACCTGAAGGGAAGAAAATGCAGGCGGTGACTTGCATGCTGATCATCTCCCGAGAAGTTTCCGACACACTGAGATAACGCGTTTCTACAGAAGATTCTAAGAAAAAGCCTGCTCTGTAGAGTGGCATCGAGTCGTTCATTCCTGGACGGAGTTCTGTCCCCCCTAGCTTCGCAGGGACCCTGGGTTCATATGCTCGTAGGAGAGATTCGGGATGTGGCATGATTAAAGATCTCCGAACAAGGCTGACAAGTACATAGTAGCGGATCTATGAAGAAAACCCGTTCACAGCAAGAAAGTGCAGTCGTAATCCTATTGCTCAACAGAACGTTCGAAATCATCCTGACTCCTGCCTCACGTTATAATTTATCACTCACCCCCTGACAAAAGGAAGGCATCTATTGCAAGTCGAGCCACTGGGGCATCGTGCTGAGAGATTCCTAACGAATCGTTTGCACAAAACGGGGTGGTTTGGGGGCACTACCGCAACGCACCAGCAGCAAACAGCAAATTCCGAAAATTGCGCCTCAAATCCGTGTGTTCTGCAATTTCCTATCAAACATACAACCTTTCTACCTGCGTGCAAAACTAGTGGTCAATACGTAGGTCCCTCTGTCGTCGAAGATAGATCAATCATAATTGGCCAATCATTGAATATGTACACAGGTACAAGACCAAAATTAATCATACCTCCCTAGTCACTGTATCACGTCGTGTGTACAACGCAAACTGCAGGAATGATATAATATTGCTGTTCACATAAGGCATATGATAGCATTAAGATCTCGTATTTCATGCATTTCACAGTTCGAGTCTGAACGACGGCGGAACGTTCATTGGAAGCTTCGTTCGGACGGAGAAGAAACTTGAGACCGAAAATTGCACCAAAGGCCGATTGCAGTGGTCGTCACTGTAGCCACCAAATTGGATCGAAGGCACAGCAATTCAAGTTATAGGCGCCAAGACTGGCCAATACATAGAAGCACCCTGGCAATCGTAGTCTCATCCTGACACCAGCCATTCCTGGATTGCTTTGAGAGTAGCAGGACGATCGGGGTGCCAGGGGAAGACAATGTAGTCATGTACCGCATCGACCGGTTCATAGTACGCCACCTGCGCTTCACCCATATCCCTCACCATCTTATCTCTCAACGAACGTATCTGGTCACGGAACACCTCCATTCCGCCCGCAATGATGAATGTACGCGGAAATCCAATGAACCTGGATTGCATCAACGGGCTCAAAGATGCGGGAGAGACATAGCGATTGCACGATGCGATGCCAGCTCCAAATGGGCCGACGTAGGCGAGAACACGGTAAGGAGTGTCATGTGGGTTGTTGTAGAAATCACCGATAATATCCTTATCGTTCGCGAGTGCCGAAGAACCGGGTGTTACATGCGAATTACTCATGTCTGTCACGGGTGAACTGACTAAAAGGTGTCCGGGTGGTCCAGGAAGAGAGATTTCGGTACTACCCTTGTTCTCCACGAGGTACCGAGTCAGAGCGAGGGCAATATTTCCGCCAGCGGAGTCACCAGCAACGACGATATCTGAGGGATCGTATCCCATGGTATTGACCAGAAAGTTGTATCCTGTGAGTGCGTCGAGGAGAGCAGCCGGGAACGAATGTTTCTCGGCAAATGGATACGTCGATGAGAGGCGGTACTCGACTGCCAGTGCATATGGAGCGTCATCAGTCAACTCCACTAGACTACGGGGAATAATGGATGTGGGGGACCGAGGATGCGCGGACAGTTGAGTGAACCCTCCCCCGTGTATGTATAGAAAAACCTTTTGACCAGTTATAGTGGGTGTGGGAGGTTTCGAGTTCGAACCTGTTCTCGCATACCAGTACCCCGGAATGCGTATCGATGTAACGTTGGCAACGGATGACCAGATCTTAAGTTCTGCGTTCATGAGGTGGGGTACTCCGTCCATCCAGACACCTTCCACACCAGGCCCAGGCTCGATAGCGTGGTAATCTGGGTCGAAAGGTACCCTCCCTAAGCTGATGATTTTTGGAAGATTATCGTGAGGGGTTGGTAAGTCTCGTGTCCTCCAAGACGGTGGACAAGAGGTGTGCTACTTACACTGTGGCGATAGAGCCCAGCCTCCGTGTGAGGGCTACTCTCATCGCATGCCTCCATGACCAAGTTGGTCTTGGGCGTGTGAACGAGAATTTTACTGCGTGTATCGGGAGGAAAACAAGGGCGATAGTGAAGACGTGGAAAGTAAGATAGAATGTCTTCCATGGCTGCTTGATCCATAATGCCAACGACATAGCTAGGGACTGCAGGCGAAACAACTACGGAACGGTAAGGCGGGGACACAGAAGTTGCGAAGGGCGTCAATGTTTGAAACGGACACATGATTTATCACAACCGGGGATCATGTAGCTTCGATACCGGGTGCGACCGTCGGGTGTGCAGTACAAGCTACATTATCAGTACTAATGGCAACCAAAACTATTACTCCGACGGATATAAGCTCACCACTGCTCACCACCCACTTCAAGGGAAACCCTCGGCGTTCATCCGTTGGGTCGCAAATAGTAGTCTGGATACCAGACTGTCTATGAAGCGAGTACTGGTTTGAATGCGATAAGCTCTGGTAAGCTTGTCCGAATCGGTAGTCACCAACAGACCAAATCATAGAGATGAGTAGCTGCGTGGCATGTGCCATCACCATCCGTGAGCCGAATACGCGTTAAATCCCCCGTAAAACATTCTGAAGCAATAGGCCGAGGCCTTGAGGGACTAGCTGAGAAAGTTAAAAATGAGACGAGAAAAATTCCTTCAACAATCCTTCGAAAAAGGCCAAGAACGATAGTCCACAACAACTCGATCTAGAAATGAGACTAGATACATATCGTAATGGCCAGAGATAGAACGCGAGATGCACTACAGTAAACGATTTTTCATATACTACATACTGAGCTACAGAGGAGCGGCGAACGGTGAGACTGACTGAAAGAACTATTATATTCACCGGGGTCGAGACGTCGACGCATCACGTCCAACGAGTCAAGGTAGGTGTGTGATAGCATTGCAAACCTACCACAAAGCCGAAGTCGATGGAAAATCGAGGAATACTATGCTGTCCTACCAGTGACCAACCTCAGGTAAGCCACTTTTGCACGGCTGTAAGAGTAGCGGCACGGCTAGGGTGCCAGGGAAAGACGAGATAATCGTGTATCGCATCGTCCGCTTCGTGATACGTAACGTGGGCTTCGCCCATATCCTTGACCATCCTATCTCTCAGTGTGCGTATCAGGTCAAGGAACCTCTCAGCTCCTCCCGCGGCAATAAACGTGCGGGGGAAATTTTTGAACCGTACTTGCATCAATGAACTCAGAGACGCCGGTGATATGTATCGGTTACACGACGCCATACCGAATCCGAAAGGACCAATGTAGGCGTATGTGCGATATGGTACGCGTTTCGGATCTCCATAGAAGCCCCCGAGGATGTCCATGTCGTGAGTGAGTGCAGAAGAGCCGGGAGTCAAATGAGAGTTACTCAAATCTACCGAGGGCGAGCTGAGGAGGAGGAGTCCGGGTGGACCGGGAAGAGGAACTTTGGTAGTACCCTCGTTTTCTACGAGGTACCGTGTCAAAGCCAGTGCGATATTTCCGCCAGCAGAGTCACCAACGACAATGATGTTCGAGGGTCTGTATCCCATGACGCCGACAAGGTAATCGTACCCAGCAAGTGCATCGAGGAGAGCAGTCGGGAACGGGTGCTCTTCAGCAAACGGGTAGGATGATGAGAGACGGTATTCAACTGCGAGCGCGTACGGCGCATCATTGACCAACTCCACGAGACTGCGAGGTAAATTAGATGTCATGGCCTTGGGGTGCGCAGACAACTGAGTAAACCCGCCCCCATGTAGGAATAGGAAAACCCTTTGGTTAGGTTTGACTGGCGCAGTAGGTCTCGGGTCCAGACCTTTCCTTGCATACCAGTATCCTGGGATGTTTATCGAGGTGACACCAGCCACCGCTGACCAAATTTTGAGTTCTGCAGTAATGAGGTGTGGTACCCCGCCTATCCAGACACCCTCAGCGTCAGGGTCGACGGTTCGGTAGTCTGGTAGGTGATCAAGTTTTCCTACACTGGAAAACCCGAAATACGGGGAGTAGTTTTAGTACTTTGCAAGGAGGGATTGAAACGATGCTACATACACGACTGACAAAGAAGTCAGGTGTCGCAGAAGCGCAACTACCATAGCATGGCGCCACGACCATGTGGGCCGAGGCCGCGTAAAGAGATACGTTATCGACCACGCTGGCACTAGCAGAAGGATGGTAGAAAGCTTGAAAGCGAGATAGAGCGTCTTCCATGGCTGTTTGGTGAACAATTTGAGGGTCATTTCCGAGTCAGAATTTGACAGATTATGTCGAAACTGACAGAGTGCTCAGTGGTTGTTGATTATCTTTCCTTGTTGCTGTTCAGTGGGCATCGTAGGTCGCAACATGCCGAAGGATTCGGCGTTATGTAAGTTGGTCCTGTGAGAAGATCATTTACATACCATTTCATTTTGACTGGAGGATTCCCAAACCACGACACCCCTTGGCACCCCCTGGCTGTCACAGCGAATGAAAAGTCCAAGCTATGTAGCTAACTTTGGATTACCACCAGTCCACTTGCTGTCCAGCACAGACGGACCATGTGATACCCCCGAGCTTTGTGTCCCGGTAAAGAATGACCTACCGGATGGTCGGAACTAAGGTTAGTCTCTTGAAATTTTTATGTACATACATCTGCAAAGCGGTCGAATTACAGCATACACTTTTGACAGTTTTTGAGTTGTTCAAGAGCTCGGCAAGTACTGTTATTCAACTCGGCAAATGCTGAGTGCTCTAAGAGCACTAAGCGTTTTGTAGATGCAGCGACTCAGGAGTGTGGTGTCAAAATGGCAACTAGCGGTCTGCCGATGAGAAAATGCGTCATCCAGCATTCAGGGCCGAAAACTTGTTCGGAAAAGCATAATAATATAAGGTCGGGGGACCATATAGGCTTCATTCTCGGCTAGAGTCACGTCTTCTCCCATGGGCCTGTACGATCAGACTCTCGGTGAGTCGTCTGCCAGTCCGCTCAGCTGGACTCACGGAACTAATCAAGTTGGGCAATTAGGCACTCTCCTAGTGGGGATTTTCTGTAGGTATTGTATTCGTATTCGTATTGCCCACTGTGACAATGACTACCCACCCCGAAAGTCAACACCTACTTGTATGGAATCGTCTCGTATCAATTCGCTGCATATTACCAAGCCAGTAAGTGAGATTCTTGTTGCAAGCGGTCCTATCACCCACTTCTTGTCTCTTGTCTCAGAATTTAACGACCGACTTCCCGTGAAGTCTGTTTCTTTCTCCCTCGTGCAATGCTGCCTTTGTTCATATCCAGTTTCCAGATGCATGGTGTGGTTCTTATTCTTCCTTGACACATTCCACAGCATAGCGTAGGTAGTCTTACCCTGTGGAAACGAACCTTCATGCATCATCACGTTTGACAGGGCAATCTATATGGCTTGGGTATATATGTTCGTTTATGGTCCCCTTGTGTTTCGTGGTGGATTAAATTTCTGTTAGGGTTACGAATTACGCAAATCCAACCGCCTTGCAGTGTCAGGAGTTGTCACTCATCTTTCCGCTGTACTGTAGCTGACTCATTTTTCAAGATGCTGTATGGCCATATCCCTTCACACCCATTGGCACTGCAGTTGCCGCATTTGTAACACACATGTTCCTTAACGACCGGTATGTGCGCAACAGTGTGGCAACAACTTCTTAACAGCTGTCGATGCAGAATATACCGCCTTACCGACAACAAAGTGCTTTATGGTATCATTACCATGATGGCTCTCCCCACGTTTGCTCTGGGCATTGCTTGCGGTGTCAAAGCATGGATCATCTTCGTGTAAGTTATTTTCATCCCAGGTGCCGTGCAGAATGATATTGATACGTTTGTTTTCCCCAAGGATCGCTGATATGCCACTTATCAGTGGCCTCGCGACGGCCTGGCTTTCAATGCAAGTGATTGTAGACACTTTCATAACCAGCCAGTATCTGCGTCTGGGCCCATTATTTTGCCGCAACTGTTGACACGTTTCTAGGCACACTGTCCATTGTCCTCTGGCGTGCAAAGACAGGTTGTGCGGCGACAGACACCCTTCTCAGGCGTTTGATACGGGGAGCTATCCAGACCGGCTTGTTTGCAAGTATATTTTCCTTGGGCGACTTAATCACTTTCCTCGCCCTTCCAACCACGAATTTCTATGGCATGTTTGCAATCCCGATTGCTCGAATTTACTCAAACGTGTGTTGTGTCTCTTCCTGATGACTTTATCATGCCAGCGATATTCGTAACGAATACGACAGACCCTACTGGACACGCTTCTGGTGCGTCGGAACCTCAAATCGCAGATGACGAGTAGTGCATTCGAGAGGACATCGCGGGTGCGTCATGTCGCGTCAGAGTGCATCAGGCTGTCATCTTATTGCGGGCAACAGGCGATGGGCTGGATGCCGGGGGAATCGGCGATTCCAAGCCCTGCGGCAACTAGCATTTACTTTGGCGTCCACCGGAGCTTGCAAGACAACTCAGAAGCTGCCTCACTTGATGGTGAGCGGAAGAATGTCCTTGGCTTGGACCCAGTATGAAATGTGCGTGACGAGGCAAAGATATGCGCGAGAAGGAAACAGATACCCGGCTTTGGCGAACTACGTGGAAACTCTCAAAGTCGCATACCATAGAGCTCCGCGAACTTGTTATGATGATTCGTACTTGGCTCCCAAAAGGCTATTCAATTGGATGGAGGCTTGGTAACTTACAATGCCTAAGGAATGCCTAAGTAGACAAACTTGCCCTGTAAAATTAAGCACCCGTTTGTAGCTTCTTTCCACAATCGAATGGTTGGGAAGAGTTCTTCGTACGATGCGACTACACACACTCATCCCGACTCTTCCAGCTGATCTCGTCTCTGCGTTTGAAAGCTGCGGAATCAAGACAGATACGGATCTCCTTTTCTTCGATGGGTCTAACATTGAGTTATTTGCAAAATTACCCCGTGGGCTCGTAACTTGTGGGGAACTCGACAAATACGTGTCGCTGGTCGCGGAGCGGGCATCTGCTCCTGGCATCCGCGGTGACGAAGAACTTGAGTCGGCACTCCGCAAGCAGCGTGAATATGCTTTAGAAATATCTTCTGGAGTGAGCGAGTTGGATGAACTCGTTGGAGGATTTGGTAGTGGTCGAGTATTCGAGATTTCCGGAGAGAAGGAATCGGGCAAGACGGTGAGATGAACTTCAACGGGTAGTATGATCTTTCACTTCTCAATGCCCTCACGAATCCTATTAGGCGTTGGCGTTGCAAATTTCGCTACGACTACTGATCGCATATCCTGATACATCTGTGCTTTGGATGGATACATGTGGCGACTTTTCCGTGGACAGGACTACTCGAGTGGCTAATCAGCTCGGTGCAGAGGTGACGCCTTTCATCCGTAAACCCAAGCCTTTGAGCCAACACCGCGAGAGGATGTTTCAGCTGTCCTTGAACGACTACAGGTGGCTCTCGTGCTGAATATCGGGGATGCCCAAGGCCTTGTTGCAGACCTTCGCGAGAGAGCAGACGTAGGTTATGCCTTGCTAGAGAGACCTGTTTTGGCGTCGAGCTGATGAGAGGGTAGGCTGGTTCCAGGGCAGGCGGACCCAGGGTGCGATGCGTGATCATCGATTCCATTACGCCTCTCCTCGCACCTTCTTTGAGCAATATTTCCGCCCATGGACACGCAACGATGACGACCTTCATGCAAGACCTTCGCGATTTTGCTCGCACGCACTACTTCACATTTCTGGTAAGCTTCTGGCTTGCTGATTCCATGACATCCATCCTACATGTCTACAGGTCGTGAACGACACGTCCGCGGTTGTGCAACAAAATTCCAACTCTCCGTTCGTATCTGCGATTCGGAAACCAGCTTTGGGCCCTTCGTTTACTTTCCTCACTGATTGTACTTTATGGCTCGTTAAGCATGGGGATGTCGAGGGAGAGCCCGCTAGCATGCATGAGGCTGAGGTCATTAGGTCAAGAATGATGGTAAGATGCATTGAGGAAACTGTTCCGTTTCCCGGTTCTGATAAGTGCGGTACACTTTTTAGCAGTCTAAGACGTGGTGCACGTTCAACATCCGTGAAGGCATCCTGTATTCGGCAACCTCTTAGTCTTCCCATCGACGTCCATGAATCTCTGGTTTGCATATTTGGTAAATCAACAAGTCTTGTAAGGTCTCGCACTGACCCTGCGAACGAAACATTTGATTTTGTGGACGCGTGCCTATGACTTGGGACAATCAGCAAATGTGGGATACTGTATTCACTCGATTTGAGGGAAATTGAGGTGCCCCCTGCCCCATGTCTTCTGATCTCGCCGTTTTCTTATGTCCATGGAACTCGCGCCCAACAAGGGACTACGACATCAGATCAGATAAATATCGTGTCATTGCATTTCCCAACAGCACAAAACAGAAGTAAAATAGTGACACTCCGGGAATCCAACAGCTAATCTCCAAACCTGAATGACATAACGATTAGGAGGTGCTCGTTTGCCGCCAAAAACCTCACTCACCGATCAGGCATAAGTACCGGTGCTATTAAGCTCCAAATATACAAAAGCATGCACACCCAACTACTCACGATCCGCATCCACATCGCGATGTGTGACTGACCGATACGGACAATCTGGTCTGAGTTGCTACCTTCTTCCTGCGACACCACGTTCCTTAAAAAAATCATTTGCAGATTGGCGGGAATGTGCTGGAATTTGATACCCCAACTTACCAATCCGTGAGTAGCATTGCGACGTACATCGCACCGATCGCAAATATGACGTGGAACCATGAATACTATTAACAGGGGACTACCGTCAACAGAGATAGGGACACAAGAGAACGTAGACGTACATTGTATCGAGTGCCAGTGCGTTCATCATCGACCGTATCCGCTTCGTCTTCGTCTTCATCCTCGTCTTCCCTCAATGCTGACGCGGGGATGGCACTAAATGGATAACATGTTAAAAAAGCACCTTGGTGGCGTCTGAGTGACGTACCCTGCCTCGACGGCAGCCAGTAGAGCCTGGTATCTTGGTGATTCCATGCGCTCCGGCTGGGTACTCACAACACCCATTTCCGACTGAGTGCCGTCGTCGATTGGAAGCTGTATACTACCGTTTTTCCTTCCCTTTCCAACTAACGCTCGACTCTGCGTCGCCGCCCGTGAAGTAGAATAGGCGATTGCCAAAAAGGTGAATACAGCACCCAGTACGACGGTCGTCATCCTCGTTGTGCTCGCCCGACTGAGGGGGTTGCACGTGCCATGCCCGTAGTTCGAGACGGCGGATACGATGAGATACGTGCAGTACGCAGCCACCATACCTGCCTGAGCGAGACCCGAGCGTGGGTTACGCTCCTGAACGGCGGGGTGTACACATAAAATCGTGATGAGGACACACAGTGCAAGGTTGAATGAGATGAAGAATTGGTTGAGTGTGCATCCCGGTCCTGCAAAATAGGCGTAGAGTACGCCTGTTAAAGAGATAGTCGCAATGTACATGATTGCGGTGGAGCCGACAAGAATGCATTGCCATGAGGTCGAGTCTGTCGCCTCCCATTTCTCGAGGCACATTTCTGACCAGGTGTGGGCGAAATCAACCAGGAGAACAAGACCGAGCAGGATAAATAGAGTAGCACCGAATGAGGGCGATGTAATTTCCCCAAAACATGAAAAAGCCATTGGGAATGAAGAAGTTGACGACGACCAGAACGAATCCATAGAAGGACCTTCGGGCCCCACCACCTAACGTCTTCGTGATGAGCGGGCGAGGGTACGGAGGAGACCTAACTTACCCATTCTGAATAGCCGCACGCTTGTCTTTAGAGTCATTGACTCCAATCAGGGAGAAACTTAAAATGGCATGGAAGAGAGTAAGTGCGAAACATATCCGATGGACCTATGGTGTCAGGGTGAGCGACAGCGAGAACAGGAGGGCGAAGCATGACACTGACTGCAAGTACTCCGTAACACTTTCCTTCCGCACAATCCATCTTGATGTAGTCATAACTCCACTCTTCGATCTTTCGTATAGCGAACGGCGTCTTCATGAGCCACGCCAATAAGGAGTTCAGAATGAATATGATCTGAAGGGGAGGTGGAGGACATCATTATGTATTCCGATAGAGAATAATGAGAGTAAGGCTCACCGCAAAGCCAACGCGAGTAGCAATCGAGGAGTTGCAGTTGCATGACTTGCAGAACATGGACGCTGCCATGTGTTGCATACATAGGTTACGACAGCATAGTAAATGAATATTATCCAGGCTCACCTGCTGTACTAGTGAAACAAAACGCCAGACCACCGAGGCATGACGATGCTATGGTCCCCAGTGGCCCAGCTAGAGGAAGGGAGAATAACAAACCCATTGCTGCGAGCTGAGCGTTGCAGGATCGCAACGCTAATAGCTCGATGGAGCACTTGCCTCCTTTTAGCAAGTCTTTCGCACACGCTTGCTTACCCATCTACTATCTGATCTATGTAGTACTGTGTAGTGGTATAGCCATCTATCCATCCAAGGGGAAAGTGTCCTTTCAGTTTCAACTTGGATGTCCCTTCCGTCCATCAGCATCACCTCTATTCTCACCTCCCGTTCTGGTCAATAGAGTGAAAATAGTGCAGAGACATTGTGTTGACAAGTGTAAACCTTTTTGTTCCCGTCCATGGCACCATATAGTATATGCAAGTGCCGCACCTATGGTGTTGGATGCCAAGTGTACCTTGACTTGCCAAGAGTGCCTTACCCTAGCAAAGCAGGTGGTGTATACTGATGTCTATGTATCATTAAACTTGATCAAAATTCGCTGAAATCCACGAGCCGACCTCATTGGTTCATTCGATCAGCAGGCTAGCTCCTCTAGCTTTTACTTCCTGTATGCCTGCGGTCGAACAGGGGGAGGAATAGAGTGACACCTTATGACTTCGCGACGCTTCAGTGAAATTACACCTGACGAATTTGCAGGTGTCGGTAGGCCACGTAATACCACCTACTCAGCTTGCCTATCAAAAAGGAAAAATCGTGGGCGTCAAGAGAGTTGTGGTTAATGAAGGTTGGAACATGCCGGGGCAAGTTTATGGATGAGACGTGTCCGATTGTAAACGTAAAAGTAACCAATCAGGTCTTACGGTTGTCGCTGGCCGCAAGTACCACAAGGTAAACGAGGGTAAACGCCGCGGGGAGTACAGATACTCCACGGTTATCGTTACCATAAGATATCTAAGGTGTTGGGTGACAATATTCTAATAGCGGAACACGCAATGCCAAGACATATATGCCGTGCAGGAGGGCGATACATAGATAAGTAAATTAAAACACGGCCCGACACTCACGGAATAGAGAACACCAAGTGTTACATTCTAGCACACCTCATGCAACCCCCCAGATTAATAATTGGGATATTTTGTTGGGCAGGTATATTCGAAATCGGGGAATTCCAGTGCGTGGGGATCGAGCGCTGGTTTACCATAGGTCAAAGCCACATCTTCTTCGAGGTATTTTTCAAAGCTTCATGATCTTTAGCATATACAGCTGCCGAAAACGAATAGAGAAACGTACGCGCTGGCATCCCCCTCGCCCTGTAGTTTAGGACAGTAAGGTGCCGTTATTTTCCGGTCGTTGAGTCTCTCCCAGTTGACTTCGCTGAACCAGGGATGTATGAAGACATCACCAGTCCCATACCCCGACTTTCCGTACCGCTTGACGGGGTCACTCTCCATCAATTTTAGAATCAAATCCACAGTCTGTGGCGGGAATGCTGGCCAAGAGATGGATTTGGGTCCTCGGAGGATCCGTTCATATAGCATGCTCGTGTTGCCCGAGGGTTGGTAAAAGGGTGGGAAGCCAGTTAACATCTCAAAGATGAGTACGCCGAGGGCATACCAGTCAACGCTCCTGGTATATCGTTGTTGGAGGATTATCTACGAGGAGGTGAGTTGTGGATACTTGGTACAAGATGAGCAGCCATACTTCAGGGGCAAGATAATCTGGTGTGCCACAGAGCGTCCATGTCGTAGTCGAGCAACGCTTTGCGAAGCCGAAGTCTGCAATTTTGATATGACCGTCTCCATTAAGGAGAATATTTTCTGGTTTGAGGTCGCGGTATGTGATATCGAGTCTGTGCAAGTAGTTCAACGCAAGAGCTACTTCTGCTGCGTAAAATTTGGCAACGGGCTCGGGGAACCTCTGCAAAGATCCTTCAGCCATGCCGACCTCCATAAAACATGCCACAAGACGCACCCCCGATTTGCGCAGCAGGGTGAACAATTCACCACCCGGAACAAAGTCCATCACCATGTACAGATTGGAAGCATCCTGAAAGGCGCCCCATAGGTTGACTATGAAAGGATGTTGCACAGCCTCGAGGAGAGTTTTTTCATTGTTGGTGTGTTCCACCTGTTTTGTGCGAACGATCTTGTCCTTGCTCAGCACCTTGATGGCGTAGAAACGGTGGTTATATATACTTCTAACTGCCCGTGCAAAAATAAACCAGTCAAGGAAGGCATTGGACAGATGGATTGTCGCTCACCAAGGTGAACGCGTCCAAAGCTGCCGGTGCCGAGAGTTTGGTGGATGATGAAATCGACAAGTTTGTATGACGCCTTTGGACGTATTGGGAGGCGCTGGAGAGGGAAAAGGTCACCGGTTGATTCTGTGCTTGCCGATGTGCGACTGGTTGTTGCGCTGGTGTATATGGAATCTTTGTATAGGTGCTCCGGTGACTTGCCAATACGCGACGACGAGGATGGATACAGCGATATGTCTGTTGGTATATCTTGGTAGCAGCTGAAACGTTGGGCATAAGCACCGGCGATATCATCCATATTCTGTTAACTCGACTATCAGCGTTCTATGCAGTTGGAAGAGGGGAACGCCCATTTCATTCAGTGAATAATGATGACAACTGACACGGGACAAACAAAACACAAAGGACCCTGCCAATAGTGCAACTTCTGGTTCCGCGGAGTTATATAAATTACTATTATATTCGCTAGCTAGGCGACAGTCTTCAGTACTTCAGGCAGTGAATATACTAATAGTCTGGACTCAGGTGGGTACGTTTGTACTGTTAAAACTTTAGATCTATCACAATATAACAACCAGCGGCTATCGCATGCCTCCCAAAATTATTATCGTCTGACATGCTTGTGGTCTTGGCCTTCAGACGTGGGTTGCGATGGCCGGTCATGGTATTCACGAGGTTCTGCCAGTGCGGCGTGCCTGACTCCTTTCAGCTGAGCCCGCTCTCCACGAATGTTGTCTAATAGCAAACGAGCGGACCCTCCGTTAACAGTGAATGCTGATCACTTGTCTTTTCCAAAAGTACTGCAATCACTCCGGAGACCAGGTACCGTAGACATCCCATCTTAGCAGCCCGTTGCTTGCACCTTGGGTATATTATAGAATTTCCAGTCTCTCCCTCCCGAGTCTCCCTTAGACGGAATCCAGTAGTTCAAATTGCAGCGAGTGCTACTCACACAGACTGGCGTTCGTACTCGGCCACCGAGTTTCTGGCGCCTACACCTTCTGATTCAGGCCACAGAACTCCAGAACTTGAATACGACAGCGCCAGCCTACCGCGGCGCCCCTTCATGAAATTTCCGATATTCAAACCTATGGGCGTCAATGGCCGAATTCTATGCACGGCCCCCGTGGGCTGGACCGTCCGAAGTGCTTCCATTCAAATCCCTTGAGTTCCCTGACAAATCCACAACAGTTCTACTCTCTTGCCTGGCAGCATGGTAACTCCGAATGTGCATTCAAAAGCTCTTTGGGGACACTATAAATGAAAAAAATTCTCATTGCCCAAAGTTCGGGGCCAGGGTCTGGCACAGTTCCAAACAATCTCACAGGGTTGTTCGGAAGACGGAAAATATTTATTCAACCAACCTACGATCCACGTCGTATGAAGCATTACTGTGTTTGGTGTCGCGAATATTCCTCCGGTGTGCGCGTTGAGTGGGCGTTTATCACAAGTAATATTCGCTTGAAAAATATGTCAGGTGAGCATCTGCGACTTTCCATGGACTGTGTGGGACGTGTGAGTCATGATCAGGTGGGTCAAGTGTAGTGGACTTATATGTACGCTCGCAAGCGCCGGAACGAACCAGTGTACGCCATGCCCGACGGTGGTTTTGAAGTTGTCTTATTGCCGTTCATCTGGATCTGATATGCTCCGATTGCTGTCAGAAAGGAGGTCGACAAGTCTCCAAAGTCCTACAACATTATCATTTCGAAATCAGCGTGAAGAAAATTTCCCCTCGTCTGCTGCTGGAGCACGGGACGGAAAAACGACGTGCAAACCGAGGCATCACTGACGAAAGCGAAGGATGTAGTCAGGACCCACTGGCTCCTCAACACCGTCACACTACTCCACCTCCGATCGAGGATGCGTGCAGAGGATCAAACTGTGAGAGAGCAACGTCCACGGAATCCTTTCCGACAAGATACGTATGAGTCCAACTTTGTCTGTGATTCCACAACCTTGCTGCTTTTTGTGGACATTATGCACGCACGCCTCTTTCCCGATCTGCACCGCCGTGAAATCCGTGGTATGTGCCAAACCAATGCTGGATGCCATCTAGATTTGCCAAGGTCACGATTTGAAGGAATGCAACATACATTTAATGTTCCTTGCATTTTGCTGTTCACCTGCTCTGTCGATGTCATGGGTCTCCACCAAAATTGCACGGCATGGCCTTCAACAAGGAAGAGAACGGGCCCACAACATCTCCGTGACTATTCTCGAAACGGACACTGCCCAGGGAACATCGGCACCCTCGGTGGCGAATGTCGTCGTTGCGCCTATGTGGAAGGGAAGGAGCTAATGAACCCTGCTGTCAAATGACCACATCACGATAGGGTCAATAAATGATGGCATTTCTGCTCAAGGGGGGATTGGCTCTCCCATACGCGTGAATCAAGGAACTTTGGGAGGTAACTTGGTCTAAGAAGGATGGGTCCACGTACTTCCGATATCGCAGCCATGCGATGCAGGCCCGAGATCGATAATCACATAACAGGCGGAGTAGCGGCAAGGAGGCGGTACACTACCCGTAGGCTGTTTAAGGGAAAGGCTCACAACGTTCCAACGTTCACTTCTCTTGCACACGGTCAGTGACTATGACCGCAAGTCACACAGTATGTGCATGTCTTCCTAGGCCACATTCTAGTTTTACGTGTAGTGTAGCCAACCACGTGGCAGAGAATTGCGCGGATAAGCATGTGAGCGTTTACACCTCAAATGGGTTTCTTGCCTATTATTGGCTGACTTGCTATCTCGAAAGAGAAAAGCAACACCAAGTCCGACGGACGATTATAACGGCTGCTTCCGCCCCGACATGTAGAGTTTTCGAGACAGCCTCCCACAATGCGGAGGGAGAAATTCAACAACATTTTGAGTCAATGGGAGATGACGGTTACGTCGGATCCTATGTTGCGTGTGCTAATAGGATAGAGGGTGGGGAAAGCTGGCCATTGTTATCTTACGAGCTGGCATGCTGCGAATTTGCCTTGTGTGATGGGCCAACAAGTACTTGTAAAGGCAGTATTAGTAACTAGCGCCCCATCCGTCATCACGTGACCGATCACTGCACAGTCGAGCTCTTGAGGGTCCACTAGTACTGGGACCGAGACAGTCAAAAGGCGCGGAATTTTTTTTGGCCACGACCCTATACCCAACCACCACAACCTGTTTGAACCACAATGAGAGTGATGAAGGACTATTTGTGGCGGCAGCGCACCAAACTGGAGGCTACCCTTGCGTTCTCGATGATGGAGCCCTGGGAGAAGTTACTTTGCAGTGCGTGTCAAATGAAGCTTGTCAGTTTGAGTCAACTGTTGAACTGATCCATGCGCTTTCGCGTTTGCGGTTTGGTCAATGTGTCCGACAGTGATTATATTCACGTTCTTTACGCTGTTGCTGATATCTGGACTATACCAGTATCTTCCGGAACACGTCTTCATTATGCAGAAGCGGGCGTCCTACTACCTATGGGGTCAAGACGGAGACGAACGGTTGCTGAGGCAGTGGGCTGATCCGCCGTCGCCCTTGAAGGAGCTATAAAGTCGACCCGGTGAGTAGTTGGCCTATTATCACCTGTTTTGTGTCGTTGCTAAAATAAACGATGACTGTGTGACCACAGTCATACCGGTTGTGCTCGATATTCTTGGTTAACTGTCTTTGAGATAGATATGACCTGTAATACTCAAATTTGCTATTGGGGTTGGCAGATTTATGAGCCGTGCCTATAATTTTGTTCTCGCCCTTGCTGCAGCTTGTTGCCACGTGACACGCTGGATGTCGGAAAAGAGTTGTCCGCCTGCTCGTCGAAACGCAAAGCAAAGGCCGTCCGCGTCCGTACACACTTTATAAATAAAAGGCTTCTTCTGCCTCTCCACGCCGCTCCTTTTCTCACTCCCACCATATCTACCATAATGTTAACCACTCCGTCACGCCTACGACACTACCTCTGGCGAAGGAAAGTACTTATTGAAACAACGTTTGCAATAAATGCTCTCGAACCTTGGGAGAAGATGATACTCTGTGCGCGCATCGTGTCTTTCCATGCCTTACCTGCCCGTCCGTTGACGCGGGTTTGCTCGCGTGCACAGTCTCCGTCCTTTCTTTACTCGCTTTTCTTCTTTTCAGAGGGGTCTGCTGTATATTCCCTTCCCAACTTTTCATCGTGCAACAGCGTGCAGCGTACTATCTATGGGGGAACGACACTGCAGACCTGGCGCTGAGGTACCACGTGGGATCGGGGACAGTCAAGGACGTATAGACACTGGCGTGTTGAGGTCTGCCACCGCATTAATATTGTGAGTCTGCGAATCCGCTCGTTCCGTCTACTGGGATCTTACACACCTGGCGCATTTATGCTAGTGGCAGTCGCGTATGGTTTTCATTTGTATTAGCTGGTCGCGTCTTCTCCCGATGTCTGGGAATCGTTTTGTATCACACTTTCCATGGTTAAGAGGCATCTTGTCTTTATCTATCCACGGCCCCTATTTTGAGGATGCCATGCCTTATCTCCGTCGCCGAATTCGTCACAGGGCGCTAGCGCTACCCTCGGCTTGCGTTCGGGAGCAAGCTGCGTTATGGATTACCCCAGTCATCGCATTCCCCCTATCAGTTTTGAGACCCTGAACGTACAGTTAGGTATGATTGAAAGGGCTAACACCCAATAACTATTAATTATAGTATCTAGGACGCGTCTACCGTTGATCGTCTATGTGCTTTAAGTTGGCCGTGAGAGTTACCACACGCGATAAATTAGAAACCGTTGGGCTGCTCGTGTTATAACTTCATTCTAAATAATGCGTGAAAACTAGAGAAAATAAGATATGATGTTTGTAAGGAAATAGTGATGCAACGTGAATGTGGAAAGTATGGAATCAGTAAAGAGAAAGAAAAAGTCTATGAAACACAGTGAAGAGCGAGAATGGTCAGGGAGTACTTGCGTGTGCCGGAGTGAGGTGTCACGTTAGGAAAAAATCGTGGGAACGGAAGTCCGGCCTCCATCCCGGTCTTGCTGTGTGATAGATAATGTCATATACGGTCATAAGTGCGTTATCGGAAGTGGTGGTTTTATGCTTTCGTGAATAGGTAGTTGTTGAGGCATGTGATGACGGCGAGGCAATTCGATGCGTGAGTCGAAGTGGGTGAGTTGTGTAAGGTGGGTCTCCGTAAACGATACAAATCTGAGTGTCCCGTAATCGTACTGGCATGGTCCGAGGATGAGATGAAACGTGGCATGGTGGCGACGTATTGTTTACGTTGCATGGTGAAACAGGAACGAAGAGAAGCCCCCCCTCCTATACTGGCGACTGGAACTTACCACGACCACCCCACTTCTGGAAGATAGGGTCGTCCGACTTCGTGTCAGGGTGGATCTGAAACTTGCCCTCCCAGAGTGCCGCGGAGGACCTCGATGGGTCGTACCTCGCAGGGTCAGAAAGAGAACCGCGAGCTTGAGGTGCCCAACCAGCTCCAATGGAAGAGGCAATAAGCGTAGGCACCATCGTCATTATCGAAGGGCTAGCGTAGTACGTATGAGTATGCCCTTCCAAGAACGAGAACACACGTACAGAGGTACTTTTCGATGTTCTTGTAAGCGGGCTGAGCGGCTCTTGCCCACGAAAGATGAAGACCGGACACGACCACCGCGCACATTGGAAAACGTAGCGAGGTTGTCGCGGACAAGTTCGATTGCCGAGTTCCATTCAGCGGCATCCGGTTTCACAGTAGGGAGTTCTTCTGGGCGAGGAAGGAGCCGTGACGAGATAAAGAGTCGCTCGAACGGCTCATTGGGTAGCAAGCGAATCAGGGCTCCAAGCGGGAGAGAAACGGCGCCAAGCCCGAGGGAAATCCCCCATTCGCGAGCTCCAATACGGGTGACCTGGAATGCTGCACCGCCGATGAAAACGATTCACTATCTGGACGACAATTTCTGTACAACCATGAGATGTACCGCCGGGGCGGGAGGGTGCGGAACAACTTACCGATCAACGTGATAATAACGAAGTAGGGGTTTCGGAAGAGACCCTCAAACACGTTCAGCTGCTTGTCCAGCCGCCTCGAATTGATGGAGTTGAAAATCTGCGCGAAAACGAATATGTTGAACACCAACGTCTGTACAATGGTATCGTTCGCAGACGTGCTTTCAAATCCGAGGATCTTGAGACCAAGGAAGTGGAAGATGAGCACAATAATGATTTGATACGTAGACTGGAGGAGGATTTGCTTGTACATATCCACAGAGAACAGCGGAGCGCTAAGCTTATCCGGTTTCCGATCGAGGAGTGAGGGGGACGGAGGATCCGTAGCAAGTGCGAGGGCGGCGAAGGTATCCATAATGATATTGATCCACAGCAGCTGAACGGCCGAGAGAACCGACGACTCGGACGAGGATGCAACAGCCGTAACGAAGGTGACGACAACTGCAGTTACGTTCGTCGAAATCTGGAACTGCAGAAATTTGCGAACAGCGTCATTAACACAGCGCCCCCACATGATAGCCTTGACGATCGAGGAGAAGTTATCATCCATCAAGATAACGTCCGAAGCTTCCTTTGCAACCTCTGTACCGGCAATGCCCATTGAAAAGCCCACGTTGGCGGTCTTCAGCGCGGGGCCGTCATTCGTACCATCGCCTGTTACGCCAACAATCTCTCCGAGGGCACGAAGCTTCTCGACAAGAAGCTTCTTGTCATCGGGGGATGAGCGGGCGAGGACCTGAATCCGCGGAACTATATCGAGTATTTCTTTGTCGCCTAGTTGTCGAAAAACGGGTCCTTCCATGATGATACCTCCTGGCGTAAATATGCCACATTGGAGTGCAATAGACCGAGCTGTGAGAACATTGTCACCCGTGCACATTTTGATGGCGACACCGGCTTTGTGGCAATCTGCAACCGCCTCACGAACGCCTTCACGAAGAGGATCTTCGATCCCAACGATTCCGATGAGAGTCATCCCGGAAAGCAGGTGTTCAAATGGAACCTTGTATCGCGTAATGAGAAGCTGTAGCATTCAGAATAAGAACCGCTCACCTCTTGACTGTCAGTCACCATAACGCCAGCAGGTGGCCAACTGGCGAAATCGCGGTAGCAGATTGCGATGGTGCGCAGCGTTTGATTTGCGTAAAATATAATCGTGCGAGAGATGTTTTCTTGCTGCGGCTCCCGAATTTCAGCGACTTCCACCACCTCACTCTCGTTGTCGGGTTGCGGGCCGTCCTGAGACACGACGACGTGGTGTGTGCACAGCTTCGTAAGAATCTCACTGGCACCTTTGACATAGAGCCTGTGACTCCCGCTTTCCAGCCGCACGACCACACCCATCGCTTTGCGTTCGCTCGAAAATGGAATCATCTGAACCACTTCGGCCTTTTCGCGGACTTCCCTGTAATTCTTCCATTCCAATTCGTTCGCAAAACTCAGCAGCGCCGTCTCCGTTTTGCTCCCCACAAACACCGTCTTTCCACTCTCCTCATCTTTGTCTTCGAAGGCCGTCGAATTTACGGCAATAGCGGCATTGAACAATCTCCGCAGCTGCGGAGACAGGATCGTGTTCAAATGGCTCTGATCGATTGAGAAATCACGTTTGTGGCTAGCGTTAGATGCGGAATCATGACTGCTCCGTGATCCGAGATCGTCCGCCGCATTCGTTCTAGACTGGTTCTGTTCAAGACGGCGTACAAATTTGGCGTGCACGCCGATGGAACCTGCAACGACAGACATGACATTCTGAGTGAGTGTGCCGGTTTTGTCAGTGCAGATTACGGAGGCATTAGCCATAGTCTCGCATGAGCCAAGGACGCGAACGAGGAGATTTTCCTTCGTCATTCGCTTTGTGGCGAATGCGAGAGCGAGGGTCACTGCGAGAGGAAGTCCTATTTTCGAAAAAAAAAAGACTTAAGGATTGTAAACACCAGAACGAGGTATCTCACGTACCTTCGGGAACAGCAACGACCACGAGTGTAACCGAGATAATGAGTATCTGAACAAATGTCATGCCATTCTCGTTCGCGTTCCTTGGGAACGACTCAGGTTCAGTGCTGGGAGGAATCATGAGTCTGACTAACCTTTGCGGATTTCCCGTCCCAAGTTGGACAAAGAATCGGATCATAAGGCAAGAAAAGAGTACGATGCCCGCGATACTTCCAATTTTTGCGATCAGCTCTGCAAGAACGTTCAGCTTCAGTTGGAGGGGGGTGTTTTCAGTATCCGTGCGGAGGGCTTGGCGATGTGAGCTACGGCAAGTTTAAGCAACGAAGAACGTACCCATCATGATTCGACCATTGAAACTCTTTGTGCCCACTGCGACCACAACATAACGACCAACGCCCTCGAGAATTTTGCTACCACTGACAATGAAACAATCCGTATGCGTAGAAATATGCTGCCCTCCAGGGGTCCCCTTTGCGTCGGAATCATGGGTTTGTTCGCTCGCGACTTGCAAGGCAAGCGCATCCTTTAATGCGATGCAATGGGAGTATGGCGCCTTCTTAATAGCATCGGTTTCACCAGTTGCTGCCGACTCGTCACACATCACGTTGTGCCCAGATAAGAATATTCCATCGCATGGAACGATCTCGCCCGGTTCCAAAAGTGCGATGTCGCCCACAACAACTTCCTGCGAACGTCAGCTGAATTCCGACAATGACATGCACCCTGCCCTATAGACCTACCTTGACATCGATGACATGTTCAACGCCATTGCGAATGACCTTGACACCCCTTTCTTCCTTCTTCTCGTTCAGCGCTTTGAACTGACGCTCTTTCTGCCAGTCATTCAGAGACCCGACGATGACCTAATCGTTTGTTGTCGAGTGATGATTCAGAACATGACGCCTTCTAACTCACAACAATAAGTATCGCAATCATAATCGCTACGCCTTCGACCCAGTCGACAGGCGGATCACCCGGTGTACGAGGCGTACCAAAATCTTGAAACAAACCCAATGCCAATGAAATGACGGCCGCTATCGACAACAGTACCTTCGGGAAACTAAATCGCCGCCGGAGCACAGGAACAACAAACACCTGAACTTACCAGAACTTTGTCTTTGAGAGCTAGCCACATTAAGGCAAGTAGGGACTTGCTAGGACGCTGCGGAAGCAGATTCTCGCCGTAAACGCGCTTGCGTTGCTGTAATGTTGCATGACACGGATCGCAGTTATCCTCTGCGGTGTCGCCTACACCCGATGCGGGCGGGTGCAGCTGAGCAGGCGGTGGCAAAGGCTCAACGGCACCTGAATTCATTGCGACGTGCCTATCATGCCTTTGAGATGCACCGGCACCTGCACCAGGTGGGCCGCCGGGCGGACCGCCCCCTCCGCAGTCGGGTGTACCGACCATTAAACCACGTGTAGGATGGGTACCGAGTCCTTTCAAAAGAGTGTCTATGCCACCCATAGCCCCGAGAGCATCCAAGTTTTTTGGGTCCAGAAGACTAGCAAGCTTATAAGGTTTAAATGCGAACGGACCTGTATCGACAGGTTCATCTTCCAAACCCGTGTCGTCAATGACGTCTCCATTATCCTTTCCTTCTGTAGCAATGCCCCCTCCCGACCAGTGGGAAGACGCTTCTGGAGGTGGTAGAGTGCGATTAACAGTTTTGACGTGCACCTCCGATTCGCTCGGAAATTTATCGGGATGGGAACGTGATCTGAAATGTTCGGAAGCAGAGTCAACATAGGCAGGGGACGTGACAGTAAGGCTGGTAGCGTCTGACTTTGGCCTTCGCAGCGGGAATAAAGTGAGGTCATTGCTACCATGGTCAGGCTCTGTCTCATCTAGGCTACTATGACCCTCGTGAGAACTTGCAAATGTTGCAAAGCTTCCTTTTCGTCGATGAATGGGAGTGTCAACAACCGAAGGACTGAGAATGTTGAGAGAAGATAGGCCATTCCGTTCATCAGGTTTGTTATTACGAAGTTCCAGGGAGGTCATGAACTGAACGGATGATTGAGTAGATAGCGTGGGTGACGGGGGGACGCCCGAGCTGGAACCTTCGTAAGATGATACAAAAGTGGAAGATGGGGATAACGAGCGAGGAACGTCTAAAGACGTCCGACGGCCCGAAGATAGGTTTGGATAAGGAGACAGATATGCTCCTCGTTGGTAGGGGGGATAAGAATCATGGGATGGTTGGTGGGAAGACGGCGAGTCTGGAGGGTCGTTGGCACCACCCGGCTGGTCCGTGGTTTGTTCGTGGAGGGATACTCTGGACGATAGGTCGATGGTGACAATTGCAGGAATATTGTTATTAGCAGCCATGAAAAATGTCGCAGAGTGAAAGGAAAAATCAACCAGCGGTTACGCACTAGTTTTATAGCATCAGTAACTATGCGGAACTGATGCCGTGCCCTTCAGCGAACGTTCTTTAAGAAAACGCTTGCCTTACTTATTATGAACACGAAGAAATTCCGTGTAGAACACGGAGCACAGCCCCGAGATCTTTGGCATCCACGCCCTTTACACGCTTGGCAAGCACTTACTATTAGTTAGTTACCACCAGCCCTGCGCCTTTAATGGTGGCGTTCTCGAATTCAACTTTGTACGTGCTCATCGTCCGCAACAAGGACCCTCCCCGGGGTGCTGTAGTGACCTTACCACGTGTTTTTGTACTAAGTTGCCTGATATGGTCCGTCTCAGCGCAGATCATTTCCCTTTGGTCCACGTGTTACTGTAGACTGGCCCATCCAGTTACCAGGAAATCCAACGGTTCTGCCACCGCATAGGCTTGCTACTACGTACTGTCTATATCTACAACCCGCCTACAAACCTCCACAAACCTGGGGCATCAACGGCTGGCGCCTCTAAGGACGAATCGCGTGGAAGAGACTTGATAATGCCACATCCTTTGTGACCCCTGGGGCCGACTGGCAGCTGTGTTTCAATATTGAGAAGCTCATTTGCATTCCTTAATAATATGGCTTGATAGAATTCCGAACCTCCCTTTTCGTCATTCACCGTAATTTGACAGGTCTTGGGAGCTGTTGGAATTCACGATCCATAGGATCATCCTTGTCGTCATGCCATGCATCATTTCACATGTGGCTCCGTTACTTATCGATCGCACCCCTGTGCCACGCAGTCTTCGCAGCAAGGCATCTAGATCTAACGCGTGGTGGCGGCCCTAACCACCTTCTCACCTCCTGGCATCGTGTTGTGACGACTTTTTATTACTCGGTCATTATGTATTTTATCCTCGGAAGGTAAAACAAGTCTACTGTTCGCTTTGTGTGAGGCGTCCACCCCGCACGTTCCGCCCCTCTGGTGAACAGGGCTTAACGCAACCATTCACGTCAACCCTCCATAGGTATGTACCCACTCTCCTAATTCCTACCCACGCTCATCGATATGCCGTCCCAGCTGACCTCTATGTGGCGTCTTCCTGCCTGCATCTATTTTGCAGTCCCGGTACATTTGCTCCATATCTCTTAGCTTCCAAACGTGACCCACCCACCTATTCGGCGTTTCAACATCATCCATTCCTCTGGCTCGGGAGAGCCTTACTACGTGTCCTTGGCTTTCTTTCCGATGAGAATTTCTGACGAACTTTGGACAAGCGACCCGACGCCACTAGGAGCAGGCTCCATTGGATGTGGCACTGAGCCCTCCATCCTCGTTCCACGATGGGGCCCGGTTGCCTTTCCAGGGTCTCCCTCATACACAAACGACGCAATGGGAGATCGTAACTCTGAGGCTGGCACGCTGGTTGGTCACCTCGGACACGCAGTCAAGATGATAGTATGTTTGACCCTGTTTTGAGCCCATGTTAGAGCCTGCATGCGAAATGGTCCCCCTCCATTATCTTTCTCGCGGGCCCTGCGCGGTTCTGTGGCCAAACACGTGGAGACCAGCCAACTTTCTAAGAACAGGTTCTATGAACTTCCGAATGTTTGGCACCCACGTGCATTTGACTTTAACCTCCCACAGTTCGACGCCCAAGTACTGGTTGGCAAATCTATCACTGTAAGCGCTTGGTGGGGTGCAAACATTCAGACAACCCTCCATCTCCCTTATCTACTACCATTGGGGCTGGCGAGAGAAGAAGTTAATGCCATGCAGGTAAAATGCCCGACTTCCTCCACGCACTCGAATCAATAAGGAGGCCTGGAATGCCCCGTGCTGTCCTTGCTAGCATAGCCAAGTTCATCACATCTGCTTAGTGGGAACGGCACTCCCTACTTGTAGTCGTTGCTGCGGGGAGGGGCTCACGGAGGTAGGCTATGCAGCTGTCAGCTAATCGGCATACTTGGCGTTCTATTGAAAAATACAATGTATGACAATGCGTAGAACCGCAGGCGGGGACATATCCCGCTTCCGGTGTTCAATAACACCGCAGCTCCGATTTTCGGATCAGACGGCCCCCATCATCCCGGGTTTGGGAGACCTGCCAATACGTGTTATGTATTTCGTTTCCCTCCTGCCGTGCCCACTATTGACCATTCATTGACCGCCCTGAAAATCAGTCGTCTCGGTGACTCGCCACTGTGCACAGGGAACCAGGTGGCAGCAACCGCCGACCCAGTCTCTCGAAAAGGAAGGTGCGCACACGACACAGCCTAGACCTACTTATAAGTAGCTACCACGTTTTCCATCGGAAAGTTCTCTGCCCTCAGGTTTTTCTCAATAGAAAACAGCACCACGGCAGCTTTGATTATATACCATCGTCTTCCGTTAAATCCCTTAAGAAGGCGTTGAACGCCGCGCATTCTAGTACACATGCGTTCTATCTAATTCATACCCCGAGTAGTCTCTTAGAACATTCTCTGCACCCATTTCCAGAATTCCTGCAACTGCGATAGCTATTATACGGCCGAAGAGCGTGGATGGAGAACGAGGCTCGGGAGTCGGCTGTGGATTTTCGAATCAGGCTTGGCAATGAAAAACTTGTTTTTCCGGGAGACCGTCTCAGACCGTCCGTCGCCTGGAATGATGGCTTCCTTGCTGATCCACCGATTCCACCTACAACGATCAGGTATATTATCTGACTGTGATCAAGCTCGCTCGCTCTTGGTGTTCCGCAAGTTACAATTTCATACCGCCATCCGGGCCCCTATGCAAATGATTGATGGGACAGGTGCAATAATGTCTGGGCGACGGGCATCTGCCTCCCACAGGACACATGTCAACAAGGTAAGGCGCAGCCTACGACCACCTTCAGATCATATCATCGATCCCATCATAAGCAACGTATACCTTGTCACTGTCAGGGTGTCTGGGATTTCAAAAACAGTGGGTTAGGGGTTTTTCTGGTACTGTAGCAGAACGCTGCTATCCAGGATGATCAATGGAAAACTTTTGTCCTTGTCCCGTTACTAGCTCACCCTCGTTTCCCTTCTCAAGTCGATGATGTTCTCTTCCCTATCCTGGCTCACTCGGAATTCAAGAAGCGAGCGCAGCGGCGCAGCACATAGCCATACCTTACTAAAGGTATCCATCGTATTCAAGTGAGATAACGGGTGTTGATTCCCATCACGCACCGTGCAGTGTTCAATGGTGAGTCTCAGTTCGGAACTTGCACCCCTTCTAGCCAGAACAGTCTTTCCATCAGATTTATCTGTTTATCCTACGATGGGCAAGAAGCCATTGTTAACGGAATAAGTACGTTTGGGTGAAGCTTGTCTGAGATCATGGCTTACATATGTATATCCCATCGGAATGACTCGACATTGTGAATGTTTCTCCAGTAACTTGGACACCAACACTGGAAACCAGGTTGGTAGTCCAACCTCGGCAAAATCCCAAATAACGTCACAGCAACCCAACAAACGTTCGACCACTATTGTCATGCAATTAATTTCTCAGTTTTAGAAGGCCTTGTCAAAACTGTTGTACTAGGACGTGGCAAACGAGGTTGTGATTGTACACTCGTGTCATGCCCCCATTTAGCAAACAATGGGGAAACCTGTTGTGTCTGGAGTGAACCGAGCTTCTACTATTTCGGTGATTCTGGAGTTCGCTGTTTGGGCGCCTTGATAAGTCGTCCTGAGGAGTCCTTGATCAGAGGCAAACATCCTGTACATTGAAGTTCTCACCTTGATACTGCGCGCAATTCACTTCCGATTAGATAGGAAAGTGGCGGGCACCCTCTCAGAGACGCTGGCTGCCGCCTCCGTATGCTGGTATCCACTTGTCACTGGTGCTATATACATCGCGATGACATCACCGGTCCATGTGGAGCCGCCCAGGGTCCGGACCTTTATACCGTATGCGGCTAGAGTCGACCATCCATCGGGCGGATCTCCAGTTTTTATATTCAAGTGAATGTCGGCGACTGGAGCATAAGGCTGTGGTATGATTTGAACGCGGTACATACATAAGGGTATGTGCACCATGCGTTGTTCCGTGCACCCACCTCGGCTGTCGTAGAGAAACGATACAATGACAGGTAACATGCAACGGAATGCAGGTAGGCTGTACCGCCTTTAGTGCTGGCCTACCCACCGGCCGGAAGATTGTACAACAAAGTCGCCCGGTATAACATGCAACGCGCAAGGTGGATGGATCGTGGAATGTTGTCGACCGGTGGCAACGATCATGCTGAATATCATTTTTCATTCGAGTCGCCTGCCGACCGCACTTGCATCGTGTTGTACCTCTCGATCCCTTATCCAATACGATAGGTACGATAGGCAAGGCTGTTCTGATGCGCTCTGTGGCCTCGTTCCCCGAGTTCCGCGCCTGTTGGTCCTCTGGGAGCCACACGCGGTCCTGAACTTTAAGTCGGCTTGGCTGGTCAGATGAAGTGTGGATGTTGTTAAGGTGAGCTGTCCGCTAACCACGGTGTATTGCGCTTTGCAAGGATCGATCATGGTGAGGCCGCTGCGGAATGAGCGACTCGTCGGCCACCGTGTACCAAGTATGCTCGCTTACGGCCACATACACAGCATCTCAACCCGAAACCATCACAGTATATAAGTCCCTGTAAGGGAAATGACACTCGGGATGGTCAATAAAACCTTCAAAATCCTGGAGAGGTGTTACCAAAACAATTCCACAAAATTTTATCCGAAAGGATTCAATCATCGAAATGGGCAAGGTGATCTTGAATTCGATTGCCATCGCAGAAGAGCATAGGTTCAGCGTGGCCAACATGGCAAGAATACAAATTTCGGTGACTGATGGGTGCACAAGGGCATACCTCGAGCTCGAACGGCGCCTTCCGCAACGGAATAAAACAGGAATCAGAGTGATGCCATCAGTTCGACCTCCCTCTGGGGCATGTATTCACAGGACGAACGTTTTACATCGCCTCGCCAGAGAAGTAGAAGTTCAATCTGACGATTACTCATAACATTTCCTTGCGAACAGTTCGCCGCGCCTTGATACGCAGAATATGAGTACTAGGTGGCAATGACAGAATTCAGGCACGTTTGATCGTCTCTGGCGATACAATGTGTCCAATTGGGGCGACAGAGATGAGGGGATATGCCCTAGACAGCTGGACAGAGAAGGACTAGTACGCCTGAGCATTGAATAGCGAAACTGGTCTAATATTGGCCCCGAATGCGAACCATGTTGAGATTTGTTCCCCTGTCCAGCGGAACCGCGCAGGAGAAACGGCCAGTTGTGGACGTGGCAGGCGAGCTGTGGGAACGGCAACTCGACCCATAACCCCTAATGTGCTCACTGACGGCAGCGGAAGCACACTCGTGCAGCATGTTGTTTTGAGCTCAGCCGCCAAACAGAAGTATAGTGCTGCGGGGTATTTGTGTCATCCATGATGTAAATGCTGAAATAAATAAAAACTGATTCGTCAGAGTGAATACGGCTCCAGTGGGACTCAGAAAACGCCATTGGCATAGAGTACGGTAATTTGGTATTCGCTGACGAGTCGACGATCGTTGCTTGATCGCCGTGGCCGGCGCTGCATAAACTATCCACAATGTAAGTCACAACACGAGCAATGAACAAATAGACGAGACTCACCCAGAAATCTTTCTGAGCAGCGGAATAAGTCTGAAAGGGGTTAATCATAATTAATCATTAGACTCATTTGTCTTCGTCCTCAGGTGACTGAGGGAGTATGTACTACGGTGCCAAGTGACATTATCAGCCGTCTTCCATTGTTCGCGTCCCGAGTTCAGCAGTGAAACTTACTTTGAAGGTGTTGTTGCTGGCGGCTTCGAATCTGCAACGTTCTGTTAGAACATTAGCTTTCCCGGCCCGATAGGCGAGTTGACTGTACCTTTCGAACGTGACTGTGTCAAACATGCTCCCTGCAACTCCCTGCGCCACGAGTGAGGAACGAATGATTCTCGACCTTCTTATTCGCTCAGAGTGACATCACGCATTCTTTAGCGCAACGTTCGCATACCAGACTGGAGTGAGCTGCGAGCATCAAGCTTCCAACGAGAATCCATTTGAGTTGGAGGAAGTGACCAAAAACACGTTGATCAGGTTGACACACTGCCTCTGAGACCCTTCATGTCGTTTCCTATCCCAATTTAGTCGTCATCGCGTCATCCCTCGGCACCACCGGGGAAGGCCATGCACTTGGGGTTCTCCACACGGCGGAGAGTGCGAATGATAGGAATGACTCTAATTCCGAACAGCAGCATGAACCTTCTAGGTTTGTGTCCATTGTGACTACCTGACTGCTGCATCCCTGACGGTTCAGAATTCAGAGAACGTGTCGTCCGCATGTGCAACTTCCTTAGTAAAGTCCTGTCACGCGACAGAGCGTCCCCCAAGAACACGTAAAACCTCGAATTGCATCTATGTACAATATGCTCTAAGGGAAACCCACTATACGAGAATATGGGGTAAGAGGAGAAAAATATACACTGCACGCTCTACGGATCAGCAGGCTGGAGGTGCCTACGTAAAAAAGGAATAACCATATAGAACAGCCAACGGATAGACAGGCCCGGTATAGCACGACGATGGGAAATGGGTAACGCCACCAGTTCGCTAAAGGACGGGACCGGGACCTGAAATACGATACGTGCAAAAAAAATAATCAAAATCCCCTGCGAAGCTCATGCTGCAGGGCTTACCACCTGTGGGGCAGGTGCTTCCCCACTTACGGTCGTCGTAACCACCCCATTATCTGCGTCACTCGAGATAATTTCTGGGGTAGGAATCGGGGGTGTGACTATTTTCGGCTGCCCTCCGTTGACGAGTTTTCCTGAGGGTTGTTCTTCCTTGTTCACAGTCGGGAGTGCATCGTTCACCTTAATCCTACTCATTTCCCGGATGAAGCTCGAACCCCAGAACGCCGCAGAGTACTTGTTGACGTATTTAAACAGCTTGCGATGCTTCTCCGCTCTCGAGTCGACATCCATCGTGACAGCTTCATGGATCGCGTCCGCCACCTGCTGTGAGTCCCACGGGTTCACGACAATCGATCCGTTTAGGCTCTGTGCCGCACCGGCGAACTCTGATAGAATAAGAACACCTTGGCGGGCCTGTTGGCATGCAATATACTCATATGAAACCTATCAATGCAATTGTTTGACGTCAACGCCTTCACGTTCCAAAGATGAAGAAACGAGGAAGCCTTACAAGGTTCATGCCATCCCTGGTGGACGATACAAGACATACGTCACTGACGGCGTACAGGGCGCAAAGTTCGTCGAACGGTAAACTCTTGTGCATAAAGTGAATCGGCATGAAGTCCACAGTTCCAAATCGGCCATTAATGCGACCCACAAGTTCGTTCACTGTGGAACGAAGGTTTTGGTATTCCTCGACGTCTTGACGGGAGGGTACAGCGAGCTGAACTAATACAACCTGCGATAATCTATCATGAGAGGGTGACGTCGTGGCTTGACTACGGATACGTGCCTTTCCGATCCACTCGGGGTGCTGGGATAAAAATAGCTCGAGAGCGTGCAACTTTTGAGGGACACCTTTGATGTAGTCGAGACGGTCAACTCCGACGATGAGCTTGACGCCTGCGAAACGCTGCTCGAGTTGAGTTATGCGAGACTTGACGGAGTCTTTTTTGAGGTTCTATGATTCAATAGGGGTTAGAAGCGTTCCTTTTGCCTATGGTGGTGACTTACTTCGATGAACGATCCGGGTTCGATACCAATAGGAAACGTGCCGACATGGGCTAGCCGTCCTTCGAACTCGACACCGTTGGGCATTGTAGGAAGACCGAGAATACGTGTGCAAGAAGACAAGAAATGGCGGGCGTAATCATACGTATGGAACCCAATAAGATCGCAAAACAGGATGCCCAGTAATATCTCGCGGCGTACAGGTAAAATCCTGCATGCTTGTCAGTGATTGTCTTCTCACTTCAAGGACAGAAATAATATACCTGTAAATTTCACTACTTGGGAAAGGGGTGTGGAGGAAGAAACCAATTTTGACGCCAGGTATTTGTTCCGTATTTGGCGAGCAGAGTTCTTCGATCCCTTCCGTAATCTTGGACAACTCGCGTTTCTGCCATTCGCCACCAGAGGAGCCGTCAACGAGACCGCGCAGCATCATAGGGAGGAGCATGAGGTGGTAATCTTGCACCCATACCATCGCCCCGGGAGTGATATGCGACCGCACGGCCTCGGCAAAGCGCATGTTAGCCTGACGGTACGCTGTCCAGTTCTCCTCGTCGAAATTCATTTCGCCGGGATGGTAATGGAAGAGCGGCCAGAGGATGGAATTCGAGAAGCCATTGTAATGGCGGTCGGCGATATCATCTTCCAGATAGACTGCCTGACAAGAGTACTCTTCCATGAGACGTTTGTCGACGTGTGCGCGATCCTTTGGAGGGATGAAGAAGCCAGGCCATCCAATCCAGGTGAAATTGAGGGATTTCTTGAAACCTGAGAGTGCAGACACGAGGCCGCCCGAGGACATCTTGAAGTGGTAGTTGCCACTAGCATCCTTGGTGATAGTAATAGGGAGTCTGTTAGAGACGACAAGGAGATGGCTTCCGTTGGACGAGTCCATGTTCGTTGAGGACGAGTCTGAGGACAAGTGAGGAAAGATTGAGGAGGACATGTGCCGGCCGTCGATTGGATATAAGTACTTGCTCGATTTCTGCTGAGAAGACGCGAAAGGACCCGGATTAGGGAGATTATCGGATCTGCTGTGCACAAAAACTCGGGACCAATGTGATGAGCGATGAGCTAGTGATCTGGCGAACGTGCTACAATTCCAAGTTTCGCAGTGGCCCAAGCTTTAAATATCAGAACAAGACCTTGGCGATGACGGCCAGCTCCAATGGTTGTGGGCTTACTCGTTCGGACGTCGTCTGCCCCACCCTAATCATAGGTCAAAACTATTCAATAAAGCGATGACGCAAAACGCTCCGAGCCCGGTCCCCTCCGCCAATCACCTGCCATATTAGACAGACAGCCGCCAAAAACTCATTTCTAATCGATTTCGCGCGTTTGCGTGGTTACATACATTTAGAATTGCTCTGTCATGGTGATGATGCATTACATGAAAATAGTGCACGGTAGTTAACATGACAAGTCGTAATCTAGTCAAAGAGACCAAAGCCCTGCACAAGCCAACATTTAAAATTACGTGCCAGGCAGTGCAGTTCCGCCGACTTACCATGTCGTCGTCTGACTCCTCTTCCTTCTCGGCGGGTTTCTCTTCTTCCGCAGCAGCAGGAGCAGCCTCTTCCGCAGCGGGTGCAGCAGCAACCGCGAATGCTTCTGGGTTCTCCAGGAATGCTTTGGCCTAAAACACCAATTGGAGTCAGTTCCGCCAAATAAGGAAACAACGTAGAAAGAGGAATTAATAGGTTGCAATGCAATGTATCCATCTCCACCAGGTCGCCCACGCCAAACGATAGTACCTGTGACGCAACTGACCTTTTCGGCACCCTCAAAGGTGTAATCAGTGGCAAGAGCAACGGCGATAAGGTTCTTGTAGGAGTTGACAAGGGAGTGCATGACCGACACAATCGTAGGGTAGTGGAGAGCCAACGAAATGGCTGCAATCGATTTGACACCGGACAGGAATCGGTCGATGAGCTCCTTCTCGCCCACATCAAGAACAGATGGGGAGAAGACGTTTCCGGAGTCGAATATCTGAACGACGGTCATGCCATACGTGAACGGCGAGATGTTCAGCATATTCAGCAACGTAGCTTCGGACGGCCCGACACGGCTGCCAGCAGTGAGGACTTTCACCTCTGAGACGATTTCGATGGTACCACGAGCGATCTTGGTAGGGATACCGAGGGCCTGGAAGAAGGACGTCTTTCCTGGTTCCATACCAGTGTTGCCAGCAGGAATGAAGACATCCGTGGGGGAGAAAGCGCCAGCGCGAGCAGGCGCTTTAACTTTATTGGCGACGATAACCTCCCGAACCTCCTTGAGATCGCTTTCGGTGAAGACGAAACCGATGTTACCCTTGACATGTGGAAGCAGCTTCTCGAACTGGGGGAACTCCGAGAGGATGGAACGCAGGGCACGGCGAACCATCGTGTTTTTACCCATCAACACGACGCCCTTGCTACGGAGAGCGACACGGATCTGATGCATCTGGTTGGAACCGACGTTGTCGACATTGACGATGAAAATGGAGGCTGTAATTGGCGTTGTGAAGCTGAAACAACGCCAACGGCGCAGTAGAACGTACGGTACTTTGAAATGAGATTTCTAAGTTTCTGGAAGTAGAGTTCCTTCTGTGCGCGAGTTGCACCCATTTTGGTTACGAGTTGATTGCCTCCCTCTTGGCCTCTGTCGTGCCAAAGGATTTTTCAAGGCGAGTGGTCAAATAATTTGTGTGATGAGGAGCAGCTTGGGTGATCATCCCAAGCCACCAGAATAAAGTTCAATCTCCGCCGGGGGAAGCCGACAGTACAGTCTGACTACTATGTAATCTAACTCGTGGGAAAGTCGGTGAATGTGCCATGGAATGACGTTCCGATGGAGTGTGTCGAGCGTCGGAACCCGTGGCGGTCTTGACGGTATCTCCGTACCACACAGGTCGACATCCTTGATAACGTCAGGCGCTAAAGTTGCTTGAGTTTTTCCCGTAGTTTCACTGCACAGACCTGCCAATACCCGTATGCGAAGGCGGTTCTTGGAATTAGATCCTGCCAGTTTATTTTCTTTTAACATGTCGTCCAAGGGTCTCGACCCTCGCCCTACAGCTGTGCACATGCGGGTCTGGAGCTCGACGCACTTGGCAGTCTTGGAGGACCGGGTTCGGCATTCCGCGGTCCTTTCTATCTCAAGGCCTAGCAAACATATATACACGCCCAACAAGTTACGGCGACCGCAGAATGGAGAGGGCTGGTATTTTCAGTGTTCCCGTGATGTCGTTCACTCATGGTGGAATGCTCGAGCATACAGTTCAGTTTCTCGAAGACAGAAATCTCAACTTTCTCGAGAGCAGCGTGATATGCTCGTGGGTGCTATCGCACTACGTATTCATGACGTCAAACGGGTTCGCTCATTCCCAAAGCTCCTTGCGTTACTTGTGGATGCCGTAGTTGGATTGTATGGCTCTCCGTCTCCCGCCTACCTGCGACTGCACGTGGAGGGTTTACTTCTCTTTTGGTGTCAGAACGGGCGAACTTCGGAGGTCACACGCAATGCGCCTAAATACTTTATGCCGACCTGTTTCCGCGGTCTTTGTTGCCTACGACATCGGTAGTTCCGAGAGCGCTGTTTAAGTTCTTCCAATCGTTGAATCCTTATCGGCCGCCGACCACTGATCACGGTAGTGAGCTCCGCATTCCGGCAAGGAGCAGCGAGAGTCGCGGAGAAGTTTCACGGCAAGCTAAACCGATCTTCGAAACTCTATCTCTGGTATCGGCTTTATCTCCCCTCCTCTCGGAGGGGATCCCACGATACCTCGCATTCCCCAAGTTGTTTTTCTTTCTGTGCAATCTCTTATGATTACCTCGCGTTCGAGTTCTTGTTTGGGGAACTCTTCAAATATAGCCGCTGCGCTCGTTGCCAAACGTATTGTCGCCAGTCGTCGCGCCAGCTGCTGCTTCTCGTCTCACCACCGTTGGTAACCTCTTACACGGCGTCTCCACGCAACGCTCGCCGACTCCGTAGGTCGCTCTCGTTCATCCAAGACCTTACTAGCCAGCATGGGTTCCAACCAGACAGAGTTACCGTGAACATTATTGTCAGGACGATGGTCAGCTGGAGGGCCATGTTCGACAATGTCCAGCCACGTGCTCTGTTTGATCACTTGATCCACGGTGGGTGTCCTCCTAGTGGTCGCTCCTCTCAGCACCTGCCGTTTGGGCTGCACCTGCGCCTGCTGGTTGGCTTTTCATGATAGGGAAAATTGGGCTGTCATCAGATGAATTTCGAGCGACATTGAAGCCCTTAAATCGTATGTTCGTAAAGGCGTTTTATGCGACAAGGGATGCTCGAGGCTGCTCAGAGGGGTCGTTGATATGTTGAGAATAGAAGAGGGAAGACATGGATCTGCGAGTTGGAGGGAAGGGGAAGGGAATAGGACTTAAGCGTGCAGCTTGAAAGGGCTGGGGAGTGTATTTGAAACTTCCCTTACCATTAGCCTGAAGAGACCGAAATAGGTGCAATGAATGGAATCGGAGCGAGGAGCATGCAAGGTGGATATGCCGGTGCACTCTTGTGAGACCTCTGCATGTTGGTATCCGTAGGGTGGTAGTGGCAAGATTCCATGTTGCTGCTACAGAGGCAATGTTCGATTTTAGTTAAAATACAAGTTATCTATGACGGTCAACGCACAGCGACGCACAAACCGAACTCGGCTATTACAGGGGAGTGCATAGAATATCAGTGAGATATAATAATAATAAATCAAACGAGACCAGCCCAAGTTCATTTCAACTCTACCCTCTTCAATGTTTCATGCAATACCCAGAGATCATCACCTTGGTGATCTTCGGATTGGTGCTGTCTCGTCCATGCATCAGCTCAAGATTAAGCTGACTATTCGGGTAAGATGTTTCTCCCAGTTTCCTTCCCCAGTCGAAGTCGATTAGCATTACCCTTTTTCCATCGCAAATGATGTTCAGGCTCCGTAAGTTGCCATGGACAAGCTTCTGAGCATGGAAACCTTTAACGAGAGTCCACAGCTGCTCAACCCATTTGCCGTGTTTTTCAACATATGGAGACTGAGATCGGGAAAGCAGGTTGAACAAACTCCACTGCTATGCCGAGAAAGCCTCCGGGGAGCCTCTCGAAGCCCAGCAGAGCGGGCCCACGTCCACGATCCGCACCAAACGTGTGCAGCTCACGAGTAACGGCGTGAAAACTTGACCATGATTTCCGTGCCTTCAATCGTCTCGGCAATGTAAAGGTGTTGGTCGAGAGCTCTGGAGGGGAAAAGCTTGAGAATCTTGAACCTGACGCGGGTGTCAGAATGAGGACGGCGTAGGCTTGAAATAGGAGGTAAACTGCCGTTCCCTTCGATCGGGGGAGGGGGGCTGCAAACCAACCGCATGGCCTCTCCTTTGATATAAGCGAGGAGGACGGAAGCCGCTGGGAAGGCGTTCTAGAGTGCGGTCCTGTCATGACCCCCGCCCGAAGCCGGGGTGCACGACAGTCCGGGCATGAGGATAACTACCCGCCATTGACCAAAATAGATCAAAGCATAAAACGTGACATAGGTACCTAGCACAGTCAGTTGTCAGCTGTGAATGTCATACAAACATAACAAAAAACATACTGATAATGGTTAGCCCAAGGCATGGAAGGTTCCAGCCTCTCATCACCGAAGCAAACTGCATTGTTGCTTCCCTGGCTGCCTGGGAAAAATGCTGGTCATTTCAATTTCAACATATGGAATAGCTGAGAAATCGACCAGCTTATTTTTGAAGTCAACGATGCAGTACGCTGCTTGGTGTGGTCCGAGGAGGTGGCCATCTGGGCTGCTATCATCAGCTACCATTAGCTGAGGAGGGAGATCATCGGTGTGTGCGGAAAATATGTTGTCCAAAGTCACTAAGCCGCAGCTTCTTCTGGCTTGTTCATTGGGGTAGACAAATGACATCTTCTCTGCAAAGTTATGTTATCAACAGCTAATATTAATCTTGCAGGTGAAACTTTTTCTACGCCTGGGGCATTCTTGCGCCCACGGAAGATGTCGAAGAAGTGACCGAATCCTGCGTACTGAAGTGACCACGGAGTGAGTAGGTTCGTCGCCAGTATCGTGGATATCACGACGGTGGTCGAGGATGCATTTCGGGTCTGCCTGCCAGGCTCTGGAAGAGTGCAGCTGGGCCAGACTTGACGGGGTTTCATTTGCGATTCTCGCACTCTTCGCCAGCTCCACCACGTCGCCCTCACGAGCGCTCTTTTTCCCTTTCGAGTTATCAGGAAGGCATTGTCAGAGATATCAGGACTGGACTTACCGGAAACAAGTCTTGCAACAACTATATAACGGTGACTCCGAGGAGGAACGTCGGTAAAGAGATGCAATAGGGCTTCCGATGGATCAAGACTCTATCAAGGTTCTCCTCAAATTGTCCGTTGTATGGCACGGAAACCTTGTAAAGAACAAGGTTACTTTCGTCTACGCCACCAAGGATCCTCTTATACTCGCGCTCGATGGCTTGTCTGAAGTGCCCGACAGTTTTCACAGTAAAAATCGAGACGGGACCGATGGTTTTACTGCGCAGGCCCCATACTCAGCAGTTAAGCTTGGTCAGGTGAGCGATGGTAGAGGGCCGAATTGCGGGTACAGCTGAGAAGCGAAATTCACTGCAAACCAAACAATAGCACTAATACTGTAAAGGCGCAGCCAAAGAGAATTGACAGTGAAGAGCCACTTCATATTGTCGGACTCCGAGAAAATATCGGATAATTTAGTTTGGGCGTTAAGCATCGTTTCGACGTTCGGCTTCCGTTCTTTATGGCTATCTTGAGAGGTTCCACAGTTTCTGTCCTTGAAACACTGCGTTCGTGGGAAAGTCAAGTCAGTGAAGTTGTTTTGCAGAACGCGGCAAGGTGGCAGGCATATGCAATGGAATGTTGCGATGGACTCTGTCAACCGTCCAAAACCGTGGCGGTCTTGACGGTTTCTCGCATCACAGGTAAGTCTGGAGACCTCTCTGACGACCTAGAGCGCTGAAGTTACCTCAGGTTTTTTCATAGTTTCACTGCACAGGCGCGCCAAACCAATAGGCTCCCGTCCGCGAAGGCGGGTTCACCAGCTGGGCTTGCAGTAGGGCCTACTGATTCATGTTCTCTTGACATCTCGTCCGAGGGCCCTCCTTCAGACACTCGCCCTACCGCTTTGCACATGCGGGACTCGAGTTCGAAGCACTTGGTAGTCAAGGAGGACCGGGTCCCATTTCGGCTATTGGACGCGCAGGTCGACGCTGTAGCTATCGATGCTCTCCGATCTTTTTTGTCTCAAGGCCAAGAAGATACCCATATATATACGCCCAACAAGTTACGGCGATTGTACCGCTCCGCAGAATGGAGAGGTCAGCTAGGGCAATTGGACTCTTCCATGTTGAGCGCTCTGATATCCGTATTTGGATCCTTATGCCTCGGTTCCCGTGAAGGGCGTGCGTATAGTTCGCCACTGCTGTCTCGCGTGCAAGGAGAGGTCGCTCCGAACCGCAGTAGCTATTGGTCGTTCCTCTTGAAAGCGGCATCCTTAAAGGTGCAACGCAGGATGGCGCTCACTGATTCTGACCGGTTCTGGTTGATGCAAGCTGCGCTGGCCGCTTCGGAAGCTCTCATTGCCAGGCCATGCGATAAAAGTAGGTGTTAGATTTTATCTACTTGGCTCCACCTGAATGCCAGATGTCTAGTTTCCCAGAAACAGCTAGCTGTCCTCATAAACCGCGCACGTACTCACTACTACGCAATCCGGAGTCATTCTTTTCATCCCACAGTCCACGTTCCGTATCTACAGACATTGCTGGACACCCACGATCCGCGCTACGTCGAAGTTCTTGCCCGGGACATGTCATATGTGTTACGAACCCACCGTTCCTGTCATCCCAAGATTCTGCGGGTACTTTATCAACTGATCCTCGAGCACGGCACGACTTTATCCAACAGAGCTCGAGAAGTCGTGCTTTCGTCTCTTTGGACACGCCTGCAGGAGGTCCGCCGTTATCGAGAGGAGAACGATGGTACAACAATGAGCATCAACACTTACCGTCCTGATATTCCAGTGGGCGTCTTGTGCGTTGCGCGTTGCCTGTCGGGCTTCTTGGTTGAGCCGCTCGATTGCCGTTCGCCACACTATTACCGATCATGGTTCATTGAGGAACTTTTCACTGTTTTGTCGCCCTCTCAAGAGTTGTCTCAGCGATGGATGGCGCTGACCCTCGTTGCAGCTGTTTCAATCGTGCTCGGATGTGGCTGCTACCGGCAGCGCTTTACTAGACGACGGGCCCTTGGAACAGCTGCAGTCGGCTGCGACTTCCTGCTGGCAAGTCATCTTTGGGTTGGCCACGGTAGAGAAGCTGGTGAAAACATCCGCCCTGTCCTCAACGGAGAGATCTGTACCAGGAAGGAACAATATTCGGGATGTTCTTTGCGCCCTGTATGAGAGATGGTTGCAAGTGATTGACGCACAAACTGTCCCTCGCGATATCGCTTGTGCCGTCATGGCGTCGTTCTTCAGATTAGCTGGTATCGTGCATGATGCCTCACTCGTTGAGGGTTGCCTTGCCCTATGTGATCTTGGAACGTTATGGGGACCAGCATCCTTCAAAAGTCTTACGAAACATTATGACCATTCGAACACCTTCATGACTGCTCAGTACCTCGTTACTCTCCTGCGCCTGCATGGCCCAAATGCAGATATGGTTCTTAGGACTATCGATGCCATTTCGACAGACGTTCAGTGGCAACGCGGTGTGGTCACCATTGCCGTAAGAGAGCTAGCGTCAACCGAACCCGTACTTGCTCTCGCGGTTTTCGATATTGTGAAGAAGGCTGGAGTGGATGTCGACTCCAGCGTTTTTAATGTTCTTGTGATGTCGTTCACTCGTGGTGGGATGCTCGAGTATGCAGTTCGGTTTCTCAAGGACAGGAAATCCCAACTTTCTCGAGAGCAGTGCGATATGCTCGTGGGTGCTATCGCACTACGTATTCATGACGTCAAACGGACTCGCTCATTCCCAACGACCCTCGCGTCGATCGTGGACGCCGTAGTTGAGTTGTATGGTTTCCAATCTCCTCCCGTCTACCTGCGAGGGCGCGTGGAAAGTTTACTTTTCTTTTGGTGTCAGAACGGCAGAGCTCCGGAGGCTGTGGATATGGTTCTTGGGATTACACGCAGCACGCCTAAATACTTTATGCCGACCTTTTTCCGCGGTCTTTGTCGTACGCTGCTGCGACATCGGCAGTTCAAGTGCACTGTCAAAGTTCTTCCAATCGTCGAATTCTTGTATCCTAGTATCGCACGCCGGTTGCTGATCACGGTAGCGAACACCGCATTTCGAGCAGGAGCAACAAGAGTCGCGAAAAAATTTCATTGCAAGCTCAACCGGTCCTCGAAATTCTACCTTTGGTATCGAGCGCAGCTTAATCTCCCCTCTGAAAGGAGGATCCCACGGCGCCTCGCGTCCCTCAAGTTGTCCACCTTCCTGTGCAATCTCTCTCACGACGACCCTACGTTCGAGTGCATGTTTGGGGAGCTCCTCAAGTCCGGACGTGTGCTCGCTGTCAAACGTGTCTTCGCCCGCGTCACGCCAGCTGTCTCTCCTTCTCGTCTTACCGCCCTCGGCAATCTTCTCTTACACGGCATCTCCATACAGCCAATCCCACGCAACGGTCGCCGACTCCGTAAGCTACTCTCGCTCATCGAAGACCTTACTAGCCAGCATGGGTTCCAACCGGACAGAGTTACCGTGAACATTATTGTCAAGACAATGATCAGCTGGAGGGCCATGTTCGACAGTGTCCGGCTACGCGCCTTGTTTGATCACTTGATCCGCGGAAGATATCCGGCTGGTGATTACTCCTCTCAGTACCTGCCGTTTGGAACTGTACCTGGGCCTGCTGGACTGCCTCTCATGGTAGGGAAAATTGGGCTATTGTCACATATGGATTTCGAGCGGCACGTGAAACCTTTATATCGTATGTTTGTCAAGGCGTTTCATGTGAGAGGGGATGTTGAGGCTGCTCGGAGGGTCGCTGGTATATTGAGAGTGGAAGAGGGAAGACATGGATCTGCGAATTTGAGGGAAGGGGGAGGGAATGGGACTAAGACACGTCGTAGGTAGAAGTACGGGTCGGTCGATGGGCCGGAAACTGATAGTATATGTTTTTCTACCCTGGACTTCTAAGGAAATGAGTAAGTTGTGAATTTTAGGTCTGGTCTGACGCGGTATATGTACACGGGAAGGTCTACCGTTGCATAAGTAGAGTACTTCCTCATTGAAGGTTGCGAATTGGAATTGTTAGACTTGCAATCGTGGAGTATCTTTCGTGAGTTCAGGGGGTCTTACCACCTTTCTATGCCACAGGCTGCTTCATTGACTCGATGTTGTAATTCCCAGGCTTATACGCCCTTCTATCATAGGGCATGCATCAATATCTGTCAAAAATATGGCCAGGCTTAAGCTAAAGATATGCGTCGGAAGTGGCAGTGATAGGGCCGACGAGTTCCCCCTCACTAATCTGTGTCTGTGCCGGTCCTCGTACACGCGAGTGCAGTGCCTATTAATATTTCCCGTTCAACCATATCCATAATAGGAGAATTTCCATAGACATCCTGAATGACCATCAGAGACATAAAACGTGGGTATTCATGTCGCGTGCACGGATGGAACACGTACCGAATCAGATGGGCACAAAGTCAGATTGATCGTCAGCAGCACGTCCTCCAATTCCAATACACAATATTCATGGAGCGATTTATATAACGAGATCAACTCCGGGCCGTCCAGCACACCTTCATTATCGAACTTGGACAGTGTCGCTTGCAACGCAGGTCGCCCCTCGAGTTTTCGGGCGCGAAGCCATTTCACGAAAACATTAGGAATGTTGTAGTAAACCTGTTCGAGCGACAAATGTTCGAGGTGGGACCAGCGGTCCGTGGGGCACAATGGACTATCTTCCTCTTTCGGGAAGCAAAAAACAACGAAATCAAACACATTCATTTCTATATGACGTGCACCGGGAAACGCTGCAAGCAACAGCGTCCTCGGTACCTGGATGATGAGTGTCAGGAGAGGTCTCACGACATAGAAGGCAAAGATGCTGAACGTTTAGGAATTTGTTTTCAAGATCCGCGAACATTTGAGACTAGGCAACAGTGAGGTTCTGAGGTATGTAGCTAAAATAAACAAGCCTAGGGGTCACGATGGCGGCCAAAAGTGACTGGGGATCATCGAGCATGACCGTAAGAGACTCGAGAAGTGGCATGTGAATAGTGTTGGGAAGTAGAGCTCCACAACTTGAACCAGACATTGTCAGCATTCGGAGTGACATTATCGATGGCAACAGTGCCCCTGATGGAGAACATCGCAGGCTAAGGGATTTGAGGCTAGCGGCGGCCGAAAAGTTATGAAGTCCGACGGTTTCCCTAAGATGCAAATGTTCGAGCGTAGGGGCATGCTGAGAATCAAGAAATCGTGGATAGTCAGACATTTCTGTCCCGTAGATGGAAACGTGTTTCAAAGGGGGAAGCATCATGTTCCAAATGCTTTTCAAGATGACATGCTCTAAGTGCTTGCTGTTACGCCGAACAATGAGGCTACGCCAGCGATACCCATAAGAGATAACAAGACCAAGAAGTTCAGAAACCTTTGGAACTTCGTCCTTGGAACACCAGCCGTATATTTGAATGTCGAGTGGACATTCACGACTTCTCTTCAAGTGTGTTATTACCAGAAAGGCAGGCCACCCGGGGCGTATCCCAATAGTAGTCCAGAGACCTGGGGAAGCCAAAACCACATCTCTCCAACGACCTGACACACTAGCCAACTTCCTCTTAGCAAAAGGACCACAGCCGATGACTGTCAAAGAGATTAGCTGATAAAGAGCTGTGTTAGGAAGACGGCTAATAGGGGGGTTTATGGTGTGCTTGAGGAGTTCGTCGATCCTGTTTCCCTGCGCCCGGGCAGCGGAGCGGACACTGCAAAGGCGTTTGAGGAGTTGTCGTTCTTGCCCTTCCAACAGTGTTAGTTCGGCTCGAACCTTAGCAAGTTCAGCCATCATAGAGGCGTCACTGTGATAGCAATCAGTAGTGTCAGTGTCGTCCATGGAAAGACCAAAGCGTGAAGAGACCTGAAGTAAGACACGTGATTCTGTGTCGTGTGCCACTCCGATGCGAGGCCTAGCCAAACGGAGAAAAGTGCAAATCCATCAACACATATTCCCATTGCTGCAAGCAGCTGCAACTTCCAAGCACAGCACTTACGGTAACCTACGGAAGTCCTACACCTGGTGAAGGGACGGGACTCGCAAGATCGGCCGTTGAATATTTCACGGCGGCTTATCAGCTATCACTTTGCGATGGATTTCAACACTTCTTTCGACCGCGCTCATACGACAATAAGATTAGGTAAGGGTTTTGAGGCTAGTGACAGCCGAGTTCTCAAGGTGGAAACGTGTTTCAGAGAGAAAAACATCATGTTCCAGATGCTTTTAAAGATTATTTATTGTTATACCAAACAGTGAAGCTACACCAGCGGTACCCGCAAGAGATAAAAAGGCTAAGGCGTTTAGAGACCTTCGAAAAATCGTCCGTGGAATCCCATCACTGTATCCCTACAACCAGTACGGACCGCAAAGTGTGAATAACGTGTAGCGTGGTTTAAAGGAAGTTCCGTTGTGTGTTTAACTTCGCATCGACGTCACAAATAGGAAGACGGAAAATGGGGGGTTTTATGGCGTGCCTGAGGAGTTCGTCGATCCTGTTCTCTACACCCAGACAGCAGTGCGGACGTTTCGAAGGCATTCGAGTAGTTGTCGTTCTTGCTCTTCCAACCGTATTCGAGATTGGGGACGTAAGGTACGCAGGACGGACGACCAGCTAAGGGAGTAGATCCTCCAAAGTGAAACTAACCGAACACAGTTCCTTTCAACCCCTGGCACATTGTTCCAGCGGGGGTGTCCACACCACACACTAAGCCGAACCAATTAAGATGGCATAGCGGTCGTAAAACCTGAAAGTGTCACATCGTATGCAAACATGTCGAGACACCACCTTGCTATCGTACACACCGGATATGCCAACCCACGCCTTCGATCCTGCCAAATCATTGCCATCTTGATCGATTGGGGACACAGCCACGCCGCCGCGGAAGACGAGACATTGGGTAGACCCTCCGAAGTGGAACATGCCCAGCTCATCTCCCTTCTTGAGCACCTGACCCTCATTGACGGTAATTCCGCAAGCTGACACCTCACATATGCCAATACCCACGAAGCATATCAAGCCAACAGGCTCGTCAGCTTGGACGAAAATCAAAGCACGAGAAGATATGACCGTGACGAAGTCCTGCGAACGGGTAATGACGTCGAAATCTTCATGGTCATCATCCAAGCAACCAGCGTAGAAGGTTGGTGGTGGTTAGAATGCTTCAGGCCTGAAATGAGGCGTGTCTTCGTAACAGTACCATTGACAGGACTGCGCCAACGGTGATAGTCGAAAGATGCAAGCATAGGCTGGAAAAGAGTCCCGCCGACGAATATGCCAACAAGCTCATCCTCAGCGAGCATGTGGTTGAGGGAGTAGGGGGGTATTTTTAAGCCAGAATCCGTCTGTCTTCTTGAGGTTGTCGTAAGGTTGGCAGACGGTGGACGTGCATGGAGAGTTGAAGATCTTTGGGTCGTCAGGGAAAACGACAGCACGGTACTCCTTGACGAAGAAGTCCCATGATTGAAACCGTAGTGAGGATCGCTTGTATCGCAAATATAGAAGTTGTCGGACGTATCCTGCCCAGGATTTCCACCAGCGTGCTGTACAATGGAATTGAGCGCTGCAGTACTGAGCCAGCCTCCCTCCCCATTGTGGATGATGTTGGTGGAGTCCGCCGACGCGAGGTACTTGTTCCATGCTGTGAACACCGTGCAGAATCCCCCATTGACTCCAGGATGGGTGAACGCGCTAGAGCCCCCGGGAGTGTTGCAGAAACGCGAAATGATAGCATAATAGGGAACAGCGGCCGCCATATCGCTCGCACCCCCACCATAACTGGGTGCTGCCGTCAACTGCGTGTTGATCATTTCCAAGAAGTCCACATAGTCTTCAATCTGGATTGAAATAAGCGGTGTAAAGGTAGAGAAGACGGAATCATATACCTTTGCTAGGTCCGCGCTGAGGTGGGGGGGGGGGCTTGCTCGAACATCTGGTTGAACGCAACGTAGACCACACCCTCCCTCTCAATATAACCGTTAAATTCCTGCACTATAGGGAGCAGTGCGCGAACAGTATAAACATGCGCCTGGCCAGGGGCGAAACGGTAATGGGCCCATAGGCGGCGGAGGTCAAACTTAACGTTGGCTTTGTCCATTGTCGTCTCCAGATTCTCTTACCAATAATGCTCTGGTATCTCATGTCGTTCTTCAAATTAGAGAGCGAACCGTCCGAGTTGAGGATTCGCATCATGTCGCAAATTTCCTAGATCCATGACAAGTCATTAGCATACCTTAATAGGAGCGGTTTTCCCACGCTGCCTTTTAATGACTTGTAACGCCACCCACTTTCCATGAACATGCGGTTGAAATCACGTGCCATCTCATGATTATGACTTTGATAACTCATTATTTTACCTAATCATGGTATTATATTGCTGCGGCCTAATAAGTACTTATAACGGCATGACAACGGCGAAGAACCCATAGCAATACCAGTGGAACTCATCACAATGTATACTAACCATTATTATTTATTAATATTTTGACGATCCATTGTTATTTCATTTTGCCTTGGAACACTCATGACAATGGTTAAGATTCCATTCAGGAATCACTACTTATTGATGTATAGACGAGTGGTAGTAATAATTGGAGAGTTCTACCTAATAATGCCAGTGGTGTGAGTGGACATGTGAAGCAGACAATGAGCAACTAAGAGCAGTAAGGGGAGGAAAGGACAGCAGCTCAATGTAAGTATGGGGGTCATTGTGATGATGACACAAGGATGAAAGCAAATGCATACACTGTTGACAACCATCAGATCATAGCTTACAGTGTAATTAAAATACTTATGAGATTAGTGAACCAATGGGAGTGGCAATATGGGGCGATGGGATGAGGAAGATAGAATAAGTGTTGCATGAGAGGCATTCATAGCGTCAAGCAATAGGACAATGGAGCTGGCATTGACACACAATGCTGTCACAAGTTGTCTGGAACCTCGAAAAAAGTTAACATCAAAAGTAATAATAGTGTCATGGGGGAAACATACCTTGACCCTTGAACCCACTCCCCAGGCAACAGACAACAACAAACAAGCACAACAGGGTGGATAACAATGACAACACCATACAACAATGCAATGAACCAGGACAACAATGTGGGAGACAACAAGGCATGAGAAGAGGGGTGAGTTGCTTATAATATAGCCAGTGGAGTTTGAATGACTTAGAAGAAATCAGATCAGGTAATTCCAGAGGACAATGGCAACAATGTATGATTGCAGTGAATGAACATATTACAAGTAGATCTATGTGATCTTGAAACATGAATTGCATCTAATATAATGGGATGCAAGCTAAATCAAAGACTGTAGAACATATAGAAACCTGGCACATAAGTGACACCTGGTACTGCTATTAATTCAAACCTTTGTCTTCTTTGGTTTCGAGGACCTTGTAGCAGTAGCATGGTGACCACAGTGGGTGGGTTCCAGACCTGGTTCAGTAGCATGAATATCAGTTGTAAGACCCTCAGGAACCACCTTGGGAATGGCTGGAATCGCCTTTTGAGTGGATGAGCTGTGCCAGTGACTCATGACTGGAATTGCTTGTTGGGATCAAGATGTTTCAGCCTCAGCTGGGCCAGACACATTCATCTGACCAACAGCAATGGTCACCACTGACACCTCAACACCACTGTTTGAAATCAGCTGCCCGATTGAGATAGAAGGGGACAATCAACAAGAAGCACCAGAAATAGTTTGAGCACTGAGATCAGCTTGTGCAGCAGTGACACTAGCTGGATGAGAGTGAGGGGGATTGAAATGAGTGACTGAGCTGGCAACAGGTGATGGAGTGTGAGAGACCAATGACAGATTGGAGTCACATAGATCTGAATCATGGCCACCAGGGGCATTGAGGTCATGCAGTGTGGAAACAGGTGGGGTGTGACTCTCAGCAGGGTCAATGTTGTTGAGTTTGTCTAAAAATTCATCTTCCCAAGTATGTGGCTGCTCCACATTAGCAAATACCTCAGATTTGACATTTGCCAATTGAGACCCCTTCCCAGTTGAAGAAATTCATACACTGACAGCCCAAGGAGATGCTTTGAAAAGCTTCTTGAGGTAGAAATCATATTCTGATCGGTAGTTGACCTGTATTTCTGCACCAGTAGCACTTAATTCAGGATCATGTGACAATAGGAATTGAACCTTGGTATGATATTGATGTCAGCATGTACTAGCACAGTGACCACAGACACCCTCACCAAGATGCAGGCACCAGCAATCAGGCCCTCAGTAATGCTCAGCACACCCATCTTCTGACCCCTGGCTGGGGGCCATCCACATTTGTTTTCTGTGAGGATCAATTTTCCAAACATCAGGACACAGATAACCTATGGGCTGAAATCAATTTTCAAATAAGAGCAGCATTGAACCACGCATGCTTACCTTAACTAGGATGGGACTCTTCAAGAAGCCTCCAGTAACCATCTGCTTAGGATCTGCAAAGAGAATGGGTGCAAAGTGGGGGTATTCTCCGACTCCATCCTTCTTCAAGAGTGCCAGGCATGCCTTGCTGTCCTTCTTACGAGCGGGCTTTGCAGTAAAGAGATCTGGTGAAATGTTATATGGAGTGAATAATGCACCAGTACAGTCCTTGATGACTTTGGGGACATTGGATCTCTCCTGACCATGCACTTGTATGAACTTAAAACAAATTAATATGTTAGTGGTCACCAAGGTTGGAATTACATGTACCACAGAGCCAAATTGCTTGTAGGTTACCATCAACTTATGTAAATCTGCAGGAATCATCTTGTAAAGCTCAGTCAGAGTGCCCTTGAGCTTCCCATCCTGTGATTTCCACCATGCTGGATTGCATTGATCAGTATTGGGATTTGGAGCTGCTGGGAAAAGGCTTTGAATGATGAAAAAATGATACAGTAGGAGGTATTTCTTTGCTTCTTGCTCAATATGAGTTATGAGGCTGTTTGACTTGCTAGACATGTTCCTGGACTGCTTGGAATGCTGGCTATTGGCTTCGAAGAGAGCCTTCCTTGTCTGGTGCAGTTCCTTGCAGCATTCAGTGTATGCTCATTGCACAACACTGAGAGCCTAGCATCATGTCAGCACTAATGCCTGGTGACTCATCATGAACAAGAATGTATAAATACATACTGCTCACAGCTCAGCAACATCAGCTTGAGGTCTGGGAACATGAGTAAGTCGCCTGTGCTGTTTGGTATTGCTGTCCAGGTCTTCCAAGTCAGTATTGTCTGTCCCTTCATCAAGGTTGAAGTCTTCAGGACCTCCATCCTCAGCATCAGAGTTGAAGGTGTCATAAGCAGTGCTGGGTGCCATATCAGTGAAGGAAATGGATGTCAAGGATCAGAGGAAATGGTAAGGCCACACAGGGATGGTTGTGAACCTTTACAAGCCTCCCTTTATTCTCCCTATTAAGGGCCACAGATGTTGCAAATCCCAATGGAGGTTGACACCTGCCAGTTGGGTGCTCTTAGATGAATATGGAAATTTTGAATAGTACAAAAAAAAGCAATATGTACATAGTAGTAGCCTCAGGGAATCCACATGGTGGACCATCAGCAGGTTGGATGTCAGCAGTTGGGAGCCAGTCTGAGGACATAATAAAGCACAATTTGACAATGCCATCAGCAGTAGGTGACTACAGTATGAAAGTTGCTCACCTTAGTCCCTTTTGATATGTAATTGACCATGTGTTCCAGGGATTGATGTTGATGTGGTATGAATCATGAGTGAATAACTTATATGCAACGACACAAGGTTGTGGCATTGTCACGTGAATTGACTTGACATTAACTTGAATCTGAAACCGACCTTTTGGGAGCTTTTTTCTTGCTTTCTTTCTGGTTATAATATTACAGCTGTTTTATTCTGTTCATGTAATGTTACAGATTCTAGTGTAGACAACAATGCTGGTGATGAACCCAGCCCCAGAATACATGAGAAAAACTAGTGGAAGAGAGAGCAGAATGCTTTGGCACTGTAAGTGGTTTGAGATGAGTTAGGGATAGGAGCAATAATGGGGAACTGCAAACTCACTGGGAGAAATATGAATCCTTCATGGGCAGCAGCAGCTGCATGATGAACAGCTGCAGAACCCTGTGGCAACTCTGCTATATACTGGAAAATAGACAGGAAAGATGTAACTGTGCTCAGAACAGAACATGAAATGGCAACTGGACCTCCAATGTGTGTGATACCATCCAGTCCCAGGAATGAGATAAGCATGACAGAGGTGCCGAGGATAATGCAGACTGTGCAAGCAGAAAGCAGGGAAGGAAAAGAAGTTAGGAATGAGTATGACTATCATCATAATGATTAACCCTCACCACAAGACAGGTACAAGCACTGATGACAAACAGTGGCACACTACTCTGCATGCTTACATTCCCCTCCACATCAAAATGGCTGCTATATCTCACTCGATCCACAAACAAGAATGGGATGCCAAGGCACAGTATACCAATCAATATCTCAACTGCCATGCATAGCATCAGGGTCTGCCTTGATGTGTGTGTGGTGATGATGTCTTGTGGGAGTGGTTTGTGTGGCCTGAAATTGACCTGATGCCAATGAGCTGATGAAGAATGTTAGCCTGTAAGAACATAACACCAGTGAGGGGTATGGTGCAAAAACTCACCAGCGCATAGAAGAACATGAGTGACCATGCATGTGTATGAAAGAGTGGATTGCTGACTTGGATCTGTCAAAAAAAATCAGACAAGTAGAACTGAATGGAAATGTCCCAGCCTCACCATTGAGTGGTCTCAATGGTTCCTGACACTCCTCCTGACTAAAAGGCAGCTGAATTGGTTGGGGATGGGCAAGCAGCCAATCTGTGTAGGACCAATGTAGTACATCCACAGCCTCCTGCCAGGACCCTTGGGAGAGAACCACATGGGCAGGATGGGTTTTGACATAAGACCAGTACCTGTACTTGTCATCTAGGCCTGCCAATGCACCAGATCAGCATGCAAAACTAGAGGAGAACGAGTACAACTCACAATTGTCCTCTCCTGAAACTCCCCCATCATCAGTGGGTGTGTCGTTCAGAATCCACCTACACCTATGATCCACCCAAAATACGATCAAGTCTCCCATAGCTACACCCTTCTGTCTACTTCATGCTGACACCTTGTGACTCCTCTGAATCCACATCTCACACCTGTCTGGAACTTGTCAGTCAGCCACATTCTCCATGGCACTCTCCATAACCTCTCCACCTCCTCTAACCTTGCATGACTCCTCGGATCCAAATCCATCATAGTGCAATTTTCAGGGTTTCTGAAATACTGAATCCCATGAGGTAACACATTCAAACCACCTGCTATCTATGTAAGGTCATCTCACAGAATTGTAGTGATTTTGAGTTGAGCCGTTGACATCTAATCAAGCTGGTCATGCCCATTGAGGTGTGGGCTGTGCATCTGCTGGTGGGTGCGCAGTCCTAGAGGCACAGCATGATTGCATGACTGAGTCAGATGCTGTGTGCCCCAGGAAAGTGGTGATAATTGGGGGCATCTATGGGTGTGAATTAAGAAGAGGGCAATGTTTGCTGTAAGGAAATGCTTTAGTCAGAAGATGAGACAGAACCAAGAGATGTATGAAGAAGTAGAAGGCAGCCTTACTCCTGATTTCTTCTAAAGTAATCCATTGAATCACTTCTGGCTGCACTGAGATTATATCCAGAAGGTTGACAAGAAGGTCTGGTTGACATCAACACCACACATACTTCCAAGAAGCAGGTACTCACTATGAGGATATGACTTCATGCATGAGTGGAAGGCTAGGCAGGTTCCCCTCAGTGAACAAAGATTGAATGGTTTCACACATTTAGCATGTTGGAAATGGTTTAGGTTGTACCACTTACTCTGGCACATGGATGGTCTTAGCAGGAGATACAGTGGCAATGGCTTGTGCTACCTTCGCAGACACCCATGCCATGCTACTCAACATGATGGAATGGGGATGGAGTGTGAAAAAGCATGTATAGTGGGTTGAACCATGGGCAGGATGGAAAGTTGCAAAGAGGGACCAGTCGAGTACACAGACTTCATCTTGCTCACAACATGTGTTGTGAGTTTTGTATACATACATGTGAATGTGAAAAAAACAAGACCAGATACTGCATTCTGTACAAAGATCTGATGTCGCCAAGGAAAAAAGTCAGCAGGTAAGTGCATGATGAATTGGATACAAAGGTGAAAGGGTATGCTCAACTTCCCAATACTCATCTGACTCGAATGCATTCCATTGCAACCTTGACTGGCCAGCAACACATCTGTTGTATCTGCAGGTGCAAAGTGTCACCAATGCTCATTCTGTTTCCTGACGCCTTACCATATGCCTGTAACCTCATGTCAGTAGTGTATCCACCTTGAGTATCTTCAGTGCTCTTGCATCCTCATGGTCTCCATTTGTCCAGTATCTGTTTAAATTAGTAGCTTCTGTTCTTGCATCATATGAAACTCACCTTGTGCCTCATTCATGAATTCCCCTCACTGACAGTCAACTGTTGGTCTCTTGCGAGGCATGACTTTTGACTCCCCCTCCACACTCAGTGACTTCAACTCGAAATCTCCTCTTCCACACTCAGCAACTTCAAATCTGCCCCTTCCCTGCCCCACCCATGTCCCCCTATGCATTCAAAATTCCCAACAGTGCTTTGACACCCATTGATGTGCCTGAGACTGCTGAGGCAGTGACAGACATGTTCAGTGATTTGTACAGCTTGGTGGTATGTCTTCCATTCTGCTTGTGTACTAGTCTGTCGATATTGACTCACCACTAGAATTTTTCTCCCAACAGTTCACCCCCCGAATTGGTTGCTCCTGCTGCCATCACTATGCCCTCCACCATAGACCCTGCTTTACTCTCCCTCAATGCTTATCCCCCTCCTGATGTCCCAGCTGACAATGTTCCTGTCACTGAGACGATTAGGTGTGATGTGGACATTGACTTCCATTCCATTCTGACTTTCTGCAACACCCTACAAGCTGTCATCTATGCACTGGACCATTTCCTTGCTGAACAAGTTGTGTCTGAGAAGGTCCTTGGAAAACAGAAGAGGGAGGACTAGGGAAGGGAAGAGGAGCTGAATTGTGGTTTCTTTGCCTTTGAGGCTTCAATAGCCTTGTAGACCTATATACATCCCATTGCCCTGTAGTTTCAACACTTCATTGGTCAGAGTGTATCTCTGTAGTTGTACATAAAAAAAACAAGACCATTGTCCACTCTGGCAGCCTGCTGTCCAGCATCTGGTAGATTGAGTTTTGTGTGGTGGGCATAATGAGTAGTGAAACAGACCTCACCATATTCCCCCAATGACCCCCTGCATCAGTGCACCTACTACTTACCACTTTGCTCCACAGCAGGGGGGAAAAGAGTTGGGCATGTGTTATGCCCAAGTGTGGTGACTTCTTCAAATGGAATAGGCATGAAGCATGCAAGGGGGAGTCTATGGGCCAAATGTGTTGTGACCCCTATGGCTCAGTTATCCCCAAGGTCCAGCAGAGGTTCACTCCTTCTGGTGAGTTCTTCTGAGATCACACAGAGGATGGAACAAGGATGAAGGAGAAGGAAGTTAGCTGAGTTGCAAGCTATCAAAAAACTGAGGATACAAGGTAAAGTACATGGGCTTAAATACCCCTAAACACGAGTACCATACCAGTCACATCAGGATGCATATCTGCAGTAATCAACAGAACAATCAGTCAAATAAATAAATGGGAAACAAGTCATATGGTGTCATATGATGGGGGTAGTGAAGGGGATGAGGGCTACACTGGCTGCACAATCAATGTGCAGCAAGGAGCCAGACACTGGATCTATAGTACAACATACAAGCAACATAAATGAACCAGAATGAGTTAACCAGAGCAAGAAAGAGACATGTCGTCCATCAGAGAGGATGGTGGAATACTGGATCAGTGGGGAGGCATGGTCTCCACAGGTATTGGAAATACTATGACAGTGGGAGATCCAAGTGATCCTGTGAGCATATGAGCCCCTAAGACAGCAATGATTATTAGAGACACAATGAGACATGTGATGCACATGACCATGAGAAGCCAAAAAAGGAAAGACCCCTGGCAGAGGCATAACATCACCCCCCCCCCCCCCCTAATGTCCTCAGACCTGTGAGGATGAAGAGGAAGATGCATTCACAGGGCAAGAGGAAAGGGGTCTGTGAGTAGTATAGATGTGGGAACATGTCCTAGCAGTGATGGGCAATGGTGGCAATGGAGTTGGCAGCTCCTCGAGGGCTGGAGTAAAGCAGGAACCACATCCATTGTGGCATGACCAATGTCCGAGGTAATGACACTGGTAGCACACATGTTGATAGAGGATATGGTTGCTGGGGACGATGTCACACACCAAAGGTGTTTGGTGAGGTGGACATGGATGTAGCTGATGAATGGAGGTGAAGACCATAGCCCTCATGCGAAGAAGGACAGCCAGCAATGTCAGCAGTCATCCCTCACACAAGAACAAGTTGTCAATAGCAAAGAAAAAGGAGGAGGCAGGTTAAGCACCAATAAAGTTCTTAAGTGCCCATGTATGGCATTCCGGTTTTCGATGTATCTCCACCAATTCTGCAGACACCAAAACCATTCCCACACTCGCTTGTAGTGCTCAGCCACGCGATCCTACCTTCCAGGATTGGAAAGGATTTGCACACTCCACACATTTCTACAGCACTCCCTCCAAAAGATGCTCATTTTGCTAATTCTTCTGATATGGCTGCCTCCACATCAGTCATTTCGCTTGTCCCCTTTGCTAGGGACCATGGCTACATATATCTACCAGGAGTTCCTACCAGCTTCCATCCTGAAGCATCCTGGTACATCCCACCCTCATCTGCCCCCTCTCAGCCCATCCAGCTTGGACAGCGTGTTCTTTTTGTCAGTATGACCTCCAGGAGGACATTCTTTGGTCGCCTCAGGTCTGTCATTTGCTTGGAAAGGTCTTATGTGGTCGTTTCAGTCTCTCCAGTCCAAGAAACATATGGATCCTTCCTCCCTGCCCCCTGCAATGTCTTCATACCAGTCTTGTCTGTCATTCTTCCAAAATTGCGACAGCTACAGTATAATCTACTGTTCTCCACTCTCCCTGATCGCATCCATGACGAGTATGATGCACATCTTGCCTCCTTGTTGCAAGATACAGCAGAAGACACTCCCCCTTCATCCTCTCTTCCAACAGAGCCTCATTCATGAAGTTTTTATTTGCTTCACTGAGAGGATGGTTTGGGGGGGAAAGTTGTGATCCCCTATGCTCCTGTCACCCCACAGACCCCCCAAAGCTTGACCCCTGTTGACACCTGACTCACCCTGTCCGCTTTTGGATGTACTATATCAGCATCAGATCAGCGCTGCCTCTCTGTCATCCCACTTTGGCCTAGAAGTGATCTCTTTGAGATGTGACATGCACAGCCTCCCCCTAATGTGATTCCAGTGCACTTTCCCAGTTCCTGACATTGCTTGACTCATACTGTGACATTCTGACTGTCTTTGACTCACCTATTGCAAATACTTACCAATCTTTTGACTTTGCTTACTGATTCTTCGCTTTTTGGCTTACTTATCCTTACCAATGCTTACCAATGCTTTCCAAGATGATTACCCATCGCTTACATTCCTTACTCATCAGTTACCAATCACTTACCAAGTGTTTGCACCTTGTTTTCCATAGGCAATGCCCCTGTACTGTATATAAGTCACTGTACTTAGGTAGCAAAAGAAGAAGACATCAGAGAGCCCCTCTTGCTTGCAATTTATCATCTCTCAGTAAATCATTCATCAGCTTCGATAGTTGAGACTTTATTAAGGGTCTAGCTATCATCTACTTCACTTATCATCATCTATCATCCATATACTTTGCTCCAAGCCCTCCCTGAGCTCAGTACAGCTTAGGACATTGAATTAAGTCACCATCCATCCTTCTGTAGGCTGACAGCAGTCTACCCTATTGCTTTCTATCACATTCTTGCTCCCTCTTTGTCAGGAGCACCCCCAACCCTCAGCACTCATCTTTGAGTGCTGTAGCTTGCAAAAACCCTCCCAAAGAACAGGTTCTACCATCTAGGTACCACATAGGCA